CATCAACCAGCGGAACGAGCCCGAGGCTCGGGAGATCGTCCTGAAGGCCCTGTTCTTCAGCCCCGGCGATGAGGTTCTGGAGAAGATCCTCGGCGATCAGACGTCGGGAGCCACTCTCATCTTCAAGGTTCTGACCACGCCCTTCTTCGACGAATCCATGCGCGCCGAGGTGGTCAAGAACGTGTCCAAGGTCCTCACCAAGTTGAAGGCCACCCCCAGCCAGGGCTACAAGCGCCTGATGGACGAAGTGGGGTTGTCTTCCCGGAGTAGTGGTCGGGACAACCATCACGGACGGGATCACGGAGCCCACGCGTCCAACTCAGAGAAGCACTCTCACCGTGCCAACGCCCGGCAGGGAAACTCCGGGTTCCCCACCCAGCCGGCCGTAGAGCGGCAATACAACGGGCAATTCGTCCCGGGCATGCTCCCTCCGAATCTGGACAGCGTTCGCGGCGTGGGGTCCGAGCCACCCGCCGCCTCGCCGTATGATTCGTACGCCGTGAACGGACTGAACGGGCTTGGTGCCTCGGGCACTCTGAACCCGCTGAATGGCATCGGCGGGGCTGGCTTCAGCCAGGATCCGTTGATGTCTTTCACTCCCCAGCAGGCCCAGCAGTATCAGGCCTACGTGGCTGCGCAAGGTCGCGGCGTCTCGCCCTCCGGTCTCTACCCACCTCTGACCAATCCGGGCTACGGCTATCCCGGCGGATCGCCCGAGAACCTCCGGTCAATCCCGAGCCAGGCCCCGCCGGCCCCGATGAACCCGGGACCCGTGCTCAACCAACCACCACCCTACGCACCGCAGCAGTTCAGTCCTGTGATGGGCGCATCCCAGATGTATCAGTACCCTCCATTCTATTCGCAAACTCAGCCGACCCAAGGACAGTCCGCTGGGGGACGTCGCGGACGAGTAAGTCCTCCCTTTTCTCTTTTCGATCCCCCGACAATCCTGAAATCCGGCTAATATCTACCCAGCGATAAAGTGACACACGAAACAAAAATTTTTTTTTTTTCTAATTTCGAATTTGACTTCCATTTTCTGTATAAAGTTTTCTGTCTGTCATTCGATTTTGATATGTGCCCCATTCAACTTGTCCGTGGGGGGGGTACAGGGAGAAAGTAGGATGGTTTTTCAAGTTTATATGCACGAAATGACCCTTATTAACGCCTAGAACGACGCTGGATCGTCTTGGAAAGAAAATGGGGGGTGTGTGGTGGTTGAAAGCGATAGGAAGCGAAAAGAAAAGTGATCCGGTTTTTTTTTTTCTGTTGTTTTATTTTTGAAATGCATGGTGGTGTCGTTCAAAGGGGTTCCTTATTTATTTATTCATTATTATTATTATTATTTTGGATGAGTAGATGGATGGGTGTGAGAGTTTTGAAGGTTCTGATGAGTATGAGTATGAGTGTGTATGGCTTGCATGTATGTATGGTTATTAGAGTCAATGGTCTGTGTATGTCTGATAGTACCCCGTAGTACCCCGTAGTATACCGTAGATATAACGTAGTGTAGTATCCAAACGACCCTAATGGACAGCGAAAGACTAACTCTGGAGTAGTACTCTACCTGTAAATAGAGACAAATCCCAGACAATACCATCCCGATCTCAATCAACAACCTGTTTATACAGACAGACAGGAGGAAAGTAAGTCCGCAGCCGGCTATATCTTCAATCATCTTCTTATCTGATATCAGACCAACAATCCATAGATACAGTACCTATATTGGCATATAAAAACAATCAACAATGAATGACGAGGATGATGAAAAACACGCCCACCTCCCCTGCCATCCTCTACCACAACGAACAAGACACGATCTTCCTCGTTGATATACCCACTTCTATAGCGCTTGCGCAGGAGCTTTCGCCTCTACAACTACAATATCAACTACAACATCAACAATATCCCCAACAACTCTCACAAACAAAACCACAAATATCAAGAAGACAACCCCCCAAAACCCTCCTCTCCAACACACCTCTAACCAAACCATACACGACACCAGAGCCCAAAACCCCCGCCGCCAGAAACAGGGTTCTGGCGCGCATTCCACCCGCCGAGAGAATCTACCATGGGGAGATTATCGCGCCGGTTGTGCAGCGTGCGATGAGCGAGTTGAGGGGGGGTTTGGGTGAGGGTGGGGAGTGGTGTTTGAAGCGGCGGATTCCGACTGCATCCACCAGGAGTGGGCTGGAAGAGGGAGAGGTAAATGGAGATGGCTCAGCCTTGCTGCATCCCCGGAAGAGGAGACGCGCAGCAGCAGCAGCAGCGCATGATGACTGCCAGTGCGGATCTCTGGGGCAGGGAGTTGAGTCTGGGTTTGGGGATGAGGCTGAAGCGCCGCTGATTCTTTCTCCTGGACCTGGTGTCAATGCGTTTGGGTCTGGGGAGGATGTTAGTTGTGTGTTGGTGAGGAATACTTCTGCTGAGGAGGCTGCTGTGAGGGTTGGGTGTGTGGGTGGTCCTCCTTCTCCTATTGCTACTACCACTACTACCACCACCACTCGTAGTAGTACTACTGGTTATAGTGACGGTGATGATAAAAAGCACACCCACACATATTCAATCCCACCCTCATCAACCTTCCTCTCCACCCACCTCCCTCTCTCCAACCCCAACCACAACGACAATCCCATCCCAAACCTCCCCCCTACCCAAAAATTCAACCTCATCCTCCTCGACCCGCCCTGGACAAACCGCTCCGTCCACCGCAGCGGACACTACCACACCCAGGCTCACAATGACAGCAATGGCTTAACGAGATACATACAATCTCTCCTTCAAACACACCTATTACAACCCTCTTCCTCTTCTTCTCCTTCTCCAGAGACCCACAACTCCAACCACAACTACAACCAGAATCAGACCAAGAACCAAACAACACCATCTCTAGCCGCAATCTGGACAACCAACTCGTCCAAAGCGCGCACCGCAGCACACTCCGCTCTATCAAGCGCAGGCCTCGTCGTCGTCGAGGAGTGGATATGGGTGAAGATTACTTCTGCGGGTGAGCCCGTCTCGCCGGTTGATGCGCTTTGGAGGAAGCCGTATGAGGTGCTTGTCATTGGCTGCTTTCCTGGTTTTCCATTGGATAGTGGTGGATCGCTTCGGTCTTTTAGTTCTGCTTTAGATGATGATGATCCTGCTCTAAACAATGTTAATAAAGATGGCATCAAGCGCCGCGTGTTAGCAGCCGTCCCAGACGTGCACTCGCGCAAACCCAATCTTCGAGAGTTGTTCGAGAGGGTGTTCTTCGTGGACTGTCAGTATTCTGCGATGGAGGTGTTTGCGCGCTATTTGACGGCTGGGTGGTGGGCTTGTGGGGATGAGGTGGTGAGGTTTAATGAGGATGTTTGGTGGGCTGCAGCTGCAGCTGATTTGGATGATTTATAGCTATAGCCTATCTAGGTGTGTATTGTATGGATGGATAGTAAGGATGGAAATACAAGATTGGTGATTGGGAGGATGCGATGCGATGGTGTTCCTCCCATGTACAACATAGCAACATTCCTTTCCTTTCCTCTCCTCTGAACAAGAAAGAAAGAAAGAGATCAATCAAAAACAGCCCCCAAACTAACCAAACTAAACCTCAAATCGGGATTCCCACCATCCGCCTCCGTCTTCAAAAAGCGTCTCACACCCAGCCCCAGAGCCCTCTCACTCAACGCATCCTCCCCCTCCTCCAACCTCCCCCTCTCCAACGGGCCCTTTCTTCGCCCATCCAACTCCCACAGCCGCCCATCCTCGCCCTTCACAAACGCCACAAAGTGCAAGTCCACGCTGTCCTCCGCCCCAGGCGCAGCGGTGTCGCCCAGGCGCGCGGCGTCCGCGTGCGCGCTTTCCAGCGCCTTGCTCTCGTAAAGCAAATCTGCGCGGGCCACAGGCGGGAGTGGCTCCGCCTCGCGGAGGAGGGAGTCCAGTGCGGAACCGGGGAGGATGTGGCGGCGGGGTTCGCCGTTGGAGACGGAGTGGAGGAGGCCGATGAGACCGCAGGCGTTGCGGATGGTTTGCTTGAACCAGGTTACGGGTTCGGAGGGCCCGCTGCCGGTGTATTCTGCGAGGGGGGCGTCTTCGGTGCGTCGGCCGGCTTCGTAGGTGGGGGAGACAGGGAAGACGAGGAGGAGGGCGTGGGAAGGGCGCGGGACGAGCGCGAGGAGATCGGGCTCGTCGATGGAGAAGACGTCTGTGAAGCCTAGGGTTGGGGGGAGGCCGAGTTGGTGGACTAGGTGGGACATTACTTCGGGGTTGTTTTCTGGGGTTGTTAGTTTGGTTTTGGCTTCGAGAGGGGTGGATGAGGGGGTGGCTTACCGAGGGGCACGAAGGCCTTGCTGGTGTTGGGGACGTCTGGGTCGCTCATTTTGGGTGGTTGTTGTGGTGTGGATTGGTGATGAGATGAGATGGTGGTTGATGGCAAGTTTATTGTAGTGGTGAAGAGTGAGGGGTTGCGGGCTGGAGGCGGTGCGGGGAGTTTGGCATTACGTAGTTTGTCTACAGTAGCTCACTAGTTAAGTACGTTTATATACTCTAACAACATCAAATATTACGGGGGAATGAGTATCTATATAAAAGAGCCTATATTCAATAGGTTGAATTGTATTTCTCCGGCATATATATAGTTTGCCTGTCCTGTTGGGGCAACTCGCATAGGGTCATCAATTTCAAACGGATGTCCCATTGCCCTCGTTGATGGTCTCTTGCACATAGATATGTTTGGCAGACTGATGCCCTGGTTTCTGTTATCCTGGGTTCCATTCTCTGAAGCCAGGCCTAGCAAGTGTACCGCGGGCAGGGGATTCCTTCGCAATGACAGCAAGCATCCCTTTGATTTCGGTTCAAGGCTGGCGATGAATGCCACGCGAGATTTTCTAAAGTAGTCACGCTCGATCCAGCGAGCTCATTATCGATATAGAGTATAATTTCGCAATCCCAACCACAACCGTAGTAAAGCAGTGTCAGACCGCTGTGAAGCATCAGGCTGTAAACTTAGTGGTCGAGATTCAAGCCGAACTCTTATCGTTACCACCACTTGAACCATGCATCTAAGCATATCATCATTAGCCAGACCCTTATACAAAACCAAGGGAGAAAAAACTAACCGCCTCAGCAAATCTCACCCACTCCTCAACCCCCCTAACAAAAGGATCATCGGCCGCCGGCATGAACTCATGCCCCCAAACCATGACATCTTGAAACGTCGCCTGTTTCTCTAGAACCTTAACCGGCTCTTCCGGTTCAGCTTCATCTACTGCATTGTTCTGCGCCGGCCGGATAGTCCGCTCCGTTGGGGTCGCGACGACGCCTTCGTATCCCTCCGGGACGGCAACGCGTCGGCCTCGGAGTTTACGGCCACGGAAGTATGCGGTTTGACTGGTTTGATCTGCGCCTTGTAAGTATTGCGTGCAAAGCAACCTAAAAGATCGATCGACACTTTTAGAAGGGCTGTCTACCTTTTTCATCGGCCACAGGACTCCAGTACCGGCCTATCGACTTCACAGAGCCATTGTGGTGGATGCGGCAGGGGAGGACATTGGGTGTGCAGCTTTGAGTAGCGGAGTCCACTTCTGACTCGGAGGATTGTGTTTTCGAAGGTTGAATGGCGAACATGATGGCTGTGCTTTGGTCTGGTGTTTGTCGATGAAGATCGCAGAGTCGAATCTGGGGCAGACGCGACGGAGGGCCGCGTTAAGTGCCGGCGCCATTCCGTTTTGGGTAATATTTTCATAGTCGTGTCTATGTCTGTTATGGACCATGTATCGACTTTGAAAATCAAAGTAAATGTGGATTGATGTAATGTTTTGTTCCGATGGAAAGACTTAGTTAACGCTGGGGTTAGTGCTTAAAGTCGAATCACTGCTGCAAAATTGAAGGTCCTCAAATCAAGAGAATACAATCTACCGCAAGATACAAACTACCAAGTTATCACTACTAGCAGACCAATTCAATGGTAATATCAATTCATCGCCAATATTATGTACGAACGATTTACTGCAACGAGCATATAAAAGAAAAGAAACCAGACGCATCTACAACCCCGGAACCTTGAAATCCTTGTAGCCCCATTTCTCCGTAACCTCTCTCCTGGGCTTGCGCGGTTGGGTTATCGGCTTGCGAGACTCGAGCTTTCCTTGCACCATCAATGTCCGGAATCGATCGTCCAGAAGGTTGCCTTCAGGCTTCAACATGCGCAAGGAATCTTGCAGCTCGTCCGGCAGCACCACCTCAAGATTCTTCTCAGGGACCCTGGCACAAAGTTAGTGGAGAATAAGTGTGAGGGATTGACAAGAGACACGTACGGGATCTTTCCTCCCAAAGGTCGTCGTCGCAGGACGGTATCATCGCCTTCTGATTCGTCGCTTGAGTGTTGGGCATGGTACAGCTCTCTCTGCTCGGCCGTCACCTCGCCGATCGCCGCCCGGGCAAGCTGGTCTTCCTTCTTCTTCATCTGGGCCTCCCATCGGGCCTTGCGCTCCTCCTCCTTCCGCTTCTTGATCTTATTCCTCTGGGTCTTGGTCTTGCGCTCGGGTCGCTTCTTGTTCAGCCATTCGGGCTTCTCGTATTCGCTCTCGAACCCTTCCCACGCACTCTCATCGTCGGACTTGGCCTCGCCGTTATCATTCTGGGCCTCCTCGATCATGCGCTGCTTTTCTTCCTCCTTGCGCTCCTCCTCCAGGCGCTTCTTCTCATCGTCCACGGCCTGCTGACCCTTCTCCTGGAGAAGTCGGTCCCAGTCCTCAAAGGACGGGTTGTAACTGACACCAGCACCCGGCGTGCGCACAGCAGGAACCGGCTTGCCATTAGCGGCGAGAGAGGTGGGCGCGCGCTTTAACGTATCAGGAGCCACCTTGGCCTGAGGCTTTGGCAGGTAATCAAACTGAGGATCCTCCACTGCTGGCGTCTCATCTTCAATCTCCGCCCAAGGATCGTACAGCTTGTTCGTGGTAAGGTTCACAGGCTTGTTCTCCTTGGCCACCTGCTTCAGGCGCAGCCAGTCCTTGCGGGTCACCCAGTCGCTCTTCTGTCTCTTGGTCTTGGGCTCGATCACTCCGTCCGTCACCTTGGAGTTCACCCGCTTGCGGGAGTCGACGGCGGGGATGGCTGATCGCTTGGATAGAATCTCGTCTGACTTCAGCGGCTTGTGCTGTTTCTCGTAGGCCTTGCGGATCTCCGCTGCGCCGGACTTATCGATCGTGAACAGTTCATCGGAGGGCTTCTCTGCCAGGACACCACTAGTCACCACATAGCGCGTCAGTTTCTGTCCGTATCAGAGTAAAGATCAAACTTCATACCCTTTGATTTCTTCATCCTTCAAGAGCCGTAAACCATCCTGAACCTCGTCAATATCCACATTTTTCCTCCAGGCCTTCTTGCCCTTTCGAGAAGGCTGGCTGTATTGCTTCGGAGCAGTAATTTGAGCAGACATCGTGGTAGAAATCCACCGGACAGTCCAGCGGAATTGATGTAATTTCTGCTTCTTTTTTTTTAGAAGAAAAAAAAAAGCCCGATAACGCTATCACCCATTTCGACCAAAAATCTGGATCTGCTTATCTAAGCCCGCGCGGGGCGACAAACCCGCGACTCCGGCGCCTAGAGCGGCTAGTGGTCACGGACTTCGCATCAGATCAAGAGACGCTTTTGCACCCGCGTCAGTTCCTTATCGACAGCGACCACCGTGGATTCAGTTCCGGGGGTATATTTCTTCCTCTTTTGTCATTCCAGTGCTGTCGGATATCATCTTATCTTTCCGTCTATCCCCTGGTTCATTGGCCCGTGTTAAGTGACGAGCACAGCTAGCTGAGCTTTACAGCCATGCCGGTCGTCAAAGGAGGTGTCTGGTACGGACCTATCCCCGAAAATTGTGGTCAACGACACAACGTGCTAATTGTGCTTTCTAGGACTAATATCGAGGATGAAGTGCTTCGGGCAGCGGTATGTCAACGATAGCATCCCAGATAACGAAGTGTCTAGCAAATATGCGATCTAAATTACTAACGCTCTCTTGTCAAAGGTGTCCAAGTACGGCCTCAACCAGTGGGCGCGTGTCTCGTCGCTCCTGAACCGAAAAACCCCCAAACAGTGCAAAGCGCGATGGATCGAATGGCTGGACCCCGGTATCCGCAAGGTCGAATGGTCGAGGGAGGAGGACGAGAAGCTGTTGCATCTGGCCAAGTTGATGCCCACCCAGTGGCGCACGATCGCGCCTATCGTTGGACGCACGGCTACGCAGTGTCTTGAGCGTTATCAGAAGTTGCTGGATGAGGCGGAGGCGCGCGAGAACGATGAGTTGGGTCTGGGTGGTCCGTCTGGTGCGGAGGCGGCGGCTCCCAGTGCGGATGATGTTCGGAGACTACGGTATGGAATATTCTCTGCTCAGTTTATCTTCTTGTTGTGTTTTGGGTGAAGCGCATAGACTAACAAGCACAGACCCGGTGAATTAGATCCCGATCCGGAGTCCAAACCCGCGCGTCCCGATACGATCGATCTCGATGAAGATGAGAAAGAGATGCTTAGTGAAGCTCGAGCGCGTCTGGCCAACACGCAGGGAAAGAAGGCGAAGCGCAAGGCTCGTGAGCGGCAGCTGGAGGAATCTCGACGACTGGCCGTGCTACAGAAGCGTCGCGAGCTCAAAAATGCCGGCATCAACATCAAAGTCACGACCCGCAAGAAGGGCGAAATGGACTACAATGCGGACATTCCGTTTGAGAAGCCGGCGGCGCCTGGGTTTTACGACACGATGGATGAGGAAGGTCGAAATGAAAAGCAGCGAGAAATGTTCGATCCCCGGAAACAGCAGCTGGCGATTAAGCGGAAGGGAGACCAGGGTGAAGATCCGGAGCGCAAAAAGCGTAAGAACGACAAGGGCGGCAGCTCGTCTGCTGCTGCTGCCCGGGCCGGTCAGATGCAGAAGATCCGTGAGGCCGAACAGAGCAGCAAGAGAAGGGCTTTGGTCCTCCCGACTCCCCAGGTCAGCGAGGGAGAGATGGAGGATATCATCAAGATGGGGATGGCGGGAGACCGTGCCAGCAAGATGTCGGCGGACGAGGAGACCACGCGGGGACTGATTGGTAACTACACACCTATGGTCGGCCAGACTCCGATCCGGACCCCTCGTGCGCCGCCGCAGGAGGATCACATCGCCAATGAAATCAAAAATATCCGAGCCTTGACGGAAACGCAGTCGTCCTTGCTGGGTGGGGAAAACACGCCTTTGCACGAGGGCGGGTCCTCGACCGGGTTCGACGGAATCGCCCCTCGCCGTCAGCAGATCGTCACACCCAACCCCATGGCAACACCCTTCCGACAGGCCAACGGGGTCGGCGCCACCCCCGTGGCGGGTGGAGTTGGGCCTGGGGCTACTCCCCTGCGGACCCCCCGTGATCATTTCGCCCTGAACGAGATGGAGGCCGGGCAACTCGTCGCGGCCACCCCGAAAGATATGAAAATTAATCGCCAGAGCATCCGGAGCCGGTTGTCCGCGCTGCCCAAACCCAAGGAAACAGAATGGGAGCTGGAAGAACTCCCGTCGGAATCCGCCGAGCCAGCCCCGGGAACCGAGCTGACAGAGGAAGACGCCGCCGAACGGGACCAGAGAGAGCGTGAGGCGCGAGAGGCGGCCGCTCGGGCCGAGCTCTTGCGTCAGTCTCAAGTATATCAGCGATCGCTACCCCGACCCAGCATACTCGACACCGACGCCCTGATGGAGCGTGCTGCGCGTGTGTCCGATCCCGTTGGCGGTTTGATCGCCAAGGAGGCCGCCCTTCTCATCGCTAACGATGCGCGCAAGTTCCCGCTCCCCGGCTCCAAGGTGGAGGGCAAGCCGCGGAAATTGGCCCAGCTCGACGATGGCTTACTCGACGCGGCCCGCGCCGCGATTGCTGCCGAGGCCACTTCGTCTGTGCAGCAGCAAGAATGGCAGAACGGCTTCGATGACCAGTGGTCGTCGACCCACACCGGCAGCCTTCCCGGTCTCTCCAACTATGCCGACGAGGAAGAGGACGATTACCAGCAAGAGCAACGAATGGTAGACGCCTTTGATAACGTACAGAACTCGTTAATAGCGACCGCTGAGCGGGGGAACAAGCTCGAGAAGAAGCTGGCTCTCCATTACGGTGGATACCAGAACCGGGCGAAAGTGCTTCGGAACAAGATCGTCGAGGCCCATACCGCCCTGGAGCAGTCGAGGTGCGACCTGGATGCGTTCCGCACGTTGCAGATCTCAGAGGAGTCTGCTGTCTCCCGGCGTCTGGAGAAGCTGCGGGATGATGTTGCATTTGTGATGCGGAGAGAGCGCGAGGCGCAAGAGGGTTATCGGACGCGCAAGGATGAGTTGGACGATCTGGTTGCTGGGACGGGGGGGATGGTTAATGGATGGCATTGAAGGAGGCATTCGACTCTAATCTACTGAGTTTCGTGTCCAGTTGTTTCTTTCTTTGTCTAGGGCTATATCCACGTGTATATCAGGTTGACTACAGAGTGTCTTGATTTCCCTACTTGTATGACTGGTATTAGAATTGGCAATCATCAATTAATAGTGTACTTGATCTCAGCATATAATCCAACCCATACACCTCATCCTGTACACACCTTACGTGGGATCTACACAGTGCTATACCCATGAAGCTGACTTCCCTACCGAAAGCGGACGAACCAGAGACCAAGAAAGGCGGTCTCTCCGCCACCAATACCGTCTCCGCCTCCCGTCCACCTCCTTCATCCGCCATCATCGCCAACCTCATTTTCCATCCCATTTCCATCCCCCTTTCCATCCATAAATTCCATAAATCCCCTCATTTCATCGAGCATCCATCTCCCAGCAAAATGGGCATCAGCGGGGAGCCCACGGGCACGCCCGACCCTGTCGACAAGGGTTTCGCCACCCTCAATACCGTCCGGTAGGTTTTTAGATCCCTTTTTTCGAGCGTAAAAATTTTATATGGCATTTTTAAAGCCGGTTTTATCGGTCGCGTGTGCTGATTTCGTTGTTAGAATCGGTGTTAAAGCCATGGTGCAGAAGGTAAGTTCGCTGTCGCACCCTACGGTGGCGGATTTCGTTTGATATTACATCACGTGATATCCACTTGCCGCTTTGGGTTCCATATGGGTTGGACGGTTGCTGATCTGTATGGTGTAGGATGGCGAGTTGAGAAAGGCGGAGATCTTGTCGATTCGACAGCGGAAAGATGGTCCTAGTTTTTAGTACGTTTTTCTGCTTGTTTCACTCTAAGACGAGGATGCTAATGATTGCAGCGTCCACTATGTCGACTTCAATAAGCGTCTTGATGGTGAGTTCTGTTGCTCGAGTATTTCTATGGATTGCTCATGCTCATATTCTCGCAGAATGGGTTGACTCTGGGAGGCTTGATCTATCACAAGAGGTAGAGTGGCCTCAGCCCGAGAAGCCAGAGAAGAAGAAAACAGGGCCCGGCAAGGCCCCCAGCAAGAACACACAGAAGCGCCCTCGAGCCGGGAGCCGTGAAGTGTCTGCCACTCCTGATCGTTTGACCGGAAAGAATGTCAATATCGGGAAAGTCCAGCGTCCGTCCAAGGCGGGCGGGAAAGAGAACCGCGGCGATGAGACCCCGCGCCTCTCCATCGGTGGCTCAGAAGCCGTCTCCTCAGACGGGACTCCCAAGCCGGAGTCCGACGACGTCGACATGATCGACGTCGGCTTCTCCGAGACCAAAGCCGAGAAAGAACAGAGCAAGATGTCCCGAGAGCAGGAACTCGAGCGGCTCCGAACAAGCGGCAGCATGACACAGAACCCGACGGAAATCCACCGCGTCCGCAACCTCAACCGTCTCCAAATGGGCAAGTTCGACATCGAGCCCTGGTACTTCTCGCCCTACCCGGCCTCCTACTCCGACGTCGACATGGTCTACATCGACGAGTTCTGCCTCAGCTACTTCGACAGCCGCCGCGCCTTCGAGCGCCACCGCGCAAAATGCACGCTCGTCCACCCGCCCGGAAACGAGATCTACCGCGACGACAACATCTCCTTCTTCGAGGTCGACGGCCGTCGCCAGCGCACCTGGTGTCGCAACCTCTGTCTTCTCAGCAAACTCTTCCTAGACCACAAGACCCTCTACTACGACGTCGACCCCTTCCTCTTCTACTGCATGTGCACCCGTGACGAAACAGGCTGCCATCTCGTCGGATACTTCTCCAAGGAGAAGGACTCCGCGGAGGGCTACAACCTCGCCTGTATCCTCACGCTCCCGCAGTACCAGCGCCGAGGATTCGGCCGCCTGCTCATCTCCTTCAGCTACGAGCTCAGCAAGCGAGAGGGGCGACTCGGCTCGCCTGAGAAACCGCTCAGTGATTTGGGCCTGCTGGGTTACCGACAGTATTGGCGGGAGACGCTGGTGGAACTGCTTATTGAACCCCACCGGGAAGCTTTCAGCGAGAATGAACTCGCTACGATGACTTCCATGACGGAGAAGGATGTCCACGAGACACTTGTTGTTTTTAACATGTTGAGATATCACGTATGTTCCTCTTTCTTCTTCTTCTCTCTCTCTCTCTCTCTCTCTCTCTCTCTCTCTCTCTCTCTCTCCCTTTCTCTCTTTCTCTCTCTCTCTCTTTTTTTTTTCTCTCTCTCTCTCTCTCTCTCTCTCTCTCTCTCTCTCTCTCTCTCTCTCTCTCTCTCTCTCTCTCTCTCTCTCTCTACTTCCCCCTGTCCAACAAGAACTCAAACTAACACCCCACAGAAAGGAAACTGGGTCATAGTGCTCACAGACCAAGTCGTCGAAGAGCACAAGAAACGCCTCGAGAAAGAAAAAATCAAAGGCAAGCGCAGCATCGACCCTGCACGACTGCAGTGGAAACCACCTGTTTTCGCTGCGTCGGCCAGAACATGGAATTGGTAGTGCGGCACAGCATGCAAGTAGAAAAACCATAATAAATTCCATCAAAGGAAGGGGAGAGGAAAATAAGAAAGGTTATGGATGGATGGATGGAGTTTCGATACCCGATATATGTATGGAGTTTGGGTTTGCTTTGGTTTTCTCTTTCTTTCTTATTTTTGTGTCTTTTCGTTTAGGCTTTATCACTTATATTCAATTCTTTTGTTGGTGGTTCTTGTTTCGCATTGCACTGCATTCAGTCTATGTAGCACAGTGTATGTATCATCATCATTATTATCTTTGCCCGTACAGACATCTAGATACCAAAAGCTATTCCTACTGATGTGTATCCAGCTATCGAATGCCCAAGGCCCATGCTGTGCTGGCACCTTACCCCGCGTTCTATAAGAACACTCCTGTTCTCTTCTAGCCCTCTCCTTCAAACACTCAACCCACCTTGTTTTACGCGAATCCTCTCTCTCGATCAGATATTGTGCCTACCAATGAATCCCTGTACTAGCGGTTCCTTTTTCGCCGAGCCTCCCATCCGCATCCGAGTTGGCAGCGACAAAAAGACCTACTATGCTCATCGGCAGGCCTTGTCGGCAAATGCCTCATCGGCTTTGCATGCCAGAGTCACCGGGCCCTGGCGGGAATGTGGAGAAGAGGAAATCGACTGGACTGACTTTGACGAGCAGACGATCAGTTGCGTCCTACAATTCCTATATACCCAAGAGTACAATGTCAGAAAACCTGTCCAGCTTGCAGAGAAAAGCTCCCAAAGCGATGCTGGGAAGGGACAGGGACAACATCCTGGGAGTCGAGCAGATGAAGGAGGATCATCAGGTATCCTTGCCACAGTGCCAGCAGAGCATACTGTTGCAAGGCCTGAAGCATATGAGCAGCAAGCACCTGAAGCCGACGAGCCTGAAGACGACGAGCCTGAAGACGACGAGCCTGAAGACGACGAGCCTGAAGACGACGAGCCTGAAGACCCGATTGATCGTCCCCTAACCCCGCTGAGCCACTACTTTGCAACATCCATACCAGTCAAGCACGACCCTCCAACAGGTGGGGATTCCTCTCAAACGACGTATGAGGGCGAACCAAACGAGGTCTTGGTTCATGCGAAAGTCTATACATTCGCCCATCGGTATCTCGTGGATAACTTAGTACAGTATGTTTTGCAACGGCTGAAGAGGATTCTTATTGCTATTCAAACGAAGCAGCTGGGATTTTGTCCGCAGCTTGCGGAATCCATTTCCCTCATCTACGGCGCGACATCTGCCTATGGTGCTCAAGGAGACCCTGCGAGAAACATACTCTCCCAGTTCGTTGCGCTGAACTATACCGCTATGTACGGGAGCGGCCTTGAAAAACTTTTGGCTGAAGAAGGGCAATTTACAATTGACTTGTCCCGGAAGCTTGCGAGAAGACTTATGAATAATCCACTAGAGGAAAAGCTAAACGAACTTTCGACTGCACATGAGTCTCTGTCTGCAGATAAGGAAAGGGAGATAAAGCGTCTCACACGGGAACTGAAAGAATGGGACGACTGGAACGCAAGCCGTCCTCTGAACAAACGAAGATCGATGCCATCGCGGGATACCGGTTTTTTCGGCTGATTTTTTAAACCCGACGTTCATCAATCTTTCTGGTCTCAAGTGAACGATATCAGCGCCGCAGATAATCATATATCCACGGCTTGTTCTTCTCTGAGCGTGGCAAATGTTGTTGCTAATTATGAGACATGACTCTTCACCCCGAGGAAGGATCGCGTGGGATTGCGAGACAAAGGCTGAAAAATATTTTCTCAGAGAGAAAGGAAACAACATTCAGTATTGCGTTTCGAACTATCCAAAACATGCCGAGATACTGGCCTTGGTTTCAATTTAGGTGAATCATTAAGTCAACGAGTTACTTCTAAGTATTCTGGATCCTAACCACGCAGACGCCCGTTTCTACACGTCTCCTCCTCTGAATTCGTTGAAACGAGCGTGGCTGGCACCCTTGGAGGAGATACTTATACCAGTAACGAAAATATTATCACAGGATTGGTAATATTCCTAGGACACTTGTAATATCACTACAGACTGGTAACACTCCTAGAAAAGTCTTCTAGGTAGATAGGTAGATAGGTAGATAGGTAAGTACGTAAGATGGGAAGATAGGTAAAGTTCAGCTCTTCAAGCAAGTCCATCAGATACACACACGCTCACACACAATCTCTTATCTTATATAGCCAGGAAATGCTTCCGTGAAGACTTTAATCGAGAACGCCATACTTGCCTGCTCATTGACACGGTTCGAAAGCAAGTCCTCTCACTTTGCTGCGTATGTGGACCGTCTCTGCTACCTGGTCAAGTATATAGGTTTGCTTTCGCTTGCTCTCTTTCTCATTCTCCCTTCTTTCATTTGGTACCGAAGACGGCTGCGGGAGATGATGGGGGAGGAGGATATATATAAAACTAGCTGCATCTGATCTTACCATTCTCTAGCTAGGCGGGACAAGATCAAAGGAGTAGAAGACGGGGGTGCGGTATAGATGTTGCTTTAAGGCTGTATTGTTGAGGCGTTTTGGATTAGAGAAGTGCAAGCCGGGTTGAGCCATCCATCATCCACAAAAGGTCTAGGGACGAGATAAAAGTAGTAGAGTAGTTCGTTGAATGAACAACGAACAAAACGGGGATCAATCCAGAGGATAGGTAGGTAGGTATGTTCCCCCCGAACAACCTCAGTTACCGTGGTGAATATACATTATACATACGCAAAGGTTCAGTCACAAGAGTAAATAGTTCAGCTGTTGCGCTTTCTGGAAAAAAGCGTAGTTATTTGTATGTACTCGCTCTCGCTCGCGCTCGCTTTGTCTTGCTTCCCCCACCCCCCATTATGTATGTCCGTTTCAATCAATTCAATGTGATGTGGTGTGTTGTGATGTAATGCGAGGTGACATCCCTTTGTTACTTCCAGAAACTAGAAACGAGCGCCAGCCTGGTAAGAGGCAGAGAGAATGATGTACGGCTGGCTGGACCAGGGGGGAAGAATAAGATAAGAAGAAGGGGGGGAAAAGGGCACATTAATGGAGAATGGAATAGATAGACGACGAATGCAAGAACAGTAAGAAAAGAAGAAAGTAAACAGCGAGGAAGAAAGGAGAAAGAAAAAGAAAGAAGAAACCAGTCCAGACCCAATGAATTTCCCACACAGGCGTAGCTCATCAATACCGAAATAAAAACGCTCAAGGAATTACTCGAAACCCGGCAAAAACCAATTCAAATCCGAGAGGGGGGGTTGTGGGCAGTGATGAATTCGAAAAAATGCGACTTCCTCACCTGCCTAATAAAGAGGATCTTGCTCAATCGGGCCGATTTAACGGGAGCCGCTGAAGCTGCGTGGTCCCCAGGAGGAGTTGTTGTTGTTATTGTTGCCTGAGTTGCCTTTGGACTGGTGGCGCGGAGACCCAGTTCCGCTTGTCTGTTGAGACGTCGACTTTTTGGGATTCGAGCCTCCAGTTGTCTCGCGGGGCTTTCCACTCCTTCGTGATTTGAAGGTTGAGGGTCCCCGAGGTCGAGAATGTTGGCCTCCGGCTTTCTTGGAAAGCACAACCGTCTTCGGGGCACTTACACCGGAAAGACGAACGTTGATTCGGACATTTCCAGACTGATCCTTGTCGTAAGGTCCAAATGAGAATGGCTCAACGCTGTGGACCTGCATCGCCTTGAGATGTTTCGAACGTAGGCGAGATTGGGAAGGGGGTGGTGCTGCCGCCCATGCCGCTGCGGGGGCCATGGTAGGGACTCGGACGACAGGCAGAGAGCCTGCTTCACGGTCCTCAAACATCTCCTCTACCTCCTCAACTTGCCGGGCAATGACCTCACCGTCTCCAACAGGAAGCTCTCCGTTGTTGGGGAGTGACACCGAGACGGCGGCGATGTGCAGTGGTACATCAAGCGGCTCCTTGGACGATGACGTGACCGCTAACGCGCTCTTCTTCTCATGTGCCGTTTTCTTCCCGAAAAGGCAGTCGATTTTCTCTTGCCACGAAGTCGCAGTAGACACAGGAGCTGTCCGCGGGGGGGCGGCAACCATAGAGGCGAAGGTTGGAGGTGGTTGAGGTTGAGCGACCACCTTGGGAGGAAGTTTGACGATAGGCTTCGGCCCAGGAAGATGCACCAAAGGCTTGTGCGAATCGCCAGTGAAGACAGGATGGCTCGCCATTTCTTCTGGGGGAGGTGGCGAAGGACTACGCATGTAGTCCGGTTCCTCGAAGGCCGACTTCTTCTGTTCCGTGACCTGTGGGAAGAACCTCGAACTGCGGACAGGGACGCTGCCACTTGGGCGTGCATGAGTCTCGGTGAATGGAAGCGTGCTGACAGCGGGTTCAATAGTGGCAAGGGGATTCGGGAGCGGCGCACTGCTGTCAGTGGACCTGGAGATTCCGACAACCTGCCTCTGACCGACTTGTTCCCCTGTGCGGACCTGCCGCCAGGTCTCGTTGAACGCGACTGGGAGTGACGTCGCGCCCTCCCGAATCGAACCCATCTCATTCCGAAGTTTCTCGCTTTCTTCAGCCTCGCGCTTTGCAGCAACGGTGGGGAAGTTGTTCCAAGCCGTTGTGCCCGCAACGCGGTTCTCGTGTTGCCGGTGATGCTGCTGGGAGCTGGGGGGTCCAATCGGGCCCGGCCGCACAATAGAAGGAGGGGGAATGAACCGGACCTCCGGGGATGGCAAGGGGGATATCGACGCACTGTCCTGCGGGGATCGGGATGGAGCAGAGAAAGGCTGAGACCCCGGGGGAAGAGCCGGCTGCTCTAAGCCAAAGTGGCTTCGTAGGGAGATGTCCCGAGATGGGAACCCTCCAAGGCCTTGTTCAAATATGCCATTGCCGAGAGTCTTGTCATTGCTGAGTGGCTTCCAAGGATTTGACAGGGAAGGGGAAGTTCCGACGAGCTTGGCGTTTGCAGACCACGGCGAATATGTCGTCGGGACATTGGTGGGGACATTGGTAGGGACATTGGTAGGGACATTGGGAGGGACATTGAGGCCACCTCTCCATTGAGGGCTCTGCTCGTCGATCTTGGCTTCAGGGCTTTTATCATGGGCTTGCGTTTGAGTGTCATCGGACTGCTGCAATCCATTGGCCACGGTAGGTTCGGGCCTGGGTTCGCGGTGCGGCGACGCGGCGCGGCGAGCGTTCGGAGCGGTCTCCGTCGGCCTGTCCTTCCCAACGAGCTTTTTGACAGTATCCGGGTGATGGACCTTCATCATTCCATATTGTTTCGGTTCCCCAGTTGGTTCCGGGACCGGCGGTTTGGGCGGCGACTGTATGACATGCGCGGGGGCTGCCGGTGAATGCGCTTCGGGTCGGCCGCCATCGACCGATTCCTTGCGCTTTTCTGCCGGCTTCGCCGGCGCCGGGCCCAGCGCTTCGAGCTTTTGCCGAATTCTTTCGCGCTTGGCCGCTTCTTCCTTCTCTTCCTGCTCGATTCTTCGCTGTCGGGCTTCCATCCGCTTCTCCTTCATGATCCGTTGTTGTATTGCAACCGGATCCTCTTGGGGTGCCTGGGGTGCCTGTGGGGCCTGTGGTACCGCAACATGATCATGATTGTCTTCGGCGGGGTGGGGACCTGCTGGGGGTGCAGCTACACCAGGCGCGGCTGGGCCTTGGTCATATACGGGCCCAGCGTTGCGTTGAGGCCAAGGAGCCCCTGGACCACGCCGCGACGGTGAAAGTTCACGGTTGTGAGTTTCTCTCGGTGCTACCTCTCTGGACTGTATCGACGGGTCCGCCATTCCGTTGACCAGGGATCCTCTCCTATTGTCAAATGACCGTTGCGCAGCGTCAGGTCGACCAATCGACATCCGACGACCGAAGCTGCCACTCCCTCCGCTTACGTTAGATGACGTCCGGCGGCGCGGCCAATGCATGCCATCTTGACCGCTGGACCGATGGGTTTGGAAAGCCGCGGAGGGCTCGGCAGGGCCGGTTTGTTCACCAGGCGCGGGCCTTTGCAGCACAGAAGGAGTCCGCACGTTCTGCTCGGCGCGCCAAGTGCCCTTTCGAGGTTCGGCGACGGGTTCATAACGACCAGATCGCGAGTTATAGAGCTCGCGGGTACCGGACTGTTCCCTCCATACACGGTTGAAATCATCTGCGGCGATCTCCTTCGGCGGTGGAGGTCCTTGGAAACCATCATGGCGGACGGGTTCTTTCACTGGAGGGCGCTGCAACGGTTGAATCTGAACGGGCGGCATAACGGGGGACATCTTCTCCACCGGAGGCAGTGGTGCCCATGGCGATTTGACAGGAGGGGGAGGGGCGGGGCTAGTGGACGACGACAGAGATTTGTCGCCAGGTCCCTTCATGGAGAAGCTTCCACTCTTGATCTGTCGTTCTGAGTTCGCCCCGAGTCGCAGAATTGTCGGATTCGGGCCGACAGAAGTTGTAGGTTTCGGAACAAACTTGGGTGTCTCCTTGGTGATCGTAACGTGTTCAACCGGCGGGAACTCTTGCGGGGGCTCTTGCGCAGTCTCTACTTCACGAGGCAAGACCTCTTGCCTAGGTTCTGCAGGCGGTCTGTCATCAGGGATGACTGGCGGCGCAGTCTCTGGCTGAGGCTCCGGCTCTGGCGGCTGGTTCAGGTTGCTCTTCGTCCCATCCGTCCATTCGATTGTCTCCGGGGCCCAGTCGTCTTCGTCATCATCGATATCGGCCCATTTCGATTCCGTTCCGCCACCGTCTTCTTGAATGCGCGATGTCAAGTGGATTCCATAGTGTTGCTTCAGTTCTTCGTCCGTCAGATTCTTCGGAGGTGTTTGTTGTACCGCTGCGTGTCGTATGTTAGCTTGCTATTTCTCCCTTTTAGTGGAGGCAGGGGAAGGGTTACGTCGATTCTTATTCCACACTTGGTTTGGGTCCGGTCCATGTGCTCCTGATTTAGCCGCACCGGGCCCGGTCTTTGACAAAGCGTCTCGTAGGCTGCCCGTCGTTTTCGCGACCAAACGCGGCCTTGAGCTCGGCAGCGGCGTCCCCAAGGGTGTGGTCGAGCTAGACAAAGGGGCTGTGACAGGTCAGAAAGCCGTCGAGGCGATACTTTTCAGGGGTATGAATACCTTTTTCCGCTGGTTTGGTCGTCGGAGAAGCACCCGGGGCCTTAGGAACCGAAAACTTGGCGAAGCTGACCGGCTTGAAGGATGCGGGCTTCTTGGGACGCGAGCCCAGTTTGCCGTCTGTCCGACTGGCATCGGATTCCGAGCCGCCCAGCGAAGCCGTCTCCTCTCCAGCCTCCGACCCCGACGCTACTCCGTTCATTTCCAGTGCTCGCGTGGCTACCGCCCCCGGACTCTGCTTCGGGATATCCTACACCAAATCTCAGTAAAGACCTCCCAAGAGTCGAAAGGTCGAAAGGTCGGCAAGACTCACAGTCGACGATTTCCCAGAGTTCCTTCCCGATTCATTCCGTTCCGTCGAAGATTCGGCGTCCGTCCTCTGCTCGTCGTGTGGCGTGTTGACCGTGATCTCGGATTGCGATGTTGAAGCGGTATGATTGAACTCCCCCACGTCCCCTCCAGCAGTGTGCTTGTCGTTGGTGCTCGCAGGAACGTCGGAAGGCGAAGGGTCGCCGCCCGACAGGGTTTGTTTTACCACATCGTGGCTGCTCTGCTCTGCCATAACAATTCCCGAGTCTGTGAGGTCGACAGGGTGCGACATCTGTTAGACAAGCGATCTCAAACGGAAGGCAGGGTAAAGAGTGGCGACGAGAAGCGTGGACTGAGAGATAGACATGAAGGAACGATCTGAGAAGTACCTATTGTGAGGTATCGAGAATCGTCACGGTCGAACTGCAAGGCAAGATCCAGTGGCTGGGACCGTCAGAAGCTCCCGTCGAGCCCGCGGATGGCGTTACAAGGCCCAGGTCGAAGGGCACGGGAAGAAAAGTGGCGGAGGAGGAGGTAAGCAACAAGTAACCGATCCAGTGATATAAGATGCTGCCCAGGAGATCCCAAAGGGGAGAGGGGGTGAGTGGAGAGGGGGGACTTTTGCAGGTGATGATCGGATGATGGCGAACAGCAGCAAGCGGAACTAATCGAATAGGTAGTCACTTGGCCTGAGGTGCCAGGGCGCCAAGGCTGGGTGTCTGTTTTGGGTTAGTCTCTCTCTCAGCCTGGTTGATTCTTTTTATGTTTATTCTCTTGTCTGAATGAATACGATTTTTCTTGTAGTTGAAGTGTTTAGAAGTCCAGATCTGTATTATTTATGGATAACTAGACAATCAAGTATTTTTCCCAGGACAGTTTTGTCAGCTAGGGGTTAAAATTCTGGCAGGAACCCTCCCACGATGATATTTCGGCACCCGGCAAACCAATACACACGGACATGATTTAACAGAACACCCGTACGATCAAATGTAAGACGATGATAGTATATGGATAGACTATTGGAAACAATAGGGGAAAATAAAGAAAAGATAATGTGAATGTTCGATTGAACTGTTCTACATTCGCATCATTCTAGGCTCTGCGGTATATACACAAATCCCCCGCGCCCAATCAATGATTCAAACCCTTAGTGGGGGTGGTTCTTGTGGTGGCCTAATCTTTGGTCAGTCTTCCCCTCCAGTACTTCCAGGGTTGGAGATACATACGCAGGTGGAAGTAGTACTCCATGCTGTAACCCAGGATCAGGATGGCACCGATGGCGTGGGCCAGGGCTGTTGCAGAGCACACTGATTAGCACCGACACGCCTGAAACCAATCATCACGACCGGTCAAAGGAAGAGGGAAGAACTTACGAGCGGCAGAAGGGTTCTTGCCCCAGTAACGCGCCTGGTAGCGGCCGATGAGACCAGTGGCCTTGATCTCAGGGGCGGCGCCACGGGGGAGTCTGGCGTAGAAGTTCACCACACGGTCCATACGAGCAGCATCCTTAGCAGCACCGATGGCCTAGCCAGATATTAGCCTTCCGATCATTTTGTCCACAATGATGGGGGTCGGTCGGTGTCGGCAACGCCATGAAGAGATTGCCGGGGAAGGGTGTCGTCGGTGAGGATCGAACTTTGGGGGTCTGATTGGATGGAACTTACGTTGGGGGAGGCGATCTAAGCACACATTAGCCTTGATCAATCAATGAAGGGGATTTTTCCACCCCAGTGGTCGGTTTGTGGTGGTTCTTACCTTGGGAGGGATCAAGGTCGAGAGACCTCGGCGAACGATGAAGCTCATCTTGGGCAAACTAGACTGGGGTTAGTCAACTTCAATTCAATGGCAACTACAAGATGCGTAATAAGCTCCAATAGGGTCGGGAGGTCTCACTGTAATACTGTCAAGTGAACTGGGGTGGTTGACAATGACGGAGGAGAAGGAAGTGCCAACGAGAAGCGGGTGGTCGGATGGGCGGCGGGTTCGCAAAGGGAGCCTCAGGCCACGCTAAACCCCATCGGGCGGTTCCTAAAACGACCGACCCTCGCCGCATACCTCACTACCAACCTTGCTCAGTTCTTGCTCCTCGTCTTTCCCCCTTCAACGACCCGACATATCCCCCACCCACCATGTCGCTCATCAGAGCAGGAACTGCCTGTTTCCGTGCCGGCCGTCTGGTCGCACCTCTCAATGCCCGTTTCGTTTCCGCCAACGCCGGTCCTGGTGGCCCGTCGGTGAAAACCTCCCCTTCGGATGCCCCGACCACCACCCACAAGAGTAGCACCTTGATTCGTCATGAGAGCCCCTCGGAGGCTATGGCCCGTCACCAGCCGGATTACGATGCCACCATTGATGCCGCTACCTCGTACGAGCCCTCCTGGATTGCGACAATGAATGGGCAAGACTGAAGACTAACCGTGCTTAGGCAATTCTCTCCTGTCCCCAAGCGTGTCATGGACGGCAGCGAGCCCGGCGAAACCGTTCCCGCCGCGGTCCTCTCCGGCGCACCCACCGACCTGCAGGCTCGTACGGTCAGGTAAGGGAATGAACTTGGAAAGAAATTGGGTGATACCAGTCACTGACCACATCCGCTAGAATCTACCGCCCCTCGAAGCCCGCGACGCAGTCCGGCACCTGGCACGGCCACCACTGGAAAATGGATTGGGACATCTTGCAGCGGGGTCACCGGTGGGAGAACCCGCTGATGGGCTGGCAATCGTCCGCCGATTTCATGCAGGGAACCGCCCTGACCTTCAAGTCCAAGGAGGACGCCATCATGTTCGCGCAGAAGCAGGGGTATGAGTACTTCGTGCAGGAGCCGAATGAGCGCCGCTTCGTGCCTAAGTCTTATGCCAACAACTTCGTCCACGAGCCGAAGAAGCTCAAGCACATCAAGACCAAATAATCGATTGTCTTCCTGGTGTATTATGTGTACATAATTGCAAGCTTTTGCTTCTATTCGGATTTTTTTCAGAGTCTAAATGATTTTCTGCGTTTGGGTTGGGCCTTCTATGAAACAAGATATAAGATTTCAACCGACGTATTGAGGCAAAAGCCGAGTTGATACATGCCATTGAGAATGCTGCACGACTCAAATTACGGTCACGGTTGATCCGCTCTGAACTGTGGCTCGTTCCTAGGTGCTCTCAAGGAGTCCAGAGTGGCACCAGCAGTGGTCAAGCTGAGGATCCAGGTTGAACAACGCGGACCATGAGATACTCTGGACATGCTTAATATCAAGTCACTTCCACAATACATCCATGCCTACATACCCTATTTAATATCGTTCGTCTATAATGGTTGCAGCTGCCACAACTCGAATTTCACACCCATTGGTCAATCAAATCAGCACGTCGATCTCTGAACTGCCACAGCGCTAGGCTCCATGCAGTGGCAGCTAGAAGTAGGGCGCATAGCACATGCAGGCACTGATTGAATGGCTGGATCTGATAAGAAAGACTTGAGAAACCAATGTACTATACGAGCTCCGTATCTTGTCATCAAGATCTTGCCAACGATGAAACTCCATGGCAACATCCAAGCCGATCCTTACCTGGTTCGAAACGTAAGATAGAGCAGGGGAGGATGTATAATATGGCTTTCTATAATTTATGGATTTCATTCACTAAATTGATATATATATAAATAGAAAATCTGTTGTCCGTCCGATTTGACATGTCATGCTATGCGACGTGCTTGATATGCGGATATATCGAACCGCATATTGATGCCGTTAAGAAATGCGATGTACACATGCCGTGATCTATATACATTGTAGCACCATATGACCCCAATTTCCAGAATCGCCAAATCTGCACTAGTTGAATTCAAAAAAAGCCACCAGAGTAGTCACTGGTGAAAGAGTTGAGGAGAGAAAAGACTTCCAAGAAAAGAAAAAGACAGGCCGCGCCGAGTGACCCCGCCACCCCACCTAAAATTTATTATCTACTAGTCAGTCATCACGATAAGATCGAAAAATCTACATACACCCCAGCAATTCAACAGCTCCCCATTTCTCCCTCCCCCCCCCAACCCAGAAGCGTCTCGGAAGTTGATATCTTGATCGAAAGCGAAAAGAGAAAAGAAAAATGTACACAGTCACAGACGAGACTCTCCAAACCCTCACGAGGGTCCTCAACGACGAGAACGAGTCGCTCGCTCGCCGCTTCCGGGCCCTCTTCTCCCTGAAGCATGTCGCCTGCCTGCAGCCCCCTACCGACAAGACCCTCCCCGCGATCAAGGCCATCGCTGCGGCCTTTTCGTCTTCGTCAGCGCTCCTCAAGCACGAGCTCGCCTACTGCCTCGGCCAGACCCGCAACCCGGACTCGCTGTCCTACCTCCACGATGTCGTGAAGGATCCCGAGGAGGACGCGATGTGTCGCCACGAGGCGGCCGAGGCGCTGGGTGCCCTGGGCTACGAGAGCAGCTTGGAGATCCTCAAGGCGTTGAGGGACAATGCGAACGAGCTCGAGGTCGTCAGGGAGACGTGCGATATCGCCGTGGATCGGATTCTGTGGGAGAACTCGGAGGAGAAGAAAGCCGAGCAGTTGAAGCCTAGGTGGGTGTTGCTACGATAACGATCACAGGAGAAAAAAAACGTATTTGGAATTAAGACAGGGATTTTGCTGATCGTGTTGATTGCCTTTCTTCGCTTTTCTTCGCTCTCTAGTGACTTCACTTCCATTGACCCTGCGCCCCCGGCGCCGCTGGCTACCGAGGAGCCGTCCATCCCGGACCTCGAGAAGACCCTCCTCGACACATCCATCCCGCTGTTCAAGCGATACCGGGCTATGTTCGCCCTGCGCGACCTTGCCTCCCCGCCGGACCTTCCTACTGCCGCCCCTGCCATCGACGCGCTGTCCAAGGGCCTCAAGGACCCGTCCGCTCTGTTCCGCCACGAGATCGCGTTTGTGTTCGGCCAGCTGTGTCACCCGGCCTCTGTCCCCTGCCTCACGGAGTGTCTCAGTAACCAGGGAGAGATGGGCATGGTGCGTCACGAAGCGGCGGAAGCGCTGGGCAGCCTGGGTGAGGTGGACGGCGTCGAGGACACGTTAAAGAAGTTCGTGAATGACCCCGAGCAGGTGGTGCGGGACAGCATCATCGTGGCTTTGGACATGGCGGAGTATGAGAAGAACGGAGATATTGAGTATGCGCTGATTCCGGCCACTGCTGCATGATGATGATGATGATGATGGATGGAAGGATGAACCGGAAGAGAAATGAATAATTACAATGTCGCCTATTTAATTGCCCTCGTCACTTCATAGATATACAATTGCGGAACCCAGAATAGAGTTTCCTTTTTTCTTTTTCTTTCTTTTCTCTTTCGTTCTCCCTTCTTGTTTGTATTCTCGTTTTGGGTCGTTTAATTGTTGGTCGTTTCCCTATAGTCAACGATTAGCACCCACAGCAGCTTCACCCAGACGGGACCGCGCCGCGACTTACTTGTAACCACAAACACATCGGTAGAAAATCGTACTCCCTTCGTCTGCACTGCGCAACTGCACCGCAGAGAAGTACATTTCCTTCCTCCCACACTTGGCGCACGTATGTTGGGCGATCGCCTCCGTCTTCCTATCCTCCGCGGTCAAGGTCTGCACAGCGGATCGTTTGGCGCGGAGAGAGGAGGGGAATGCGCTGGGCTTGGACTCGGAGATAACGGTCCCCGGAGCGGCATCTGAGGGGAAAGTGAGAGATGGGTCAGCGCTACTGAGAGGAAAGGCTTTTGAATCCAATGAATATGGGCTTATGTTCACCTTTGTTGCGCGCTCCGCAGACGTCGCAAAATAAGAAATTTGTCGGATCGGCGGAGGAGTTCTGGAGGAGGTTGCCGCAGTCGGTGCAGAAGAGGAGGGAGCCGATTGCGCTCATGGTGTGATGGTATGAAGGATTAATGAGAGATATAGACTGTTAGTTGGGTATGTAAGTGGATTAGAGTGGATTTATTATATAGAAATTATGAAGATGAGGGTATCGACGTATAGATTGTCGGGGAGAAATCGATCTACTTTTTTCTTCCCTTTTTTTTTAATGCGAATAAAATTATCCAGACCCAGCACAGACCATGCATTACTCTGACATTATTACTAAGTCGGGATAATCTGATTAGTGCCCAGGCGGTCAACAGCGGCAGCGGCAAGAGACCCGTGCCTGGCATCATTTATTGCATCGCCATAGAGAGCCTTCTTTGATCATGCGAGACATTCATGCCTCCTATTCTCAAGTTCTTCTTTCCTGACGGGGGCTTGTTTTCAGCACGGTAGCCATGTCTCTGGGCAGAGCATGTACCCGCTCTCATCTTATTTCTTCCGTGATTCCCGCCCCTGTTCGTCATTACGCTTCATAGTCTCCGTTGCTAGATAAGACCATGGACCAAACCTGGCAGCATCCGGCCGTGCAGGTCGTGATTAATGGCCACCCTCAGGCGCAGGCGCTGTCGCAGGCTCACCATGGTAGTGGCCCGCCGCAGCGCCGCGATCGCCCGTTGTATGTGGAAGAAGCGTTGCAGTATTCGCCCATGTCCAGCTCCCCGATATTCGGTTTAGGTGAGAAGACCGATGTGATGATCTGATCTTTCCCCGGAGAAAAGCAATGAACTTGGAGCTGATGCCTTGATGCGCGTTTTCATAGATTGTATTCTACGCCCGGACGTGGGTCGCCCTCCGAATACGACTTCCATCAACCATATCTTACAATCGGGTCGGACCGCGTTGAGTGATCTGAATGCGGAGGTGCAAGCTGGAGGAGCGGATGAGTCGAATCGCTTAGAGACGTCTCGGGAATATCTACAACAGTTGCTGGATGGAGACCAGTTGACGGAATTGTAAGCCGACCCGGGATCGTGTACCGATGACGAGAGAATGATGCTGATGCTGATGCCGCATAGTAAATTCAAGCTCCCGATAAGGGCGGGCAATAATCAGCCTCCTCCTCCTCCGCCGCCCACGGTGCCCCGTGAATATGGCCCCTCCCGCGATCACTTGGGCCACTTTGCGAAGATGATGTTGAACTCCACCGATATAGCGTTCAGGTGTAAGAGGGACCTCTTGCTTGGGTTGTCCCGGCTGATAGCTGACATGCGCCAGACCCCACTGCGCCTAATCCTTACGATGCAGGCGTCCCCCAGAAACCCGCTTCCTGGAATCAGAAAGCGCATGCGATGAACAAATCTCTCACTCCGTCCGCTACTCTCCCGAACAAATCTGTCACTCCGTCCGCTACTCTCCCGAACCAACAGACAAGCAACCTCTCCGTCGTGATACCCGTCAAGCCGATCCCGTCCTATGGAGAGGGCCGCGGTGACCCCAAGAGAAGGAGGCTCAACGCGGATGGGGATGATAGTATTGCCGCCGTGCGTCTCAAGGACCAGAAGGAAGAGGCTGATGCGGCGTTGGTGAAACTGCAGACTATGCTTCATGAGGAGGTCTTTACAACTGAGGACCAGGAGGAGGCAGGGGTGTTGTCGTCCGATGTCCATAGTCGTCTCCAGAAAGCGATCAGGAAGGTCATTGGCTTTAACCGGCTTCGTGACATTCCGTCGGATGACCTAAAACGGGTCCAGAAGCTCTGTGAAAAGCCCATAATGGATGCACGGACCGCGTATTTGAAGCTGGATGATCCGTCGAATGAGTTGGAGACCCAAGACTGGCTGAAGCGCTTGGAAGACCTGCACAATGCTCTCCTGGCAGTCGGCACGCTGCTGCAAACAATGTCGGGCTCGCGGACAGAACGAGATCTGTGTCCAGAAGATCTTATAGAGGCCATTCCCGACGTCCTCAACCAGACATTTGATAATTGCATCATCCCTGCCGTGGAGGCACGACCTGCAAACAAAGACCCAGGAAGTAAGGATGCCAAGTTTTTTGCATTCGTTTCCGGGGAAAGACGGACCATTGGCAGTGTGATCCAACAGAGCAAAAGGGACCTCGCCCTCTTCGCAGACTTCCTTGCGCGGGTCGAGGTCTCTGAGACTACGATTACGGCAACGCTGTTTTTCGCAGCCAAGCTGATCACTGTCGACAACGCGCACACCGAAAATAACTCCGCCGTGGGCTACCAGAAGTATGAGTCTGTCCGACGCGGGGCCATGGATGTCCTGGCAAAGATCTTCGCCAAGTATCCTGACCAACGACCCTACATTCTGAATGAAATACTGAGCTCGTTAGAGAAGCTCCCGTCGGGGCGACAAAGTTCTAGGCAATTCAAGCTCGCCGATGGGAAAAGCATCCAGTTTCTGACTGCCTTGGTCATGCAACTTGTTCAAACCACTGCCTTAGACGTGCCTGGCTCTCGATCGAAAAGAGCTAGTCGTGGGAAGCCACCTTCCGCAGATGACGAAGAGGAACCTCCTGAGGAAGAAGAGGAAGACGAGGACGATGACGGTGATGAACCGGAGACCCTGGAGCACCTTGCGTCGAAAGTCGATCGCTTGTACGACAACGCTGTGCGTAGCGCCCAGTCTATCGTCAAGTTCATTGTCCAACGAGCAATGACGTCGACCAAGACCGGTGACCAGCCGTACCGTAATATCCTTGACCTCTTTACCGAAGACCTGATAAGCGTGCTCGGTTCGACAGATTGGCCGGCCGCGGAACTACTCCTGCGCATCATGGCGTCTCACATGGTCGGGATTGCGGACCATGACAAGAGCCCGGCTACTGCAAAGAGTATGGCCCTTGAACTGCTGGGCTGGATGGGCTCCGCCATATCTGATCTTATTGTGACTGCCCAGCATCTGCTTCCGGCCATGGAGGAGTCAGACAGCGATTTAACAGATTATTTGAGGCAGCTTTTTGATGATTATTCGAATCGTGCCTTACACCCCCAGGATCTCGTTGTGCCTGAAGGCCCCTATCGCATGACCTTGGAATACTTTTCCCAAGATCGTGACCAGGATAATTGGCAAATTGCGAGCGCCCGGGGTTACTATCTGGCGCATTGGGCAAAGACGTTTTGTTCTGTTTACTATAGTTCGGATGATAAGGATGGTGGCGTCCGGGATGATGTGGTCGAAGATCTGGTGGATCTCTTGTCGAATCTCTTCTCTCACCCGACTTGGCTGGAGACCAACAAGTGAGTGTACCTGCCCCGGTATCTAACCGTTTATGATGCTGACCTGCATTCGTTATCAGACATTTTGGGAAGATTTCCACCGCGCATGGTAGGTTCGCGTACATCCTGACGGCGCTGAATTCCGGCTTCTGCAAGGCCTTCGACACGATTTTGAAAGTGCTTTTGAATTCCATCACCAGCGATCAGGCCAAGGTTCGCAGCCGGAGTCTGAAAAGTGTGATCTATATGCTTGAGAAAGACCCAAGCCTTCTTGATCGAGATGCGTCTGTCATGCGCGTGATCCTCCGATGTGCCACCGATGCATCCCCGATGGTCCGTGATTCTGCGCTGTCCCTGATCGCAAAGTGCATTGCCTTGAAGCCCAAGTTCGAAGAAGATGGCTGCCAGAGCATACTGATCTGCGCTGCTGATCCGACCGCTGGCGTCCGGAAGCGCTGCATTGGACTCCTCAAAGAGATCTATCACAAGACGTCGCGTAGCGAATTAAAGCTGCGGATCTTGGACAGCTTTCTCCAGCGGACCGGTGATCTCGAGGAGAGCGTGGCGGCAATGGCGCGCCAGACGTTCGAAGAGATATGGCTGGCTCCCTTCCACGAACAGATCGACTCCGCGCAGGATGGCCCGAGACTGAAGGTCGGCCTCGAAGAGCAGGTATCGTTAATCGCTAGTCTGGTACAGCGCAGCGATACGGCCCTCGACACTCTTGGTGGATGTCTCAAGAAAGTCCTATCTGACAGTTCCAAGTCTTCCACGCTCAACTTCAAGGTGTGCAAGGCGATGGTGGCGACGATGTTTGAGAAACTGGTCGAAGATACTGCTGACTCTTCGGACAACCAATTCCGCCAAGCCCTCCTCCAAACCATCACTGTCTTTGCTAAGGCAAATGCAAAGCTTTTCCGACCCGATCAGCTGGAAATACTCCACCCTTACATTGGGCATCTTGCTACCGCCGAGGACCTCTTTCTATTCCGGTCTGTGGTGGTGATCTACCGATGCGTCTTGCCTTTCTTGTCCTCTGCGCACCACAGCCTTTTGAAGGAAGTCCAGAACGATCTGTTCAAGAGTGTGGCTAAACTTGCCCGTTCGGAGCTAAATGAAGTGATGGCCTGTCTTTGGACGATCAACAGCGTTTTGCACAATACGGACCGGCTCGTGAAGCTCACATTATCAGTCTTGAAGCCAATCCTGCAGTACAAGAACATGGATTTGTCGGACGGCTCCAACAAGGATTTCCTAGCCCGAGCCAAGAGCTACATCCGGATCGCTGGCTGCGTCGGACGACACTGTGACCTCGAGAAGTACGAGCCACACTTCAAAAGCGCCTTCCCAACCTGGAGCGGTGGCTCCGTCGCCGGCTTGATGGTCGATGCCATTATCCCCTTCACGCTTGCTAAACAACCCCTGGATTTGAGAGTGATGGCCCTCGAGAGCTTGGGTTCCGTGTGCCAGTCCTGGCCTGGCCAATTCGGCCGTGAAGGAACACGGAAAATCTTATCCATTGTGTTCCAGGAAGACAACCCCAGTCTCCAGAATATTGTCCTCAGATCGTTTGCCGACTTCTTCGCCATGCATGAAGGACGCGCCGAAAAGGCCGTGCTGCCGTCGGCCGAGATCGCTGACCAGGAGAACTCGACAAGGTTAGGAGGATCGCTGAAGGCGAGTGATAACGACGGGGCCGCTGCGTTGATCGCCCAGCATTTTCTGCAGAGCATGCTGCGGATCGCTCAATCTCGACAGGATGCCTACGCCTTGACCGCTATCGAATTGGTTGCTAGCATCAACCGTCAAGGCCTGGTCCATCCCAAGGAATGTGCCGGCGTTCTAGTCTCGCTGGAGACGTCGACCGTCCCCGCGATTGCCAAAGTAGCCTTTGAGACGCACAAGATGCTCCACCAGCAATACGAGTCCATGTTTGAAAGGGAGTACATGCGCGCGGTGCAGGAAGCCTTTTACTACCAACGTGACATTGTGGGCGATTCAAGCGGTGCATTCAGCCGTCCGTACGTTGCCAAACTCGCGACCCTCTTCGAAATCGTCAAAGTCAGCAATAGTCGGTATCAGCGAAAGTTTCTTGCCAACCTCTGCGCGAAGGTCGATCTGGAGCTGAAAACCTTGGACGCTACGGGTGATCCCCCGGAACACCTGTTACTGTCTCGTTTTGTCGCCCAGAATCTGGCGTTCTTTGACTATGCTCAGCTGGCGGAACTGGTGCCGACTATTGGGTGCATGGAGCGCATTGTTGCGGCGACTGGAACTGTGGTGGCTCACGCTATTGAGACTGAGCTCTTCCCCCCGACGGTGGAAGCTCCACCGGCCCCTGACGGGCCCCCGCCTCCAGCGCCCGAGGCGCCTCCAATCGTTCCGGCACCGATGCCCAGCGTGCAGCCGCCGGTGAACCCACAGGCCCTCCGCTTACTAACCACGGCAGCGGCCTCGCTTTCGATGCTCTGGGAAGCTCGAACGTACCTTCGGCGTCTATACGGCGTAACAGCGCACGTGCGCAACAAAGACGGCAAGGCGGCGAAGGAACTCAGCAAGTCCGCCACGAAGGTAAACGGAGTGACGGGGGATAAGTTCTGGGACGCTATCTCCCGTAACATGACCTCTCTAGACACCGAGGAGAGCATGATCGCCAAATGCCGGGAATTTGCCACTCTGCTCTCAATCGACGACGAGTTCAAGGTCGGCGAAGACGAGGACGCAGAGGGGGACAGCCTCGATGCCGACATGGAGGATGCAGGCGCTGCGGGCGGTGTCAACAACAACAGCAACAGCAAGCCAGGCAAACGCAAGAATTCCTTCCCCGGACAGAACCCGCCGAAGCGTCGCGGGAGAAAGCCGGGTTCTGGGAAGAGGAAACCCAGCGCGGAACCTAGTGAGGACGCGCACTGGGGTTGAGGGGAAGTAAGTCCCTGACCTAGTCTTTTTTATATTGAAGCGACAATCAATCAGTCAATTTATTTTATAGAGCTCGCATGTGGGATCGGAGTGGCGTTCTTTTCTTTTTTCACCTTTTATTTTCTCTTTCTATCTGATATGCCATATCTACTTTACCCTTTCCATATTTGTATCTTATCCATTGATCTATGCTGGTGGCCTCGTTGCGGTGCACGATCTGAAGGACGAGGTGATATTGAGGATTTATCTAGCTGAACAAGATATTATTATGATCTGCGGCGTCTAAGCTGGAGCTAGACCAATCTACTATCATCATCCCTGTCATCATTCCTCTGAAACAATATCTTAATCTGTATAGCGGTGTGGAGTGGTTTGATGCCAAGCCGGCAGACCCCCAGCGGGTCGAGATCACTAACGCGTTGGCGGGAAGGCTTGTTGGCTCCTAGTGACGTAGCAAGAACATCGTTTCATTCCTGCGCTTCTTTTCTCCCTCCCCCATTTCAACCTTCCCCTTTTCTCAACTCACACTCACCCATCAATTGATTGGTATCTAACAATTCTTGATGCCTGGTTTTCGCTCGCAATAATCGTCCCAGACTCTTCTCCGTCTCGGTTCTCCTAACCCGCGTCTTTCCACCGCCATGAGCGCCGTGCTGCTCCGGAGACATCCGGAACCGTCGGCGCTGACAAGGATTGCCCTGCAATCATGCCGATTCCACACTTCAGGACGAACGATACCAAGGGGAGCAATCGCCGCGCGGGGGTTGCCTCTCCAGCGCAGGCCGGCTCCCCAATGCCTGCCATCCCGCACCGTCGTGAACAGCCGCCTATCTGTGCGACACAAAGCAACCACCGCTAAAGAGGACCCCCGCCCCAAATCCCCCGTCACGAGCGCGGTAGTCAAAGCCTTCGCATACTGCGGATTCTTCATCGTGATGAGCGGCGCCGTCGTCGTCGCCTTCTTTGTCTACGACGCTACCACCTACCGCGAGGATGGTGTTGTCGAGGATATCCCCGTGTCGGAGCTGGCGCTGAACCCCCGGCACGGGGGTCCGAAGAATCTACCCATCGCGGAGTTTCTGATCGGCGACCATGACTCCGAGGAGATGATGGAGCAGAAGGATAAGCCTCGGCTGGTTATTTTGGGTACTGGGTGGGGCAGTGTTGCTTTGCTGAAGCAGTTGAATCCGGGTGACTATCACGTTACGGTGGTTTCCCCTGCGAATTACTTCCTGTTTACGCCGATGCTCCCGTCTGCGACGGTGGGAACGCTTGGGCTGAGGTCGCTTGTGGAGCCGATTCGTCGGATCGTGCAGCGCGTTCGTGGGCACTTCTTGAAGGGCGAGGCTGTCGATGTCGACTTTTCGGAGAAGTTGGTGGAGGTTTCTGGGGTTGATACGCATGGCAAGCCGCGGAATTTTTATGTCCCGTATGATAAGTTGGTGATTGGTGTTGGTATGTTTCCTTCCTCTTATGTCCCTGCTCCTCGATCAGCCATCCCTAAGGTATTTTGTGCTAACGTGGTTTCGCCTAGGCTGCATCACAAACGCCCACGGAGTTAAGGGCCTCGAGAACTGCCACTTCCTCAAGACGATCGACGATGCGCGCCAGATTAAGAACCAGGTTCTGGAGAACATGGAGCGTGCTTGCATGCCGACCACGACGGATGAGGAGCGCCGGCGTCTGCTGTCTTTCGTCGTCTGCGGCGGAGGCCCGACGGGGGTGGAATTTGCAGCGGAGCTGTTTGATATGCTTAACGAGGATCTGCTTTACTCGTTTCCCAAGCTCTTGAGGAATGAGATCTCTATTCATATTATTCAGAGTCGCACGCATATTCTTAATACGTATGACGAGGCGCTGTCCAAGTATGCTGAGGTATGTCGAAATCTGCGTGTCCATTGGGTCAGGTAGCTAACCCCTGCAGGCTCGATTTGCCCGTGATACTGTTGATGTCCTCACCAACTCTCGGGTGAAGGAAGTGTGCGCGGATCGGGTGGTCTTCTCGCAGTTGGAGGACGGCAAGCCGGTCGTCAAGGAAATCCCAACAGGCTTCTGCCTATGGTCGACCGGTGTCGGTAAGGAACCCATAACAACAAGCTAGCTACCCCAACTCCACCGCTAACCACCATCACCCCAACAGCCCGAGCAGAGCTCTGCAGCAAGCTCTCGGACAAACTCGACGCGCAAAACAACAAGCACGCCCTCGAAACCGACACCCACCTGCGCCTAATCGGCGCCCCCCTAGGCGACGTCTACGCCATCGGCGACTGCGCCACCGTCCAGAACAACGTCGCCGACCACATCGTCTCCTTCCTGCGCACCATCGCCTGGGAAAAAGGCCGCGACCCGCAAAAGCTACACCTCACCTTCCGCGAATGGCGCGACGTCGCATCACGCGTCAAGAAGCGCTTCCCCCAGGCATCCAACCACCTCCGCCGCCTAGACCGCCTCTTCGAACAATACGACAAAGACCACTCCGGCACCCTCGACTTCGGCGAACTCTCCGAGCTCCTCCACCAAATCGACACAAAGCTCACCTCCCTCCCTGCCACCGCCCAGCGCGCAAACCAGCAAGGCGAATACCTCGGCCGCAAGCTGCGTAAGATCGCGGCCGCGACGCCCGGCATGCGCACTAACGAGATCGACTACGGCGATCTCGACGAGGCTGTCTACAGGGCCTTTAAGTACCGCCATCTCGGCAGTCTGGCGTATATCAGCAATGCGGCTGTGTTCGACTTTGGCGGCAGGAACTTCGCGGGCGGCGTGCTGGCTATGTATCTCTGGCGGAGTGTGTATTTTGCTCAGAGCGTTAGCTTCCGGACGAGGTGTATGCTAGCTATGGATTGGGCGAAAAGGACGCTGTTTGGGAGAGGTATGTTCCCCCCCCCCCCCCCCCCCTCCCACCTTTCCTCCCTTGAAATAGATAAAGAAATACTTGCTAACACATTTTTCGCTCGCAGATCTCATGAGCTTCTAAGTGGTAAGTAATAGATAGAGAGAAAGGTGGAAGACTAGATCACAAATCAGTGGAATAGTCAGTAATATATCTTCCATGTCACTTGACAATCCACACCCCTCCCGCATCTTAATATGTCTATCCATCTACATATGTACTTGATTTTCTATGACGGTCGATGGCCTACTCTTTCCGTTTTAATGCTCACCGTTTGCCGCTTTTTGCTCACTGAGTAGATCCGAGCACGCCCTGAGCAGCCGAAGGCGATCACTGAGCACGGGGTGAGCGAGAGACCGAGTGCCCTGAGCGAGTAACCTCAATAAACTACACTCCATATAATAATCACCCCCTTGCCCGCTTCTCTACTCGCAGTCTACTCTTGCCCGCCACACTGCCCTAAAGCCTAGTACTACCATCAGGTCTCTTTTAAGATCCTCCCAGCCGCATTGATCGTCATCAGTGACAGCGTGGACGATGCCCGCGCCAAGCGGTCAAAGCTCAACAGCCTCGTCCACTACAACAGCGCGATTGCGTCCCTGTCGGCTGCTCTTAGGACCGATGCATCTGGGTTTGAATCGGATGGGCCTCTCCAGAGGACATCCCCGAGACCAACACCAGCAAGACGGTGCGGGGTGATGGGATGCCGTGGTCGAGAGGCTTGTCCCCGAGCTGCGGGGTCGCGGGATTGTCCGCCGCGAGTACGAAGGCACGACTCTTCGAGAGCATCTCGGTCTGCCGAGGCCCCAGAATCAGTTCTTCTCGTAGTGATAACGGGAGGATAGTATGGTTGTCAGATGGTAGAAGCCAGATAAGCACTCAGGGTATTACTATAAGCGACCATCCTAGAACAGCATCACTAATTAGTCATGCGTATTGCACAACTAACTAACTAGTTAACCGTTCATTGTCTGTACCTCACCTTGAACTACTCCCAACCTCCACCTGCCTCGATCATAGACTGCCAGATAACCAACCCACAATGACCAGCACCAGCACCAGCACCAGCACCAGCACCAGCACCAGCGCCCCCTGCCCCTGTCCACCCAGAATCAAACACCTCTCCTCCACCCTCCCCGTACAAGGCTCCTTTGACTTCAGCTTCCTCACCACCCTCACCCAGCCCCTCGACGACCTCTGCAAATCTATTGAGGGCTGTAGAAGTCCCTGCCACAGCGCTAGCCACAGCTACAACCAGGACCTGAATGGCCCGCTCGTGGATCTCTCCGACGCCGTGCTCTCCCTCTGCCACGCAGCCTGCACCGCCTACAGCCTCCTCGACGACGAGCTCGGTCCCACTGCTACCGCTTCTGGCAACGGCACCGCGACTGCCACGCCTGCGTCCCACGCAGCCTCCCCGCTGACATGTGCCAGATCCCCCATGGCGCTGGGGAAACTCACCCTCCAGGCCGAGGAGGAGACCCTCCTCGCGCGACAGGTGGTCTCCGCCGTGCTCACCAACTTGAGTGTCCTCCTGCGCGATGTGTATCTCCGGGGAAAGGAGACGGCCGGGGTGGACTTGGACCTGGGGATGGGTGCGTCGAGCATGGGGCCCGGGCTGTATGGTCGGGAGGGGGCCGGCCCTGTCAGTCGGTGTTTATCGAGGGTGTTGGCGCTGCTGGGGAGATTGTTTTCGGAGTGATGGGTCCTGATGAGGAATGGATTCGTGTCTATGGCACGATCGTCGCAATATGGAAAACCACCCGACGTGAACGTGAGGGGCCTGCCTGCCTGGTCTCGGTGGGTTTTCCGGTTTTAGCAACTATGCCGTGGCGAACACCGTCGCTTTCGCAGATTCGCGCCCCTAGACAATGCACATCGTTGATATGATTTTGCCCGATTTAGAAAATGGGAGGGTATAAAGCTGAGAGACAGGATGCAAGTAGGGGCCAGAATAACGGCAGGACCCAGGCTCGTCTTCCAGCGCTGCGATGGACTCTCTTTACATCTACGGATATGCACCGGTGGTGCTCCTCGTTGCCGTGGGCTATCTCGCTACAATTCGCCTGAGGATTGGAACCCGGCCCAAGGGTCTCCCTCCCGGCCCGGCCACGGAGCTGATATGGGGAAACCTCAAGCAGGTGCGTCCTTGTATTCATCTATCTCAAGTCCTTCCTGACCGAGGATCCAGGTGGACATGCTGTTCCCGCAGTATCAATATACCAAATGGGCCAAGACGTACGGGCGGGTGTATACCGTCATGCTAGGCGATACGGCCCATGTGGTCGTGAGCGGTCTCCAGGAGGTAAGCGACATTTTCATCAAACAGGGCGCCAACTCCCAGGCCCGCCCGCCGTCTCGCTTTCAGTTGCTCATGCGCGATGGCCACTTTCCCGGGCTGATGAACGGGGAAAAGTGGCGCCACGCGCGGAAGATGTGGCAGACGGTCCTCAACGGCAGCGCCGCCAAGCAGTATCAGCCGTATCAGGAGCTGGAGACTCGGCAACTGCTATTCGATCTCCTCCAGGCGCCGAACGAATGGCGAGATCACATCGAGCGGTACAGTAATAGTGTGGCCATGACCATGGTGAACGGCCGGCGAATCGTCAGCCCAGCGGATGCCCGCGTCAAGGAGACCATCCAGGATCTATACGATTTGTCCGAGACCGGGGTCCGCGGTGCGTTTCTGGACTCTTGGCCATCCCTGTGGAAGATTCCCCAGTGGTTCTTCCCTGTATGTAAACAGGCGCGCGAAATTGCCGCCAAGCATCGCGATCTCATACGGCGCAACTACTCGGATGTCCAGGATCGCACGGTCGAGGGCGCTGCCCTTCCCTCTTTCAACCACGCAATTCAGGAGAAATTGAAGCAAGGGTGGCCCGGAGTATCGGAAATTGAAGGCGCGGAAATCGGCCATCACCTGCTGACAGGAACCACCGATACGACTGCGTCCAGTCTAAGCAACTGGGTTGCTGCGATCTGTCTCAACCCAGACGCGCAAAAAAAAGCTCAGGAAGGTAATGTTTCCTCTGCATTGTACACAGTGTTGCAACGGACCATTACTCAATTCGTCCAGAGATCGACAGGGTTGTTGGTCCTGATCGTCTGCCCACGGACGATGACGCAGCGAGGTTGCCATACACCCGACAGGTCATCCAAGAGTAAGTCCCGATCTCTCCAAAAGCATGAATACCTGATGACGTCGAGAACTTTCTTAGGAGCCAACGTTGGATCACTGCCGTTCCGCTCTCGCTCCCCCGCGCCGCCAACGGACCGGTTCGCTGGAACGGCTACGAGATTGCGGAGGAGACGGGCCTGATCATGAACTCGTACGCGATCCACAATGACCCGTCGCTCTTCCCGGAACCACAAGAGTTTCGTCCAGAACGCTGGGAAGGAAAGCCCAACGCCAGCTACAACGGCGACGGGCAGCTCCTGTTCACATTTGGCGCCGGCCGTCGGATCTGTCCAGGGCAGCATCTGGCAGAACGAAGCCTGTTCCTGGTGATCTCGCATTGGCTGTGGGGCTTCAACACGATGCAAGCGACCGATGAGCAGGGGAAGAGACTACCCATCGACAAGGATGACCTGCGGCCGGGATTTATTGTTTGCCTAAACCCATTCTCGGCACATATTGCACCTCGAAGCTCAAAGCATGCCCAGCTGATTCGGAAGACATGGATGGAGGAACTGAAAGTGTCCCTCGACCAGAACCAGCAGTGGAAGGCAACCCCTGAGGGTATTGCCAGATTGATCGACAGGGCAGGAGAATGAGCCAATGTTCCTGGTACAGGCCAAACGTTAGCGTTTTATGAACAAGGCAATGCAGAGATAGAGGAAAGCCGTACATACAAGTAATCATCACGCTCGAGACGCTCTTCCAATTCAAGACTGAGGAAGTGTAGGTACACCGAGGTCGGAATATGTCGAATCGGAGTGAAGACTAGAAAGACGAAAAAAGGAGAAGGGGGAAGTACTACAGGGATTACTGCGCGCTCTTTCGCATTGATGTAGACTGAAACATAACGGTCATGAATGCTGTATGGGTATCTCATTATCGTTCTTTTGTTTTTTTTTTGGTTAGTGGGTGAGGACGTCACTCCCACAGTTGAACCTGGCCACGAAGGTAGTCTAATCGCTGAAGAGACTCTGAAAGCACCAATTCGGCAGCACGGTAAATGCAGTCCCCGGCTCGCATATTAGTGGTACGTCGCACATCCTGAACCTTGACGGCAAACATTTTCATCCGCATGAGGATAAGCTGCTTGAGGAAGTACTCTTTGCTATCCTGGTCTAGTTCGGTATTACCTACAACGAGTGGAACGCGGCAGACGTGCGTCCGATCGCCGGCCCGGCTGCCAGTGGGGGGCAGTCGTGAAGTGCGTGCCCAGGTGCTGTATGTTCGCCGGCTGGAGCGCGCACTTTCGGTGTCCAGCAGGGTCTTCTCCTCGATGATCCAGTCAAGCATCTGGACCACACGCTCCGTAATCACCGACATGAGGAGAGCAGAGGAGCGATTACTGACACACAGGTTGCAGCCCAAAACCCGGTCGAGAAGACTGCGCACGTGGCGCTCCACCTGCAGGATCACGTCGATGGAGGGTCGCGTGGACTCGGGAAGCGACTGGCGCAAGAACAACAGCTGTTGAAGAAGCGTCGTGTAACATTTCGCTCCGCAGTCCCCATACTCGCTGCTTGTGTTGAAGGCGTCCACACTGAGCGAGGGCCGCTGGTCGATGTCGAGAACATGCGCCTGATGTGGTAGAAGGGGGATATTATAATCGTGCAAGAGAAGGGAGAAATCGCCGAACGCATCGGAGGAGGGAGGGGAGGCGGCAAGATAGCCGGTATGATGAACGTCTGAGTTGTGATCTCTGCCGGCGGGATCCTTGCCGAGTGACGGGGCTGCTAACAAGGCTTCGAACGAGGACTGAAAGACGCTGTCGATGGGATTGATGTTGTCCGCGGTCATGTCACCGGTCAGCAAAGGTGGTTCATCACCGCGGACATCGGCCGTGACGAGGTCCTGACCATTGACAGTTGAGTTAGTAGGCTCTCTGATTGTTGTCCCGTTGATGTCACTCCCAGAATTCACGGTGGGAAACGCAATCCCGACGAAGGTCGCCTTCTTCCTCGGTCGTCCTGTGCGACGTTGCGGGCTGTAGACGCAGGGTTGGCGATGACGGAGGCAGCGATGGCATGAGGGCTTGTGCTGGCTGCACTTGACTTTGGCTTCCTGGCAGAAATCACAGGACTTGCGCAGACGCTCCCAGCTTGCAGTCACCTCCGCTTGTGCACCGAGCGGCGATGGGGATGAATGAGTGGAAGGCATGATCGGGACGTGATAAGGTTGGTCTAGATGATGGTTATGTGATGATTGTCCGAGTGTGGAGAAGCGGACGGGCAAGAGTGACTAAGCGGGGGTGGGTCACGAGTTGGCGGCTCTCAAGTGGGATGCCTGAAGGCTGAGGCAGCATCGCAGCCATGGTCCCAAGGACTTACTATGATATGCAGACAGTCGCGTGTTATATGCTTGAAGATGTTGTGCTACCTCAGCTACGGGACAAATTAGAGATCCCAGCTATATAGTGACCGGACCCTCCTTTCTAGTTCATGCCAGTGGGTCTACCAACAACGTTCATGTGAAGACACCGACGGTAACTGGTGCTTGGTGGTGCCATTGGGACAATTCCCTCTCTGCAGGGGGGGCATGGTTCGTTCCCATCATGACCTGTTCAGCTGGGCCAATTGAGACAGAGCAGACTATCAGGGATTCGGCAGCAAACATTTCAATCACCTTCGACCCTGTTCAACTGCCAGGGATGCCCGGTAGTCTGGGCCATGCAGGCTCTTTTATGCATACGCGGCTGATATAGGCAAGTTGAAGACTGGGACATTCGTGCAGGACGCCTCATCCGTGCAGGGCGCCTCATCCGTGCAGGACGCCTCATCCGTCAATAGCCTCGCCATGTGCTTGCGCTCAGATAACCTTGGCTATCCGTTGGTCTCGTTCTTTCAATGGGCGAGTTCCAGGATTAACACAATGAAACCAGCAGACGGGTCTAGAGCCACCAGAGGGCATAGTGGATGGAGGTGGTGTTTCTGCTTCTTTGGCTTCATGCAGGAATACGTAATAGCAATCCCCACAGGTTTTGCAAGTATTGTCTCATTATCAAGAGTGGCAAGGGAGCATCACTGGTTGCGAGTCGTCTTGGATGGCATCCGCACGATTGGTTCAACATGTTGTGGGGATAGCATCCTTGGCCTACTTGCCTTCAGGTTTGATTCAATTCTCGATTTTTCTGGGCTTCCTGTCATCTGGATTTAATCCTTATCTATCGTATATAACTTGCATATGCATGGCCTCTTCACCTTGCATCATTGATCGGGAGGTATATTGTTGACTGTATGTCAGGAGATAAACTGGACCGGACAGCCCTATTCAGACTGTGCTCTTCCCTTTCACTTCCTGGGTAGTCCAAGTCAACTGACGAACAGGAACTGGGCAAGACAGTGTGCTCGCAGTTTAGAAACCTCCGTCCATTTGGTCGAGTGTCAGGATACGTGCCACCGAAGGGCATAAGCAAACGCCAACATCGCCCCTGGACCCAGTGCCACCGTTGCTGACAGCAGGCATGGAATGACGATCCAAAAAGACATGCTGACAACCGGCGCCAACAACAAATATGCGTACGGAACGAACGCCGCCAGGAGTATCCAAACGTCGTATTGGAGGAACGTGTGAGCGGCCTGAGGGAGCACGGCGATACCAGAAGGGGGCGGCGTAGCACTAGGGAGATAGAGCCTGCGAAAAACGTATCCGATATGGCTCCAGCGGATGGTGCCGCCCCGAGGTTGCCGGGCCGCAGCAACAGCCCCACCAAGCGCATAGAAATGACCCACTGCAGCTGCCAGCCCAGCCGCAACATAAGGAGCCGAGTCGGGGTGGACACCCACAGACAGAGCCTCAAGCGGGAGGTGCTCTCCCACCCATTGCACTAGCGCGAAGATGATGGGGGCGAAACGGTAGAGTGCGATTGCTCGCTGTTTTCGTGCGACGCTGCAGGGGATGAACGCCGGGAATAAGAAAGTGAAAGGCAGGAGTGAGCCCAGAAGGGCGCTGACCAGCAATGCTGCCGAGACCCGGGAATTGTCCACCGGACGAAGCGTGTCGAAACCGCGGCTCACGGACTCCAACAGGAGGTAGAGAGGATAGACGAAGGCGGCGCCGTAGAATTGATTGAAGATGTTCCATATCGTGGGGACTCTGTAGGCAGTCAGCCGGCTAGAGCCTCGTTCGATAATTCGCAGACTTACATCAAGAATAGACTGGATGACGACGAAGATCGGCTGCTGACAAGGATACAGAGTGCAGTAGCCTGCATCGTCGAATGGATGTCCACCAGCAGCAGGCGGTGTACCGGGTCCGACCCATCCATGAGCCCATTATAGAAAATCACAGCGGGCACGAGTTTTGCATCCAAAGTAGGAAAGGGTGAGAACCGACGGAGCAACGGAGTACCGTCTGCAAATCGGCTGGTTCTCCTGACTTCCATGATGGCTGCCGTTGCATGGCGAAGCGAGACTGACCAGAGACAATAATATCCCAACCACGCTAGCCCGCCGCAGTAGCCAGTAGAAAAGAGCAATCGCCAGACGGGCAAGCCGTGGAGGAGGCCAAGGAGCGTCATCCTAGCACGGGAGACGATATCGTCTCACTGTATAGTCTTGGGGGTTGAACAAAATCCAAGCAGAGGAAAAATCGCAGGATAGAACCGGGCCAGAAACCAGTATGAGGAATCAGGATTCCTCGCCATGGGGACGGCAGCTAATATGCTTGATCTGAATCCTTGGTTAGAATACCGGTCAATTCTATACTGTCCGGGTTTTGAGCGAGAAGTTGTTTACCAAGCAAGCACAGATGACCAAGGAGTTAGTTAACTAGGTACTACATCAAACACTCCGGCGCATGCATGCAGTCGGGTTCGGGTTGTTTTACCTGGCAGCCTCTCGGGCTTAGTTAGGCAGATATTTCTCCCCGAGGATCAGCAACGACCTATATTATGCAATTATTATTATTGTTATTAATTTTTTTTTTTTTTCCCTGGTTGTTTACTATTTCGCAATCTGGGTGGTTTCGTAGGAATGTCCAGCTGTAGCAGTAAGGAATATAGTGTGAAGGCTCAGCTCTCGAGTCTCTGTCCCCCACTGGTCAACTGGTCAGAAGCAAAACACCCAATTTGAAGTATTTATTTTCCTCGTAGGACATACAGAGTACCTTATGCACCTTCCATGGAGAAGTTTTCTGTTGGTTTTATTCATAGACAAGAAACGGTATTACGAAAACTTGAAGAGCAACATTCAACTTTACCAGACTCATCGGCTTATTGACTAGCATTAGAATGCTCTATAGCCATACCAGACCCTTCATGCACCTTGATTGCTCGATATTGGCTTCCAGACACCAGGAGACCCAAGTCACACGACAATATATAACATTGTTTAAACTCGGCAACTCTACTTACATCTACTAGAGAATGTGGAAACTCGCGCGAAACTCCCCTAGCTTATAGCTATCGATGCTTGCGTGCCATTGGCAAAGGATTTAGGCTGCGCACCCCCCCGAAAACCCCCCAATGTCCGACACATATCCAACAGGTAGGGCGTAGATCAAGGTCATCCAGTACACCGTCCAGATATACCCTAGACCTCTGACAAATCCTTTTGCGGAAGCCACTTAGCAAATATGATCGAAAATAATCAAAAAAGACGCAACCACGAGAAAACTCACCGTTATCTTGAATCCCAGCTTTCCTGCCATAGTGCTTGATCAGATCTTCCAGGGTAATGATGGCCGCGTACGATGGCATCTGCCAAAACATTCCCCAGCCATAGCGCAAAGATGGAATTAACAGCGGACACGCGAAGTGTTGGACTCCGGATACCAAGAATCCCACGTACAGCTTCGTATACTTATAGACCAGAGACCCCTTTTCCGAACCGAGAGCTTTAGCCACCACCTCGCCAGACCGTATGAACATGTGCCGGAACATCTGATGCCAGACTCTCCCCCAGAAATTCCGTACAGTGAATAGGTCGGCCGGGCTGCCGAAGAGGCCGGGCCAGCGATCCGGCGTGGACAGATACAGCCCGACGAAGAGCAGGGAAGCCTTGCGATATTCGCTGTCTAGCATGAGGCTGTCTCGAACCAATTGAGCCCCAACGAGCAGATGCTGGTGAAGGATGGGCAATGCGCGGAAATCCACACTTGCCACTTTTGCCGGCCAGAACGCGCAGAATGCGTACTTCCGCACCACATCGGAGATGTACTGGTTCAGAAGGATTCTCCCTGCGTTTGCAACCAGGTATTCCCTACCAAGCTCTATCAGCAGCTGCCCTTTGAAAAACACTCCAGGAAACAGACATACCACCGGGACTGAGTCTGCTCCGCGCCTCGTCGGAGATGCTGGTCAGCGAAATTCCAACCCTGGCCGCGCCAACATGACCACAATTCCACGCTCCATTTGACTTTATTCAGGAACGCCGAGCCGTGTAGGGTTCCTCCGTCTGCGCTGGTGCTGCCAAGCCTCGTCGCGGTCTTGCTGTTCTGGTAGTAGTCGATTTCGGGAGTTCCAGTCAGGAACATGAGCATCCACCGCACCGTGATGGAGATCATGAAGATCGCATCCATGAAGAAAGCTGGACCGGATACCCAGTGGGTGAGCACGTACAGCCATAGACTGGTAAAGGCTGTCATTCCGACGGTGACGCGCATGGGCCCTGGGGAAGAAATGGTGGTGAGGATGGCGACGGCCATGAAGGTTGGCGTCAAGAACTTGGTGGCCCAGAAGGGCATCTCCTCGCGCGAAGAATACGCATCTTCCAGGTTCAGGAGAGTGTCAAGCATGATAGCTGGTCAGTCGTCAAGCCTCGGAGCACTACCTGCTCTCAAGTGACCAAGAGAGTGGGAGTAGAATTTGACAAAGAGAAGGGCTTCCGCGCCTATGATCATGTTGACAGAGTTCTATCAATGGAATAAAATGGAAGTCGAGAGTAACTTGACATCGTGGAGTGACCCTCACCAGACACAACTTAGGGCTAAGGGAAACAGCCCGATCCTCGGGGGGTTCTTAGTCAGCACTCATCGGGGCGTTTTGGTCTCTCTTGCTGCTGAGAACAAGGAAGCAAGAGACAGGAATTGATTCATAATCACTTAAATAATCGCCTTAATAATTATCAGAGTGACAGCTAAGCAATAGTGGATCCCATCTCATGCTTGCGGTGCTGTATATAAGCCCTCTTTTTACCCCTTTCGGCGATCCAGCGCCAGCCCTAATCCCCCGTCAAGTACCCGAACATCGTCACCCAACATGAAATCAGTCGACTGCAGTGAATCTCCCTGTCGTCTTGCTCTCAATACAATTTCTAATCCAAGCTTCACCGTTCCATGGCATTTGTCAGCGCAATTAACTTCTGGAGACGCGGTGTGGCTCTTGTTGATCTCAACTAAAGTCAGGATACTTCCTCGTGCAACGGGCTATTCTGTTCAATCCATTACTCTCGAGACTGGGACACCGTTCAGTGTTTCTCCAGACCATACTTTCTCCAACAATGGCTGATCTCACCGATACGGAGACGCGGCCGTCAAACTTGGACACTGCACAAGACGCAGAAAAGCAAGAGAGTAGCAGTTCGAACAGCGACCAGAGCAAGGAGGTTTCGACGAGTCCACGCAATGTCCACGGCTTCCTATGGGTGACAGTCGTTCTGGCCATCTACAGCTCTACCTTCCTCTTTGCCCTAGACAATACCATCGTCGCCAACATCCAGCCTGCCATCATCAAATCGCTGAACGGAGTGGACAAGCTGGCCTGGTCCGGCGTCGCATTCGTGATGGCCTCCAGCGCGACCGTCCTGACCTGGCTTCAAATCTTCAACCTGTTCAATATCAAGTGGATGTATATTTTCTCCATTGCGGTGTTCATGGCCGGCTCCGCCGTCTGCGGAGCGGCGCAGTCGATGAACACGCTCATCGGGGGCCGTGTGATCTGCGGCGTGGGCGGCGTGGGCCAGTACGTCGGCGTCATGAATTTCCTCCCTCGCATGACGTCGATGCAAGAACGTCCGATGTATATCAGTGCAATGGGTCTGACATGGGGTGCGGGCACCGTCCTCGGTCCCATCATCGGCGGCGCGTTTACCGACAGTCCGGCGGGCTGGCGGTGGTCGTTCTACATCAATCTTTGTGTCGGCGGCCTGTTCACTCCGGTGTACATCTTCTTGCTGCCTTCGCTGCACCCGCAGCCCGTGGCGACCCCTGTGATCGAGCGGCTGAAGCAGATGGATCTTGTTGGCACGCTCGTTCTCATGGGTGCCTTTGCGGCGGGAGTCATCGGTGTCAACTTCGCCGGCGCCATGTATCCCTGGGACGCACCCGGCATCATCGTCGCACTCGTGCTCGGTGGAGTGTTGTTTATTGCCTTTGGCATCCAGCAAACCTTCTGCATTTTCACCACCGAAGAGACACGTCTCTTCCCCGTGGAACTGGTCTCATGGCGCAAGCCGCTCCTGACTCTCCTCTTCATCTGCGGTTGCTGCACCGGAGTCTGCGTGACGGTCCCCACGTACATCATCCCCCTGTACTTCCAGTTCACTGCATCAGACGAATCGCTCCAGTCGGGCGTCCGGCTACTCCCATTTGTCTGCCTGCTCGTGTTCAGTTGCGTCGGAGGCGGATTCCTCACCGCCCGTTTGGGGTACTACATCCCCTGGTACATCATGGGAGGAGCTTTGTGTCTAGTGGGCTCCGCGCTGATGTACACAATCCATCCTCACAGCAGCGCGGGAGCGACCTACGGATACAGTGCGCTGATTGGTTTGGGATCCGGCATGTATCTCCAACTGGGTCATGCCGTGGCGCAGGCGAAAGTCAAGCCCGAAAAGGTTCCGGCCGCCGTTGCGTTCACCACCACGGCGCAGCTGAATGGATTGACCTTTGCCTTGGTCATCGCACAGTGCGTCTTTGTCAATGAGGCTGCGAAGCGTAAGTCACTCTTTCCCCCCGCATTATGAGCTGTGAACTCATGGGGTTTGCTCCCTAGGAATTGCATGGGTCCTCCCACATGAGGCCCGTTCGACTATCATTGATGCCATATCCGGAACTGGCTCGACCTTCGTCCAAGACTTGGACCCGGCCACTAAGAGCAACGTTCTCTCTGCGATCGTCACGGCCATTGATCGGACTTATATCCTTTGTATTGTGGCTGGAGCGGTCACTCTGCTCGCGACATTCGGCATGAAATGGGAGCGGCTGTTCATTACCGCTGCGGCCGCTGCATGAGGAGGTTCAAGATACCCACGCACAGGGCCTGAAGAGCCAGCTAGATTGAATTTTTGACTGTTAAATTTACTTTTCACCGTTGCTTAGTCCTCGCCTGGTGTTTGACAGAGTACAACGGTTTAGTTAGGTAAACATTAATGATATCGTTCCAATTGATATTCTCCGAATAATATGATTGTATGTATAGTACAACGTTCTAAGCAGTAGATCTTGCCGGCCAGCTAGACCGTCGAATGGCCCGGACGTAGAAGTTCAACGGCCGTATCACAATGAAGTCCGGATCATACTCGATAGCCTCGTCCGTAGCGTTCACAAACTCGTAGCGATAGACCAGCTCCGCCAACGCCACCTTCACTTCCTGCAAAGCCACGTTGAACCCAATGCAACCACGCGCTCCCGCCGCAAAAGGCACATACACGCTCCGGTGCCGATTGCTGACTCCCTCAGTCGCCCATCGGTCTGCGTCGAAACGATCCGCGTTCTCCCAGTATGCCGCGTGCCGGTGGAGGTGCGGGATGCTCAGGATGAGGATGGAGCCTTGCGGAAGCGCCCATCCGCCGGGAGAACGACGTCTCTCTTGACGTTGCGGGCGGGCTGGAAGGATGGGCTGTGCATACGCTGCGTCTCCTTAACAAAGGCGTCGAGGAACGGCATTGCCTGGATTTCATCGTAGCTCCAGTTCTTGTCAAGGGTGGCACCGTGGTTGACCAGCTCCTGGAGTAGACGGTCCTGTTGCCCGGGGTAGGTCACCAGAGAGTAGATGAGCCACGCTAGAAAGGAGGAGCTGGTGACGAAGCCCGCACCGACCAGCGCAAGCGTGTTGCTGAGGATGTACTCATGGCGGAGCTTGCAGCCGCGTTCGTCGGTGGCGCGCGCCAGGTAATCCACCAGACAGGAGGCATGGAGCGCAGCGGTCTGGATGGGGAGGTCGTCTGTTGTTCCGTTGTGGTTTCGGCAGGCCATAACAGCTTGCTCGATCAGACCGTAGAGCTCCTTTCGAGTGTTTTTCAGAGCGACCGGGTCACCTGTTGAACTTATCCGTTAGCAAAGGTTAATACATGGAAGACTCGGTGGGTTTCCGCATAGCGTTTGTGGATATACCGAACGGAAGGTATGAGTACCAGGCGCCTTTGGTTTGAACGCGGCGGTTGAGGGTCAAATACTGCTGAAGCAGGACGATGATTCGATGCATAGGGCTGTCGACGGCGTCGAAATGGTGAAGGTCCACTCCCAGCACCAACTGACAGATGACCTGCGACGCGAGCTTTGCCGTCAGATGGTACACATTGAGTGCCTCTCCGTTCTCGTCGAACGTGTCGAGAACCAGGAACGCCTTCTCCACCGATCGTTGCAGCAGCGGGGTGTAGTGTCGCACTGCCCGGGGGGTCATACTCGGAGGAATGAACCTGTGTGCCTCCTGCCATGCTCGAGAGTCCGTATCGCAGAGAAAGAGGGCCGTTTCATCTCGGATCCCAAACAAAGGGTGGCTCGGAGCGGATGGGGCCTTGGTGAAGTACTCTCCGTCGCGAAAGGCGAGTACAGTGATGTCCGGGTCGTTTGTAAGATAGGTCACTCGCCCTAAATTGTCTGTACGGATGACGCCGCCGTACTTATTGAAGAGCCGCTGGTGATTCCCCAGGTGGTCTGGATAGATTTCGAAATGATTGCCGAATCCCGGTATGCCCACCGGCTGTTGCGGTTCTCTGACAGGGTGACCGGCAATTGTGATTCCCACGGCCTCACAGACAAGCAGTTGCTCAATATTCTCGATGTTCTCCAGGGCGGTATCGCCCTTGTGAAAGCGAATATCAGCCGGGCGGAGGATGTTGTACACCGCTGCAATCCCCGGACGCAAGTCTTCCAGCGCCGCGGGCTCACCGATCTCCAACTGACGGGTTGAGCTCTCCGGACGGCCAACCAGGTAAAATGTCCTGAGAACCATGTTGATGTGAGAAGTAAGCAAGCTAGATGTGAGTGCGTGGTGTGCGCAGGTGCCCAGACACCGTCGGCGGTGCACAGTTATATCGAGCGTCACTTTCGATCGGACTGTTTTCCTTTGGGCAAATCTCCCGAGACACCCGAAAAGTCCTCTTGTTTTTATACCCACTGGAGTCGATGCCATTGAGAGAGCATCCGACCTTCCAGTGTTTTCCATTACATCGCTACTGCAAGCTTACAATGGGTGTCGAAACCGAATTGACCTGGGCCGATATCAAACGCCACAGGACCCCGCTGGACCTCTGGGTCACTATCGACGGGAAAGGTAAGAGAGAAGAAAAAAAACAAAAGAAAAGGGAAAATTTATTGATTGGATTGTTTAGTCTACGATGTGACTGAATATCAACAAGACCACCCTGGAGGAGAAGAGATTCTACGCAATTTTTCTGGACAAGATGCCACCGCTGCCTTTGCCGATGCCGGGCATTCCCACGATGCATACGAGAAATTGGAGTCACTGTTAATTGGCAGACTCGAGCAGAGCAATGTCGCGAAGCAGCGCCAGCAGCAGCGGACTGCAACAGTGGGACCAATCTCAGTGGTCCCGAGTAAGCAGAAGCAGCCAGACTCCCCTGCGCTCCCCGTCAAGATGGGCATTGTGGCTGGAGCAGGAGGCGCATTATTGATCCTCGCTGCCTCGTATGCCGCAGTTCAAGGGTACTTTGCTGAAGGGCTTGCCTTATTGCGACCTACGCTTGTCCCGGGATCCATTCCAGCAAACGCCGGGAGAGGCTATCTGAACGGGATTTTGACGGCCATCGCCTGCCAGGGTGTGGCAGGAACACTGCTCGGGCTACACCTCAACACAGCTCTCTTTCACCGGCATCGGCAATTAGAGGACTATCCCCGGGCCAGGAAACCTTCCATGCCCATCACCTCGCGGCGCGGATCGGTGAGTTTACATCGAGACCAGACCACGATGCTGACGCTAGAGTCGCGACAATGCATCGGCGGCTCGGGCAAGGAAAGTAGCAACCCTGTCTACCGAATCAGGCTCAAATTTCCCGACGCTACTGCGCGGCTGAACTTCAGCGTGGGTCAGCATATCAGAATATCCGCCGAAATCGACGGCAGATTGGTCCACCGCAGTTATACCCCGGTCTCGAGCGAGCACGAGCGCGGGATGGTTGATTTGGTCGTCAAGGTTTACCCGCGGGGCCGCATGGGTAATTATCTTCAAGGACTTCCACTCCAGTCGTCAGTCGCTGTCCGCGGGCTATTTGGCGATTATCGCCCGAATCCCGCATGGACAACCATTGGGTGTATCACTGGGGGCACAGGGATCACCCCAATCTACCAGGTCCTTCGCGAATGGTGTCATAAGACTAGGGGGGAGCGGGCTGTTGTGCTCTACGGCAGCGAGAGACAGGAGGACATCCTTCTGCGGGAAGAGCTGGATGCCCTTGTCGGCAGATACCCCGAGCGAGTCCAAGTGCATCACGTTCTAAGCCAACCTCCTCCCGGGTGGACGGGTCTGACCGGACGAGTGACTGGGGAGATGATGGAGGAGCTTCTGCCGCGACCAGTGTCTCACGCTGGGTTTTTTATTTGCGGGCCTGATGGAATGGTTCGAGCCATCCGGGGCCATCTTGAGGCTATTCAAGGGACCCGTGAAGATAAAGCAGGAGTATTTGTTTTCTAGTGCCGGATTTGACAGAGATATCCGACAGGAAAGAGGCCGGCTTAGCCACAATTGATGTGCATCACTCGGCATGTTTCTCAGTCTGGTAGTTATAGTCAGATAGCGCAATGCAATAGCTCGGGAATATACGCATCTGTTCAAATTATCCTGCTCAGGACGCCTGGAATCGTCTCGCAAATCAACCAGACATCTTAGTGCTGGTCGTCCAGATCCCTCTCGCCCTTCACCCCCCCTAACTGCCTAACATGCCGAGAATCCTGTGTCTACATGGCTACGGCACTTCTGCCGCCATCCTGCGACACCAGCTGGGACCCTTTATGGCTGCTGCCGACCCCAGCTATGAGTTTGTCCTCCTAGAGGGGGAGACGGAATGCCAGAAGGCTCAAGGTGACTTCCCTTTCCGTAGATATCCAGCTGTTTCCGTGCTCTTGGAATAACCTGTTATCAGGTGTGGGCAATTTTGTCAAGGGCCCGTTCCTGTGCTACAATGCCAGCTTCGCACCGGCCGACGTCCAGCAATCCTGCGATCTCATCGACGACTTTGTGGAGGCCGAAGGCCCCTTTGATGGCATTCTAGGCTTCAGCCAGGGCGGTTCCGTAGCCCTGACATACCTCCTCCAGCGCCAGCTCGACGGCCATCTGCCTCCCTTCCGGTTTGCCATTTTCCTGTCGACGGTGGTGGCTTTCTCCCCGGACGAGACATTCGGCAGCCACCTGCTCGCCAACCTCACGGATCGCGAGATCCACCTTCTGGACTCCTACCCCACTGCGGACCTCTCCTCCCTGCATCCGCTGAACCGTGCCCTGTGCGAGACGACTGCAAGGGCCTTCTACTCGGCCAAGACCGGAGGCTTTATCGCGCAGGACACCAAAGAGTGCGGGTTTGCCCGTCGCGATGACCCAGCCCAGCCGCGTGTTTTCCATCCGGCTCTGGTGAAGGATCGCATTCCCATCCCCACGGTGCATATCACCGGGAAGAAAGACCAGGCGATGATGGTGAACCTGTCCGTCCTGGTGCAGGGCCTATGCGATCCCCGGTTGATCCGCTCGTTGACCCATTCCGGAGCCCATGATGTGCCTCGCCGTCCGGATGATGTGTGTGCAGCTTGGGCTGCGGTGGACTGGGCGATCCAGCAGAGCCAGCAGCAATATATCTGGTAAGTCTGATGGCTGCTGCTCTTGTTGCTGTTTGGCGGATTGATCTAGAGAGACATACCAACCACGAGGCAGGCGTGCGGCACTTTAGAACCAGCATTGGAACACACCGGATGGAAGATCTAGATAGAGCAGATGCAAGGAGCTATCAAGTTTGAGAAATGTATAGTCTTAAATGTTTGATTCCATGCAATGGGGGTATCTCAGAGGAATACATGACGTGGTAGATGTCAATTTTTGCTTAGCAGTCGAGTAGTGAGCTACAGATGAACTTGCATCTTCGGTAGGAGAACTAGTATTAAGCTACTGGTAGACTAGAGAATCTTCCAGTCCATTAAACGGGGATATATAAACGGTACACTCATCATTAGGGGAGGGCATATGAAAAATAGATGGCATTGTGTATTAAGAATATTTGATGGCAGTAGTAGTAGTAGTATTCGTCTACCCTGAATAGCTGGAATAGTGCCTACTGTGCGAGTGTTCCCTACTCGCCCGAAATGAAGCTATCCAGGCACATACAAAAGAGATATTATTAACATTTGAATGACTATCTCTCTAGAAAATCTATCTCAGCAGAACACAACGCCTAACAACCTAGGTATCAGCCTCCACCGACGGTCTGACCGGCTTTTCTCATCTCGGCGTAAGATCGGGACCCGACCGGCTCAATATCGTAAATTTTCCATTTCGGCTCTCTAACTCCTCCCAGCGATCGGATCTCGATTCTATTCTTGGCCTCTAGACCAGTTCCAGACCATCATTAGAGTTCCGAAAATGGTGCCGGCCGGGTTGAGTAAAGACAAAAGTGCCCGGCAACGAGACCTTGAGGGCCGCAGAGGGATGGTACAAGAGAACGCGATCTTCCAACCCTTTTCATATCTGTGAACTGCATCATTTGCTTACCTGATTTCTTCCGTTTGACCGTCTGAGCCTAGAGGCAATACACTCGCTACCCGCCATGCGATCACCCGATCCTCAGAGATTTGGCGATGCCACGGAGCCGATTGCCATCGTTGGCATGGCCTGCCGGTTTCCTGGAGAGGCATCTACCTTGGAGAGGTTCTGGGACATGATTGTCAATGGCCGGACGGGACACTCTGCAGTTCCCCCGGATCGCTTCGACGCGGAGGCCTGGTATCATCCGAGTCACGAACGGAAGGGAACAGTAAGTCGCTATCGCATGGTGCCCGTTAGATCCTCCAGAAGTTACTCACCTGAGCCATGAAAGATTCAACCGCGGAGTGGATTCTTTCTGGAGGAGAGCTCCGCCGTCTTCGATGCCCCATTCTTCTCCATGACGGCAAACGAGGCCGCGGGCATGGACCCCATGCAGCGGAAGTCGCTGGAGATCGCGTATGAGGCATTTGAGAATGGTAAGTTAGAGGAAAGGTGTAACTTCCGAGAGAAATCGAATACTGAGGCCTCTTGAATAGCTGGCATTCCTATCGGCACGTTACCTGGCTCGGCGACGGGCGTCTACACCGGTGTCATGACCAACGACTACGAATTGATGACCGCTGGCGATCCGATGCAGCTTCCACAGAACGCAGCATCGGGAACGAGTCGTGCTATGCTTTCCAATCGGATTTCCTGGTTCTTCGACCTGCGCGGCCCGAGCTTTGCCCTAGACACGGCTTGTTCGTCCAGCCTGTATGCATTGCATCTAGCCTGTCAGTCCTTGCGTACGGGGGAAAGTCGCCAGGTAAGGCATTGGAGTCTGTAGCGGAATGAATGGACAGAGACTAATGATTTGTAAAACAGGCCCTTGTCACCAGTGTGAATCTAATACTCGCGCCTAATTTCATCTCCCAGCTGTCCTCGATGCACATGCTGAGCCCTGATGGAAAGAGTCACTCTTTTGACTCTCGAGCCAACGGATACGCTCGGGGAGAGGCACTCGCAGCAGTCGTCGTCAAGACCCTTCACCAGGCCCTGGAAGACGGAGATACAATTCGCGCGGTCATTCGCGGCAGTGGGGCGAACCAGGACGGCAAGACGGTGGGCATTACGATCCCGAACGGCGAGGCACAGGCGGATCTCATCCACACCACCTATGCCACGGCGGGACTGGACTTGAATCACACGGGATATTTCGAGGCGCATGGGACGGGCACCTCGGTCGGGGACCCGATTGAGTTGAGTGCCATTGGCGGAAGCTTCGGTACACAGCGCAGTACTGACAACCCGCTGGTCGTGGGCAGCGTCAAGACTAACATCGGCCACACCGAGGGGGCTGCAGGCCTGGCGGGCGTCATCAAGGCGGTACTCGCCGTCGAGCAAGGCGTCATCCCTCCGCTGCCCGAGTTCAAAGAACTCAACCCCAAGCTTCGTCTTGACGAGTGGCGATTGGCATTGCCGCTCACGCCCACGCCATGGCCCACGGCTGGTCTCCGTCGAGCCAGCGTGAACTCGTTTGGTTTCGGTGGAGCCAATGCCCATGTCATCCTGGATGATGCGTATCATTATCTGCGATCACATGGGCTGAAGGGGATGCAGCGGACTGTGGTGCCTGAGAAGGATGACTCGTCTGACTCTGGTCTGAGCATCCCATCGGATAGCAGCGACGCAGATGGAGAGGAGAGCACCAACACTCCTGTCCCCAGGCTCTTTGTCTTCTCTACATACGATGGAGGTGGTATCCGACGGATGGAAGCATCGTGGGCCAGCTTCCTTGCGAAACACGTCTCGGACAACAGTAAACAACGACGGCATATGATCGCGGATGATGACCTCGCATACACCCTGTCACAGCGCCGGACTACCTTTGACTTCCGGAGCTTTGCAGTGGCGTCTACCCTGCCCGCGCTGACGAGCAAGATTGAGCAGGATGGCCTTCCCCGACTCAACCGGGTCTCTCGCCACCTGAATCCTATTTTTGTCTTCACCGGCCAAGGCGCCCAGTGGCCCGCCATGGGACGCGAGCTGCTCTCCGATCCCATTTTCCGTGCCAGCATCGACCGCAGCAGGAATGACCTGGAATCGGCGGGTTGCCAGTGGGACATCCTTGCTCTTCTTTCTGACCCAGCCGATCGTCGCATTGACGGCCCTGCATTCTCTCAACCGGTGTGCACGATCGTACAGATCGCTCTGGTGGACCTCCTCCGATCCTGGAGTGTTCAGCCTGCAGCTACTGTGGGCCACTCCAGCGGCGAGGTTGCAGCTGCCTATGCAGCAAACCTACTCTCTCAGGCGGACGCTGTCCGCATCGGATACTGGCGTGGGTTTTACAGTGAGCAGGTCAAGGATCGGATGGGAGAGTGCAAGGGCGCGATGATGGCTGTGGGACTGTCCGAAACCCAAGCAGTGGCATACCTGGACAGAGTTCCTGAAGGAAGTGTCGTGGTGGCGTGCGTCAACAGCCCAGCCAGTGTCACCCTATCTGGTGACGCAAGCGCCATCAATCACTTAGAGGCCGTCCTCCACGGCGATGGCCATTTCGCACGCAAGCTCCGCGTTCAGGTAGCCTACCACTCTCCGCATATGCGGGTCGTTGCCGATGCCTTCGTTCAGGCATTAGGCAAGGTCCAGCCGCAAGCCTCGGACATTCCCATGTTCAGCTCGGTGACGGAGAAGCGAATTGATGACCCGTCGGTCCTTCAGGCATCATACTGGATGCAAAATCTGGTCTCTCCGGTTCGCTTCTCGGGAGCCCTGACGAATTTACTTAGTCATACCCCAGGAGGGAATCCGCGCCGCCGTCGGGTGGCCACTACTGCGTGGAGTGCGCTGGTCGAGATTGGGCCCCATGAGGCGCTCAAGGGCCCCTGCCGCCAGATCATGTCGGCTTGGGACGGCAAATCCCCCGAAAGGATTCCATATATGTCTCTTCTCAGCCGCGGCAAGCACGCTAGGGAAACTGCGCTGGCAGCGGCCGGGATGCTCTGGGCCAGTGGTCACCCCGTTGATCTGCGGCGGGTTAACCAGTGTCGCGAGGGACTGCAGATGGTGGTTCCTGATCTGCCGCCCTACGCGTGGAACCACGAAAAGGGCTTTTGGCACGAGCCCGCCGCCTCTATGTCGGCACGGCTACGAAAGGAGCCCCGGAACGACCTCCTGGGAATGCCGGTGCCTCATCAGAATCCATTCGAACGAAGCTGGCGCAATTATCTGTCCGTCTCGGAGTGCCCTTGGCAAAGAGACCATATCATCACAGGCACGGTTCTGTATCCTGGTGCTGGACACTTGATCATGGCTTTCGAGGCGGCCCAGCGACTGGCCTCGCCGGACCGGGCACTGGCCGGAGTGGAATTCTGCGACGTGCATTTCGACAAGGGACTTGTCATCCCGTCCGGTGATCAAGCGGTGGAAACACTACTGGCGACTAGGCCTCACGAGAAGCTATCCGACTGGTATCATTACACGGTATACTCTGTCAATGAAGATTCATCCTGGACGAAGCACTCCTGGAGCACCTTCAGTCTGCACTACGACGGCGTCGTCAGCTCGGAGCAATGCCAGCGTTATCACCGGACATACAAAGCTCTACGCTCGCGTGCAGCCATCCCACTGGACATTCCATCTTTCTACGATCAGCTGCAATCCATCGGAACCGAGTATGGTCCTACCTTCCGCAATATGGTGGAGGCTGCGGCTGTACCAGGCGAGCGCAGCGGTGTAGGGACCATCGCCATTCCGAACACCCGCGCTGTCATCCCGCACGAGTTCGAGTATCCCCACCTTATCCACCCAGCCACACTCGATGCCATCTTCCATCTGATCTTCGTGGCTATGAGCCAGGGCCAACCGCTCGCTGAGTCCGCCATTCCTACCAAGGTGGACCGTCTGTTCATCTCCACGGATCTACCAACCGGTGCAGGAGCCGTTTACACCGGGTACTCGCACACAGAGTCCTTGTCCGGCCGTGATACGCAAGGTACCATTGTCGTGTCTGACGAAAGCTGGCCGTCCGGTCCGAAGATCATTGTGGAAAGAATGACGGTGACGGAAGTCTCGTCGGGGGCTTCCAGTCAGTCCAGCCCCGTGCAGTCCTCAGCCGGTCAAGGCCGCATTGCGACGTTGGATTGGAGGGAAGATCTAGACACGCTGGTCGGCCCCATGGCTGTCGACTGTCTAGCTCGGAAGGCTTCCAAAGCTCCGAACCCATTGATGGGCGAAAGTGATGCCGTGCGCCATCTCCATTCCTGGCTAGACTTGGCTTGCTTCAAGAACGCGGACTGGAAGGTCCTTGTGGTGGAGCCCACCACCTGGGGCGGCAGCAGTGTGCTTTTGGAGATCTTTGCATCCAAGACGGGTGGACGCTATCGGTTTGCCCAGACCGTGATTGCCGAGTCAAAGGCTGAGGCCACTCATCAGATTGAGCAGAGGCTGTCGCAGGGTGGACTGGATGTGACATACACGACTGTGGATCTTTTTGCGGGAGTCGACGAAGAGACGGTGGCCCAGCTAGGTACATTCGATCTCATCCTCGCTCCCTACAGTTTAGTAAACCAGCTGCCGCACCTGGAGCCGTTGTTGCGCTCAGAGGGCAGGATGGCCTTGGTCTCTACAGGTACAAAGGACGATCATGACGAGTCTTCTTCGGGAGACGTGTTGCATACAACTACCCTTCAAGAGACAATCCGATTCCGTTCTGGTCAGGACAACAGCGGTTTGTGTATTGCCAGCCTGGAATCCAAGCACGATCCAGCAAACGACTTCAGCGAAATTGTGCTTCTGCAGCATGCGGATCCCGCTGCGTCTAGCAGAGCACTGGGGGAGCAGCTCACGACACGCCTTAGCGCACTCGGACATCGCGTCCGGACGACGACTCTCTCTGAGGCACAAACACTGTCTGGACACGTTGTGATCTCCCTCCTCGAGGCAGAGCGTCCGTTTGTAATCTCATGGACATCCGATGACTTTGAACAGTTCCGCCAGCTGACCAGTGCGCAATATCTCCTGTGGGTCACGCATGGCGGTCTCCTCGAGACACAAGAGGCTTCCCTTGCCTACTCTCCATCTACTGGGCTTCTGCGCACCGTGCGCGCCGAGAAGCCCCAGATTCGACTGCCCCATCTTGACCTCACTCCTGGCCTTGATGTAGGGTCGGAACAGGCAGTTGATCTAATCTTGAAGGTCTTCGGCTCCACCAGCAAGGCCCCCGTGAATGGGAAGAACTGCGAAATGGAGTATGCTGAGTTGAATGGCTTGTTGCATATCCCTCGTGCACAGGGCCATCACGGCCTAGACCATGAGCTGGCACTGCATGCGGCCACCGTGATCAGTGTGCCCGGGCCTTTATATCAGCCGGGTACGAGCCGAAAGCTCGAGGCATGCCGCGCTGGCGATGCGTCGAGTCTCTGGTGGATCCCGGACGAACGCGACCGCCATACGTTAACTGATACCGAGATAGAACTGCAGCCCACTCACATTGCTCTGGAGGATGGTATGGTCAAAGAGTTCTTGTCTAGTAAACAGCGCGCCCTTTTGCCACCGGCCCTTGGGCGAACCGCCGTCGGAACCGTCACCGATGTTGGTCCACTGGTGTCAAGATTTGCGCCTGGAGACAGGGTGCTCACGCTGCATCCGGGCCCGTTTCACACGCACCTGCGCATGTCCGAGTCCCTAGTACACAAGCTTCCGGAATCACTCTCCCCCGGCGAAGCCGCTGTCGTACCCCTGGTCGCAGCGCACGCCTGGCATGTCCTTGTGGAGGTTGCGGCGTTCCGGGCCGGTCAGACGGTCTTCGTTAATGGATCGGGCGACATCCTAAGTCGGCTTCTTGTCCAGCTGGTCCAGTCGCTCCATGGGGAAGTGTTTGTGTCGGTTTCCTCCAAGGAAGAGCGACATGCGCTTATGGAAGATCACCATATCCCGGCTAATCGCATCTTCAACCAGTTGAACCCGGCGTCGTGGACCTCCGATATTCTGGCAGCAGCAGATGGCAACGGGCTGGATGTCATCAACAATACGACGGCGGGTTCCACAGTGCGGAGTTTGTCTGCTTCTGTCAAGAGTGGAGGACGCTTCGTGGATGTCACTCAGAAAGTTGTGGCGTCGATGCTGGATCCCACAGTGTTTGAGCGTGGCATCACTTTGTCCTTCCTGAACCTGACCGTTCTGCCCGACAGCAAGCTGTTCAATCTTGTTGATAAGGCTCTTAATTTAGCTCGGATGGGACGTTTCAATCCGATGCCCTCTATCTCGTTGTCTTCTGTCTCTGAACTGCCACATGCTCTGACAGCACTAGTCCAAGAAGAAGGATCGTCCCCGACTCCGATGGTCATTGAGTTCCCCCAGGACGCAACGGTTCCCTTGCTCCCATCCCCGCCACCACCGCTCCACCTCAAACCTGAGGCGACATATATCCTTGCGGGGGGGCTAGGCGCTCTGGGTCTCACAATCGCGGACAACTTGTGGGCTCACGGTGCACGACACCTGGTCTTCCTCAGTCGGTCTGGAGCGTCCAGTCTTCGACAGCAAGAGGCATTGCAAAGCTTGCGTGAGCATGGATGTGCCGTAGACGTGGTGCGTTGCGACGTGACAGATGCAGAGCAGGTGAAGGCGCTCGCCGCACAAATCCAGGAGAAATCCTGGAAGGTGAAGGGTGTCGTACAACTTGCGATGGTTCTACGGGTAAGTCGTTCTGGCCTCCCCCTGAAGGGGTTGACACCACGCTAACAACACTTGGGTGACCAGGACTCCATCTTCGAGAATATGACGTTCGACAAGTGGCTGACTGCGGTAAACCCGAAGGTCAAGGGCACCTGGAACCTGCACAACTACCTGCCGCAGGAACTAGACTTCTTCGTCATCCTCTCGTCCCTCTCGGGGATCATTGGAAACACCGCCCAGGCCAACTACTGCGCCGGAAATACGTACGAAGACGCTCTGGCGCATTACCGACGCAAGCTCGGTCTCGCTGCAACCACCCTTAACGTCGGCCTGGTCACGGACGCGAGCCATTTCAACGAGGACTCCACCATCGAGGACTATCTGCGGAAATACAGCCACTGGATCCCCGCTCAGGTAACCGACCGTGAACTCCAGAAGACCTTGATCGCGGTGATGCGAGGACAGCTGGCAGAAGGCGAGCCGGTGCCGGGTCAACTCCTTGTCGGACTCTCGGATCAGGTCCGCCGCGACGGCGAGAGCCTCAATCTTTGGCCTTTGGATCGCAAATTTGACCATCGCATTAGCCTTGCTGGTGTCACCACGACCGCTCAGGAAGAAAGTCCCAGCCAGCAGCTACAGGACTCGCAGACGGCGAGCGAGGCCCAAGCGCTTGTCGAATGGGCGTTGCGGGTCAACGTTGCGAATGCGATGACCGCATCTCCGGATGATATCGACGTCGAGAAGCCGCTCTACACCTTTGGCAGTATGTGCTTTCCGCTCCCTTTGCTGACCTTTATGCGTTACCTGTAGACTGACGCTTTGCAGTTGACTCACTCAAGGCAATCGAAGTGGGGAACTGGATCTTCAAGGAACTCAAGGCGGACATTTCGGTCTTCGAGGTTCTAAGTCCCATCTCCTTGGGCAGACTGGCAATGAAGATCGTATCGAAGAGTTCTTTGGTCAGTGTGGAGGTTGCAACGGAAGCAGCGGCGGAGGGATCGAGTTAGATTATCTATGATGCGACTTGTACCTCATGACAGCTGTCCCAATTATCGTCTAGCGCTTGATAGTTGTAGATATATGAGTGTATGCCCCGGAGTTACCGGTTATGTGGTTTTATTAAGCAGGCTATTGACTAGCTACCAGGCCTATAGGTATACCGTATAGGTTTAGCTAGCTCTTCTTCATTGAACAGTAGATTCTTAGAAATCTTATAGCACTGTCTTTATTTAGGGCTTATTAGATGTCCTACTGTAATTACCACATACTCAAGATTCTTTGGGTCTGATCATAATCCGCATACTTAAGTAACTATAAACATATCTGGAGCAGGGGTACTAATCTCAAGGATTATAACTGGATTCTTGTACTTTTCTTCCACAAGATATCTGGTGACCGAGCTCAGGACAGGAGTAGATTTTCAGATTACTATAAGATCACTTACTCCGTATATAAAATTATAGGCATTGTAGAGACGGTCAATTCGGCATCGTCGTCAAGCTAATCATACAGAATACTAGGGTATGAGCAGCTCATGGCGCACGTGACTAATGACTAATCCCGCCCTGAGTGGGACCTGAGTGCCCACTGAGCTTTGACCGGTGACGAGAAATACCTGAGCGCCCTCATTAAAGCAGCATCATCCAAATAGGGAAGGTCTCGTTGATCCTCGAAAATCAAGTCTGTATAGTGACATATCATCGACCTTATTTGTGTCTCTACTTTCAACCTTTCTTTTCTTTCTAGTTCTACAGTTTCTACTTGGTTTCTTTCTTTTCTTCATCTAGGCTTGTGAAATACGAGCGGGATAGACATGTTCATGCCGTGGTCATCTCAATTAATGGATGGATTGTACCCTACTTTTCTGGGAGGCTTGGGTCTCCTGTTGTTTAAACGATATGACATTAATATGCATTTCAAATTAGTTATGCATCAACACTGTACCGGTAGTAATGTAGATGGTGTTAGCATATTCTAGCTCGACCATCGTCCAAAAAGCCAATTGGTGAATGGTAGGGGTTTAATATCCAATAATTGACACGGCCGATGGCCGGCGTGTAGATACTAAGGATAGGACGATCCGTATCGTACGAGTAGATTATGCTGATCTCGACACGACCGCACGACCAGATGGTATCATTTCCAGAACAAGTGATAAGAGGCTTGTTTAAGATGAAAATTACAATTCAAGACTAGTCAAGCTCGCTTACTAGCCAAGTGCGCCAAAACACCTCGCTAGACCGAGGAAAAAAATGAAAAAAATGAGGCACAGCCATACGTGTCGTCGTGGGAGCAAGTCCTGGACGAGACGAGGTCGTCACGAGATCATCGGGTCGATGTCTCCGTTGTTGGTCATTACGGTATCATTGTTGGAGGCTCCGTTTCGTCCTGCGTCGCCTGCCTCTTTGGCGATGTTCTCCGTCAGGCCGAGGTCTAGCTTCTCCGGTACATCCTTTTTGGCTTCGCGGGCTTTCTGCTCGGCCCAGGCGCGCAGCTTGACCAGATTGCGCAGGCGCGCCTCTTTACGGGCGCCCTGGCTCTGAAGGATGGCCTCGTTTACACTAGTGGCGATATCTTTACGAAGGTTGGGGTGTAGGAGAGGGGCAAGGGAGGGAGTGAGGGTTTCGGTGGGGAAGATGAGCAGTGCCAACGTCCGCTCGAGGTCATCCAAGAACTGCGGGTTGGTCGGGGCCCGGGGCGCCAGTTGCGAGGTTGCAAACTCGAGGGCGGGACTGATGTCCCCGTCCGGCGAGGCACTGCACGAGCGGATCAACTCCACCAGCTGTAGACGCAGGAGGGCAAAATGTAGCGACGGATTCTCATCCAGGATCTGTGCCAGTAGACATGTTAGCGCGATGGTCATAACAAGTAATGAGTGTGACACGACGGCATAGTAGTGTTTTGCTGATCATACTGAGGACTGAAGATGTTTGTTTTTCATCAAACCCCCGAAGAGGGTTTATGAGTGGTGCATGAAACTTGGTCTAATCCTAGCAAAGGTGGGGCGCGCGCGGGTGGATGCGGCATGGGCAAAGGGGAAGCGAGGGAGAAAATTCTTACCTGTGGGTTGAGCTCGTTGATTTTTTCAATGGCGGCCTGGATATTCCCCGAATGGATAGCCGTTCGAATGTCCACTCTTTCTTGGACCGAATCGACGTCCGTCTTGGGTTGAATATTGGCTTCGACAGCGAATTTCTTCGCCGCCGCGGGGTAGCCATTGGTGATGAGGTAGTCCATGACCAAGTAATTGATATCACTAGCCACGATGTTAGCACCGTCTGACCCCGCAAGCAATCGACAATCAATTTTGTATTGACAGGAAGATTCAGAAAGACAAGTCAATTGTATTTCTCCTCAGTGTTTTTCAGAGAGATTCCCAACTTGATTATGAAAGCATCCTTTTCCTGCTGCCAAATGGCGATGAAGGGGTAAGAAAGTTGGGGACTCACGTTTTGGATGGCTTGACCTCATCGACCTTCCGCTCAAAGTGATGCCATGTTGGCGTGGTGGTGGAGGAAGAGGGAGACATCTGTGTCTCGTTAAAACCAAGCTACCACGCACGCACAGTACCTCAGGAAGCATACGTAATTCGCCGAAGACATGGTGGTGAAAGCTGGAATGACTATGACTCTTGGTCTCAAGTGCCCTGAAGCTGAAGAGGCAGTCTGTGAAGATGGGAAACCTCACCGACGGACGCCATGGGAAAAGGGAAGTGCAGATGAAGTGATGAAGAGAAAGAGGAAGAAGAAGAAGAAGCGAAAATCAGTGAAGAAATAGCTCCCGTCACGTGGACCGTTGGCGCCCGCAAGCGAAAGTCACGGGATGGAACACACTAACCACACCGGGTCTAGCGTTGTCACCCGGCGCTAGACTACATCTGGACTGGATCGGGAACCCCATCTTTGTCTCAGTTCGCGATCTTCTCATTTCATGCATCCCACTTCCCCTCCCCATATTGACTGGAGGCCTGCTTGTACATGTGTATGTCTGATTGAGATATAAGGGTAGGAGCCAGAGTCTGAATTCATCCATCATGGAATCCATTTCACCCGTTTTCTCGTCCCCCCTCCAGAAACAATACTCTCCACCATGGGCCGATCTGAGTATCATTGGGATTGCGGGCAGCTCTGGCTCGGGTAAGACCTCTGTTGCTATGGAAATTGTGAAGTCGTTGAATCTGCCATGGGTGGTGATCCTTGTAATGGTACCGTGAATTTATCGGATCACCCATGGGAATGCCCGACATCCCACCACCAGTCAATCGCGGCATCTAACGTGGTCGCGTGACAGGATTCCTTCTACAAGAGCTTGAATCATGAGCAACATACCAAGGCGCATATGAATGAATATGATTTTGATTGCCCGGACGCGCTGGATTTCGATGTCTTGGTGCAAACTTTGCAGGATTTGAAGAAAGGGTATCGCCCCGCCCGTCCGATTTCCTTATCATGTTTCAGATGGCAGACAGGGAGAGGTTTCGACGAGTGGAGCTAACTGACTGGATATTCGGGCCAAAAGGAAGAAAGTTGATATCCCTATCTACTCTTTTGCCCATCATCAGCGTCAACCGCAAACGACCCCGCTGTACTCGCCACGGGTTCTCATTCTCGAGGGTATCTTGGCCCTCCACGACCCAAGAGTATTGGATTTGCTGGATGTGAAGGTAAGATCCTTCATCGTGTAATTTAGAGAAAGCGTGCTCATCTGGACGGGTAGATCTTCGTAGAAGCCGATATGGACGTGTGCCTGGGACGCAGAAGTAGGTATCCATCCTATAAACTTGATCCTAAACGCTCTGACGCAGGAATTAGTCATGCGTGATGTCCGGGAACGAGGACGCGATATAGACGGCATTATCAAACAGTGGTTCAACTATGTGAAGCCGTCCTATAGGCGATATGTGGAACCGCAGCGTCTCGTATCCGGTAGGCCCGCTCAGCTCATTTCCCCCGTGACACCTCCCACTAAATCCATATAGATATCATCATTCCTCGCGGGATTGAGAACAAGACGGCCATCGGTAGGTCATCCCCACTACTTAACATACCCCCCTGCTAAGGCCATGCCCAGACATGGTCGTCAAACACATCCAGCGTAAGCTGGACGAAAAGTCAGAGAAGCACAGCGCAGATCTGTACAAACTGGTCGAAATCGCGTCCGGGGAGCAACTATCTCCCAAGGTCCAGGTCATGGCAGCCACACCCCAGTTTATCGGAATGAACACCATCCTCCAGAGCCCGGAAACGGAGCAAGTCGATTTCGTGTTCTACTTTGACCGACTGGCGTGCCTGCTGATCGAAAAGTACACCAATCCCCACAATAATACAGACCCGATCAAGAAACCAGATAGCTAACGTAGTACCACCAGAGCATTGGACTGCACCTCGTACATCCACACCGAAGTGAAAACCCCACAGAAGAACGCCTACTCTGGTCTGAACCCCGCTGGCGTCGTATCCGCCGTTGCCATTCTCCGCGGCGGGTCTTGCCTGGAGACCGCATTGAAGCGGACCATCCCAGACTGCATCACCGGCCGCGTCCTCATCCAGACAAACGCCAAGAACGAGGAACCCGAACTCCACTACCTCAAACTCCCTGTGGGCATCGAAGAGCACGGCACGGTCATGCTCCTCGACCCGCAGATGGCCAGCGGCGGAGCCGCCCTGATGGCAGTCCGCGTCCTGATCGACCACGGCGTCGAAGAGCACAAAATCGTCTTTGTGACCTGCGCCGCTGGCAAAGCCGGGCTGAAGCGGTTGAGTTCGGTGTATCCGAACATGAACGTGATCGTGGGGCGCATCGAAGAAGACCGGGAGCCTCGATGGATGGAGCAGAAGTACTTTGGATGTTAAGGGGTGTACATGGAAGGATCAGATATCCAATATTTGTTACTTACCTAAGGTTTATGCTAGCTATTGATCTGCACCATGATTGGCGTGTACTGAAATATGCATTGAACAAGTTAAGCTTTCTTGGCCAAAATAAGCTTCCTAGTGGGGACGACACCTGCCGACTTGTCATCCTAGATGTCAAATGCTGGGCCAGCAAGTGCAAGGAATTAGTATTAAATGATGGCTGAAATGCCACCAACGTCTTTCAAATTAAAACAATTTGGTAAGACATAACTGAGCCAAAGGTAGTGTAGTTATCTGATAAGCGCACACACCTACTATCTCGGAAGAAGACTAGATCCTGCCTCTATCCTTTTCGGGATCTCGCAAATCATGTGGGTTATAACACCAGATTACAGCTTCAACAGACAGATAAAACAGAGATGACTCGCCTATAGCTAACACACAAACCACGTACACAACATACAATTAGAGGTGAAAACCTCACACCCAACCCAGCAACAGCACAGCAGCACATGCAATCCTTATTCCTTAATTTACAGTAGCGAAAGCCAATGGCAGCGGCCGCGGCGTAGTAGTCGGGACTGCAGATGTTGAAGCCCTCGCAGAAGAAGAAGAAGAAGAAGCGTCTGGGTGAGCCACACAATACCGGAAGTGCTTTGAGAATGAGCAGGCATCTGCGCTGTTGGACGGCTTGCTGCTGGTGGTGCTGCTACTACTACTGCTACTACCACCACTGCTGCTGGTGGTGCTAGTGCTGGTGCCCCTCTTACTCCTGCTGCTACCACTGCTTTTCCGAAGCGAAGGATTCCACCGGATGAGGTCGTCCACGCTAACGCCGTAGAAGTAGCTAGCGCTCTGGCACTGGGAGACGCGCTTGTAATTTTCGTACTGAAGGTTGCTTCCGGCTGCATACATGGAGCAGTCTTGGCGGGTGTGCGGAGCGAGAGGGGTTACGTCGAAGATGGGAGAGTAGGTTGCGTCTTGGAGGCTGGTGTAGGCGACTTTTGAGACGGAGGAGGTTGGCCCGATGTAGCCGGGGGCGTTGGGGTAGGTGTTTACTGGCAGGGTTGGTCATGGTCATGATTGTGATCATTGGTGACGGGGGCCTTGCTGGGAGAGGGATTGAAGGGGGTGGGTGGGAAGGGACTTACTGTCTCCAACTGGTTGGACGCAGTAGCTGGTGTGGGAAAGTAGATTGGTGCAGCTGTGCGGTAAGTGGTTAGGAGGCTGGGGTCTCCGATTGTGGGGTGTTTTGGAAGTGTGAGAACTTACTTCGCATTGACACCTGGGTTCAGGATGCCGAAGTCCTGGCGGGATACTTTGAACTTGCTGGTGAAGACGTCGCACTCTTCGCCAGCTGCCGTCTCGTAGTAGTGGCCGCAGCGAGTGGTGGTGTTGGCCGCGACGTTGCTGGGGACTGGAGCCGCGGAGGGCGCACCCGACTCGGCGGCCGAGGTGGTCCTGGAAGGAGGTACATACTTTTGACCGGGTGCACTGACACAGATCTGGGTGCCGATGGTGCGGTTGAAGTTGTAACAGCCCGCATCGATCCAAGGATTGTAGGCACGGAGTTGGACCGTGCTGATTTTGTGCGTAGCCGACACTGAGCGACATGTATCGCCGTCCTTGACGGTGTACACGTCGCATTTGTTTCTGATACACAGCGTGCCTGTTTTGGGAAACTTGGCACAGTAAGCGGAGAGGTTGTTGTCCATGAGAAGTTGCCAGGTTGCCACCCCCTGCGACGATGCAATGGAGTTGCACGTATCTCCAGACTTAATGTTGTACCGGGTACCTTTGCAAGTCGAGGTTGGGGTGGCGTGTGCGGCGTTGGAGGTGCTGAAGATGTTAGTGTCCGGGACATCCCTAACACAGGGGGTGGCCTCTTACGAAGATGCAGCAGGGGAGGACGTTGTAGGCAGCAAAGTCGGCGTCGTTGATAACGGATATCCGGTAAAATGGCAGGACGAGGTGTAGCTCTGGTAAATACCTTTGGAAAAGACCAAGGGGCCATCACCGTACTGGAAGGAAGCCGTGTCGCGCAGCTTAAACAGAGCACATCTGTTGCAGCTTTTGTCACCGGCCGAACTGTTCCCCGAGGCGGTGGTCAAGTTCCCCAACACGAGGTTGCAGTACTCGCCATCATTCATCAGACAGGTTTGATTGTAGTTGAATCTCCTCTCCGTGGCGATGGCGGAGATGGGAACCGTCTTCCCGTAATCGTCCGTGTATGTCACATCACTGCAGGAGTCCTGGATGCTTTCCTCCCAAGATTGCAACGCCGACTGGCAGTCATCAGTACAGGAAGACTCCAATACTGCTTGCGTATACACGGTGTTGGCATCAAGGACGGAGACGGCATTTGAGCATTCGGTGATATTGGTCGAGAGAGCATCAACGCAGTCATCGGAGTATCCGGAGCCTTGGAGGCTGGATTCCGGGAAGATCACAAAGGCGGATGTTAGGGTATAAAAGAGAAACGAGGCACAGAATAGAGCCCAAGAGAGACTCAGGCGGGCCATCCTGAGATTTGTCTAGAAACGAGAGTGCTATTAACGAGTGGAAGGTTTTTGATAATGGAAGTAGTGAATGAGCGACAGAAGCCTGGTGGGGGATATCATAGAATAAGCAAATGGAAGAACAGTGACAGATAAACCCAAACCTCTAAGAACGAGTGTAGGGATATTACAGGTATCTCCAAATCCTGAGACGGCTCTTGTCTAGATCCAGGACTCGGAGAAACGAGATATCGACCAGCCTTGGCCCATTCCACCTACGGAGTTCTCCGTAACGGATGGACAATGTACCTTACAGACCCGGCTAGGGCTCATGCGCCGCATCGTGCATTAGCATCAATCGCCGGAATGACAAATTATCGTTGTAGTGGGTCTGTTGATCCGGACACGGCTGCCAGGCTAGAACTGCTTATCTTGTTAGGGAAACACCCCGTTGAGGTTGTGGTAAGATCTACGAATGTGGGTGGGGACTCGATCATATGTCTGCTTTGCCGCAGCCGCTAACAGAATTGCGGGCTTAACTAATAGGCTTATGTAGTCGGGGCTCAAAGTTAGAGCGTGATGGTGATACATTAGCCTCGGGCTGATCGCTGGGGGCTGAAAGGATGATATCCACTACAACGATGGTTAGCTCCACCAGCTTCATCTTAGCATTCGATCTTCGATAGTACTTTCCCAATAGATTGAATGTTTTACAGCCTGGCCGGATGTTGCCTTACCGCGGCCGGTCAGTGCACATGATCCCCTGGTCGATGGACCGTGCTTTCCAGGAGGAACGGGATACCATATTCATAGACAGAGCAGTTCGCACGTTGGATGGCTAGATACTCCAGTCCTTCGTTACTTATCTGTCGCACTGAATATAGGGTCACTTGCAAAAGCCAAAAGTGTCATGACACCTTGTGTAGCCGAGTGGTGATCCCCTTGTTATTTTGCGACGCTAACTATCGTCGCTCTCTTCCTATACGATGACTCCTCGAGTTGTACATTCTTTGCTTTTCTTTCTTTTTCTTCTGTTTGTCACCGTTCAGGCTTCTGACAATCTCCTGGCCGAGGCTCTTTCTGGTTTCGATGCTCTGGTCAAAGGGGACGCCTATAGCTGCAACAAGACCTCTCCGTGCGAGAATGGAGCGTGCTGCGGAAAGTCGGGCTACTGTGGCTTTGGGGACAAGTACTGTGGTACCACGGGCGAGTCTCCCAACGACGCTTGCTGGAGCAATTGCGATGCTCATGCAGAATGTGGCAAAGACGCCATGCCGGAAAACAAAGGGTGCCCGTTGAACGTCTGCTGCAGCCCGTTCGGGTTCTGCGGGACCACCTCCCAATTCTGCGGAGACGGGTGCCAGAGTGGATGTGAGCAGCCGGCCTCGAATTCCTCCGGAAGCAATGTCCAGCAGCGTATCATTGGATACTACGAAGCCTGGCAGAGCGATAAGCGATGTATGGGCATGAATGTGGATCAAGTTCCGGTCGAGAGCTTGACCCACATCAACTGTGAGTGGATGCGGAGTGATTCTCAATTAAGGAGCCCAGGAAGCTAATGTCATTCGCCAAGATGCCTTTGCCGTTGTTGAGCCGGATACCTTCAAGATTGGGCCCATGCCCAAAGCCGACGAATCGACCATAAGCGATTTCACGGCGCTGAAGGAGAGAAACCCCAATGTGGTGGTGGGAGTGTCCATTGGAGGATGGGACTTCAATGATAACCACACAGACACACAAGGGGTCTTCGCCGATATTGTATCATCGGATAAGAAGAGAGAGAAGTTCGTCAGCGAGCTCTTGAAATTCATGAAGCATTATGCCTTTGACGCGGTTGATCTTGATTGGGAATATCCGGGTGCCACGGACCGCCAACCCCCCCATACGGATACCTCTGGCAATAAAAAAGGCTATGTCCACCTGATGCGAGATATTCGGAAGGCATTGGATAATGAGGACAAAAAATACGAGCTTTCCTTTACGGCTCCTACTTCGTATTGGTAAGAGATACCCTCGGATCACCTGGAATAGACGCAGTGGCTCACCACGCCGGTGCAGGTACCTTCGCTGGTTTGACATGAAAGAGATGGTCAAAGCAGCCGACTATGTTAACTTCATGACATATGATCTTCATGGAATCTGGGATGCCACGAACCCAATCGGAAGCCACGTTCTGGCGCACACTAACCTGACGGAAATCACAGACGCGCTCGATCTGCTGTGGCGAAACGAAGTGCCTGCAAAGAAGGTCAATCTCGGACTTGCGTTCTACGCAAGAACCTTCCAACTAAAAAACAAGGACTGCGATCGTCCTGGTTGCTTGTTCAAGGGAGGCGGTTTGAAAGGGCCCTGTACCAAAAACTCCGGCACCCTTTCCTACCGTGAGTTGGCTGACGTGATGGTGTCCCACGACATCACGCCCACATACGACAAGAAGGCCGCCGTCAAGTACTTCACATGGAATGAAGATCAGTGGGCGTCGTTTGACGATCAACAAACATTTCAACAGAAGGTTAAATTCGCTAATGAGCAGGGCCTCGGAGGCCTGCTGATCTGGTCACTGGATCAGGATGATAGTAACCTCGATCAACTGCGAGGGGTGCTTTACCCTCGAGATGTCAAGATCAGTGATTCCACGGCTGATGATGTCAGTTTCTGGGAGAGTCAGACAATCGGTGATTGTCAAACCAGTGACTGTGGTGGCTCATGCAGTCCTGGCACCATTCAAATAGAAACCATCGACTGCCCGTCAGGCGGCGGCAAACAGAAGATCTGCTGTCCCATCGCATCTGCGCCGGATCCGAAGACCTGCCATTGGCGTGGAGGGGAATCTTCGGGGTTTTGCAACGGTCAATGCCACGGTGGAGAAGTTGCCATCTCCTCCAGCGTGGATGGAGGCAATGGCCATTGCACCGATGGCCGACAGTTCTACTGCTGCCCTATCCCCGAAGTTGCCGCCGGCGGTGGAATCAACTGTGGCTGGCAGGACAGTTGTCGCAAGGACCAGGAGCCACTGACCTTCGCGGGGACATTCTTGTTGGATTTTATCGAACCGGCCAAATTCGCCGGTCTGGCCGGGCCTTCGCTGTCCAGGGCGCTCGAGGATATTGATATCATGTCACGCAAAATGTACTGCTGCGGCAAGGAAGAAGTCAATAACTGGAAAGACTGCTACTGGGCAGGGAAAACCGGGAGAGGGGTTCACTCCTGTGATGATAACCATTGCAACACAGGCCACGAGGTGGAATTAACCAACAGCCCTTACGGCGGTGGGGAAAGTTGCACGCCAATGGACACCTCCCGACAGCGCGCGTTCTGTTGCAATCCCGCAAGTGGGAAGAGTCCCTTCATGCCAGTTCCCCTTGAGTACCTGTTCCCAGACCCTCCACCCGACGATTCGAGCCCAGAGTTCACCCTCAAGGTTGACGATACATGGGGGACCGGGAAGTCCAAGAGCAAAGACGACCCCAATGCCGCGGCTTTTGGCTTCGTTGTGATTACCGCACCGGATGAAGTGTCGGCCAGCTTGGACAAGAGAGACGGGGCTCCTTGGGAGGTCATGGACTGCATCGAGACTGATAGTGAGGACGAACAAAAGGTGCGGGTTTTCTGCACAGACACCTCCGAAGACAGTCTGTGCCACAAGATCCACCTCGGAAAGGGCGTTCCGGGTACCATCCTTCAGATGCCCGAATCCTGTGGGCCTGGAAAGTATGCTGTCGCCAAAACCTTCGGTCTCTCCGCAAACCAGACTGTTCCAGGGCATCTGTCCAAGCGGGGCGCATCTGAAGTTTACGATTTGACCTATGACTACGATTTCAAACGGGTGCCCCGGGACTATGGCGAGAGTAAGATGCGTCTCGATTTCAGCAACGAGAAGGGCTACTGGGATGCCGTCGTCGACCGCCCTGGCCAAGGCTCCAAGTCCAAGCGTGACCTGGGCGTGTATCATGAAAACCCCAAACGCTGGATGGAAGAAGAATGGCGTGACGCCTACCATATGGGCTCCTTGTCCCACGACGAGATCCACAAACGATGGTTCGGCGAAGATGTCCTCGCCTGGCTTGCAAACCTTATTGGCCTGTCAGAAGTTGAGGCGACAAAGGAGTTTACTCACAGTGTTGACGAGAGGATAGAGGTGATATTGATCGATCAGCAATTTGGGCCCTGCCCGGTTGGCCCTGCACAGGCACAGGCGAATATTCGATCCACCGTCGACGCGCATCTTCGGATCGACAGCTCGTTTGGACTGACGATAATTGCTAATCTAGGAGACACAATTGACCTGAGCCAGTCATATCTGTTCTTCCGGAATAAAGGTGAAGTGACTGCTAAGTTCCAGCTGGACGCGGTGGCTTCGTTGACCTACCGCTCCGGGGATATCAAGCTCTTTGGCTTGGACGATTTCCCTGGTGCTACATTTCGTGTCCCCGGTGAGACAGTCCCTTGTTCGATTCATATCGAAATTCCTTACTAATATCGTTTCTCTAGGCATTGTAACAGTCGGGCCTAATATGGCTGTCTATGCCTCGGCCGACGCTGAGTTCACGGTTGCGGGCCACCTCGAAGCTGAGGTCGCTGTGGCCCAGTGGGAGATCCGGCAAACGTATCCGGAAAACGCCAAATACCCGCCAGAGGCCATTTCGGAACCCGACAATGATGGCACCCAGACACTGGGCAAGCCCAGATTCGAGGCGAGTGTGACTGCCAGGGGAGAGATCGCTCTGCATTTGAAGCCAACCGTCCAGTTCGGAATTGAATTTGACTCTCGATGGAAGGTAGACAAGTGTACGGTGGATCTGGTTCTGGATGGTTATACCATTGCGCATGCCCAGGCATCCGCGTCCACCAGCTCTGACAACTCATGTCCATTCTCCTATGGCATCGATGCAGGTTCGAATATCTTCGCCCAGCTCAATGCCCCGAAGTTATATGGTTGGGGTGGCCAGACTCGAATACCCATTGCCACAGTTCCTCGAAAGCAAATCACCCCGGAGACCTGTGTGAACAACAGCAGTAAGCGGTCATTTGATGAAATTGATCCTCTTTCGGGGGATTATCTCCCCTCGTTCAACTCCCCAGGTCTGGGTATTAACCAGATGGATAAACGCGAGACGTTCACTTTGGGCCCCATCATCACTATCCCAGACAGCTTTCTGTCCTGTCCCAGTAATGACTCGACCTCAAACTCTACGTTTTATTGCCCTTCTTGTGGTGTTAAGAATGATGACGACCACCAGAATTCTCGGACCCGTCGCGACGCCGAAGCGTGTCCTCTGCTCGGTCCTAGAACCGAAGAGTCGTGTGCCAACTCGGCCACCCTTCACAAACGAAGCAACGGGTCGAAAAAGATTAATCTCTCTTGGCAGGGAAAGAGTTTCTTCTACTCTAGATACCCAAGTTGCTCAGTGGCCAATCTCGGCTCTTTGCAAGGCGTCGCCAAGGTCTGTTCTTCGTTGATCTGTCCAAGACGTTCGTCTCTACCCTGCTGTCCAATTCGCTAACTCCTTGACCAGTGGTATATGCCGATAGGCTTCGGGCAAAACACCGGATGCGGCCCCCAAGTTGGAAAATTCGATGACGACGGGAATGGTCAAACTACCGTCAGCGGTGTGGACATGTCTCAATTCGACAATGATCATGTCTTCGAAATTCACCTGATCTCCGAGTTTCTCGAGTGGCTCTGTGAAGGTGACAAAGAGACCAAATACAATCAGGAAGCTATTCCGTTCCCGTCTGCGGCGGGCTGGCAACGGCCCGACCCAACCTGGTGTGAGCCCGTTTTTGGAAGCGAAGAAGGCACGGGTTGGAAATTCCCCGTAGACGCCAATGATGGTGACCCTCAGAACTGGATCGTCAATACCGCAACGAAGCTCGGAGGGTCGGACAGGCCAGACCTGATGGCACTCTATTACAGAGAGTCCAACATCGCCAAGGGCCAAGTGACACAGGGCCACCAAATGGCCGTGGCCGATGATGACGTTGACGTGGCCATTCAAAATATCATCAGCGTGAGGCCTCCACCTTTACCTCAATTTCGAGAGAACCCTAGACTGACCATCTCTAGACTGCCAACATCTTCTTTTACCTCAACGACAAGGACATCAAACCCATGTGGACGCAACCCTCCAACGCCATCGAGGCAATCTCCGCCTCTTTTGACGCCCACTTTTGGCAAGGCGCGCAGACCGATGGAAACGGGAACCTGTATCGCCATGGACCTCATTTCCCCGGGCGAGAATTCCGAATCCCGCCAGCACCCCAGGGGGTGACCCACTGGGGGTTACGCACATTGTGGTGTTTCTGGATTGACCAACACCTTAGAGAGACAGAGTATCTTGCCTCTAGCTGGGCGGAGACCGCAAAGACAATCATGGAGGCATATGCGGATGACGATGACGATGATATAAGCGATGACGCCACTCAATTCATCCAAAATTTCATGGGCCCAGGTGGTCAGGTCACGTCGGCCCACCTGCTGTACCCCAGGAACCCCCGCGGAGGTTCCAGGTCGCAGAGTGAATATGACATGTGGGGGAACAACAACCTTGGGGACACAGGAATTTAAATCTCCTGGTGATAGGCGGACTCTTGGATGTTGATATTGTCAGGCGGTAGAGACCCTTCCAATAGATGGACCTAATCTTTCCGATTTCCAAGCACCTCTCACGTCAAAGGCCATTAGATTGATGTTTCGTTGCTCCCCAATTGAACCCCTAGTCTTGTAAATCCCTCCCCTCCTAGTCTGGCTGAGAACGTGTAAGGTGTTCGATACGCACGTGTGGGTCTACTTCCTTCGGGATATATGAGTAAGGGTTGGTGAAAACAAGGTATAGCTTAGTTAGTGCTATTGGTAAAATTGATACTGGTCATAGAAGGATGGCGATTGTATGGAGACTTAAAACCCTGCAGGTGAAACAATGGGGGGGGAAGCAAGCAAGCAAGCAAGCAAGCAAGAAAGCAAGAAAGAAAGAAAGAAAGAAAGAAAGAAAGAAGTTTCTCTCGCATGGTCAGCTGACCCTTTGGACCACTGACTTTTACATCATATATCACTTCTCTTGCTGCTTTCGGTTTCTCCCAATCTACCGACATCTTTGCATGCTGGTGATACTTTGTTCAATGCAAAGCTTCTGCTCCTATCCTCGTCTGGCAACTAGCTGCTCCACTGTTTCGCTCTAGGGGTGTCGATCTTAAAACCATTTTACTATATGTACTAGCGACCACACTCGGCGGTTAAGACCGACGGAAACCCCTCATCTTGCGTGATGCGTACCTGTCGGCCTTTGAGACCTCCTAAAGCTCCTGAGTCTCACCAACCTCGTGAACTTTTAAAAATTCTCAAATCCCCCGAATTACCGAAATTCTTGGTTCTTTTGCACACCAGGATTTTGCTCTGATTATATCTTTCGAACCCCGACATGGTGAGATCATCCCAAACGAGGCCGCCTCGCCACCCCCCGCAGTGGGTTGAGCGCCAATACACCGACCACCAAGGGAATCCCGTCGTGCTGGGCAAAATCAATGATGGGGAGGACAGCGATTTTGATGAGCCAAGCGAGCGAGAGGAGTATCGCCTCCAGGTCTACAGCAAGGCTCCCATACAACCAGAGGACTACGAGGTACTCAACGAGTATCTTGTTAACGACGACACCGACCTAGATCCATTTCTGGAAATCTACTCCTACAATCCACCCGATCCGCTGGCTTGTGCTGAGCATCAGCGTCGTGAGATCGCCCACCGGAAGCGTCTTCATGCCGAATCGGACCGATCGCGCGATGAGCTGCCTCCGTTGATCCCCGCCATCCGGTACAGAAAAAAGGACTGCCGCACGGGCTTCTGTATTCTCCTGACGTCGGAGAGCTACCAGGCCGGTTCTTTCGATCAGGAGCGGAATGAGCGCGGCTCGGGGCCCTTTTTCATTTATTTTGATCCCAGACTTCCTTGGGCAATCCGACAGCTGGACCTAACGAGTCGCCTGAGTGTCTCGGCTCACAATATGTCCACTTTCACCCGTCGGGGTATCCAAGTCTTTCCGGAGGCTCGCGATATCGAGGTGTCGATCGAAAGCTCCCAAGAGATGATAGGCGCCGATACCATGATTCAGCTGACCGACATGGTTCGCAAAAGCTCGGGCGAGCTTGACGGTGGGCTCGATGAGCCGTTTGCGGAGGGGCTGGAGCCAGCCGCCCTTGACGCGCAGCAGGTCCAGGAGCTCCTGGAGCAGCAACAGCAAACGGCGGAAATTCAACCCGTCGATTCTTGCACCCTGCATCTCGACCGGGGACTGGACGACAGGGCTCTCATGATTACCAACTCCGCAAAGCAAGAGTGCGACCTTCAATATACAGTCTACGCCCCGTTCCTGGCGCACCTGCCGGACCCCGACCTTCCCAGCCTGCTGGAGACCACCGCCCGCACCTTCACAGCAGCCGTGATATCTCGCCTACCCGGCGACAAAACTGTCCGCTTCGAATTCAAGGTTCCTCCCACTTCCTCATTATGGTCGATTGCTTCGTCCCACGCGAGCACACTCAAACCCGGCGCTCTCCACACCTTCGACGACGGTTCCCGGCGCGAGCGAGTGCTCCCGCTGAGCCGCAGCGACGTCACCCCTTCGTCAAGAGAGCACTACAAGAGTTTCTTTGTTGTCGTGGACAAGCCGGCCTTCGTCGAGGAGCCGGGCGTGCTGTTCCTCATCTCCCGGACAAATGCCCTACAGGACCCCTCGCTCATCGAGGCCAATCACGGTGAGACGGTCTTGGAGACTCGACGCAGTGCGGGCATCCCCGAAACTGCGCGACGACTTGCGGTGACTGCGGTTGAGGAGCAGCAACAGGGTAAGAGGCGGTGTATGCGGATGCTGACGAACGAGGAGCATCGGTCTTTGCTGTCGTTGTCACCCGAGGAGCACCAGGCGTTACTCGCTTCTGCTCCGACCCGGTAGAATACTACATAGAGCTATCTCCGTCCCGTCCGATCGATGTAGTCGGGACCGGCGAATGAAAGCCGACTGGGTTTGATAGTGTATCTGATGTCGTAGTGCGTAGCATGTTTCCACCATTTACCCCGGCCCTTCTTCAACGTTGAAGGGGAACCCTCTGACCATCTTCACCGTCCATCGGGGTTAAATCCAATGTAATGAAGGAAACCTACTCTTATTTTCTTAAAATTTTTTAACTTCGTATTTGATACTAGTCATGTATTTGCTATTCATGGGTATGGATAACTAGGATAGAGTCAACATCCATCTATTTCATTCATGTTAAAAAAAAAATATCATGCCATGAATCATGAATACCCTTCTCCTGTTGAATAGCGAAATATAACTTATAATTTAACAGGAACATCCACTTCCAATTCCTCGAACTTAGCAGACCCCATGGCAGAAAGTACGTAATTGATCCAAAGAATTAGCCTTCCTATAACAGGGATAAAACCAAGCACTCCAAGCCGCATAAAACCAGCCCAAAGTATCGCGATTCCTCGCACAACGTCATCGCCGTCGTCTCCCCGGCACCAATGGTTTCGGGGCCTCCACATTTCTGCCCCTATTGGCAGTGCAGGGCCCCCCAATCAAGCAGCTCTGACACTAGCCGGTAGCGCGACCGTAGGTGGTATCGAGCCCATAGCTCAGCTTAGAACGGGTCCATACTCCCATCTAGCTGTGCACTGTACCGGAGTATACGATCACATGTGATGATCCGAGTGACATACGAGAACAGTCCAGCTCACATCGATTTAGGCCTGCCATTGTTGATGATTAGTCTACAGAGCCGAGATTCAGCTCCCTATTCACCACGGCGATACGTAGTGAGACACTGGTGTGATCAAATGGACTAGTAGAAGACGGACGAAATCGAGGACTCCATCTACCTATCTATATATCCCATCGGTGGGGACTGGGACGACTAGATCAAGGCGTGCTATCCAGTGTCGTGCATGACTCGAGAATTGGTCCCCCCTTTTTCTTCCGGGTGGAAGTCAGGATCAGGTTCTGATCCTACTCCAGATGCCGCCCCAAACCCCCCTGGGTTTTAGCGGGGCTCCACCCCTAACCTTAGTGTGTTCTCTTATCCGACAGGGCCCCAAGCCAGACCCCTCTGTCGGATTGGGGGCTGCTTGTGGCTTTGATTGCGCCCTCGGCCCCCCGGTCAGAGCGCCTCGTGGGAAATTTCTGGGGCGAGCTTCTTTTTTTAAACTTTTTGACAGTTTTCAATTAGCATTTGATTATACTTTATATTATAGCACTCTATTTGACTCCATGTCATTTATTGATCTATTTTTATGATCGCGAACACACCAAGGTCCACACCATCGTAATCTTCGCTCACAAGATGCGTAAAGATCCTTGATCTTGAAGAAACTGCCGCAGACGAGACTAAACCCGCCGGTCATCCTTCGCGTCCATGTAGATGCAGCTCTAAGAATCGACGAAATCAACCCTAACTGGATCCCACCTAGTGGCCTCGGGAACTTCTTACCCTCCCCAGCAACGCCGTCGAATCACCATCCAGCCGGGAAGATTTGAGAGGACGATCGTGGCTCGAGGGTCCAGAAGCTGCTCGGTACCGACCGTGTCCACCTTTCCCCAGAATGCCGGCATGCGAGACTAAGGTGAAAGCTCCCTGACATTATAAGCTGGAGCGCGATCTCGCCCTGCCCGAATTCTCGCGCGGCCTTCCCTCGCCGTCTCTCCCCCTCGTGCCCTGAGAATGCGATTTCCTGGGTCCTGGGTTGCGGTCTTCTTCTTGACGGTCATCCACTGGGCGGCACTGGTCTGCGCGAACTCGCAGACCTTTCCACAATGCACGGTGCGCGCCGATCGATTTTTCCTGACGGTTTCTCATCCCGGCGATGCGTGGTGGCTGACAGCTGGCGATAGGTAAAATGCATGAATGATTTGATCCCTGGATCCTCCTGCGCGCTTGACGACCAGCGGTGTATCTGTACCGATAAACAATTGATCGAAGACTTGAGTGTCTGTGTGACGGCGACATGCACGATACGGGAGACTCTTGGTGCGTTCCATTGGAGAAGAGGACGGTTTCCCTGCGCGCTTGGCTGACGGGTCGTATCCATACCTATATAGTCAGCATCAACATCACGAATACCGACTGCGGCGTGCCGGTCCGAGACAATACGGCCCCGAGCATCATCATTCCCGCGGTCGGCCTGAACGTCCTTCTGTTGGTGGCTTTGCGGACATACACGCGCTTTGCGGTCACCGCGTCGGAGACCGGCTTGGATGACTGGGCCGTGCTTCTGCTTGCGGTATGTGGAGGGAAGAGGTTCCCGTCAACTCGGCTACGACTCCAGTCGGTCAGCTAAAGGTGTCGCAGGGTTGCATGATACCCCTCAACGCCATCTCGATCGTGCGTGAGTGAGATTGAACCCCTGCCCCGGTGGGCAATATACGGATAGCGACACTGATAAAAGCGGTAGTCGGAAAGGCAGGGCTAGGAAGAGATATGTGGACGCTTGAACTCGACCGAATCACTCGAGTCATCTATGTACGCCCTTTTCATCCTGCCAGTATACGGACGGACAGACTGACGGTTATCAGTATTCCTGGGTCCTGTCGATCTTCTACATCACCTGCATCTCGCTCACCAAGCTCTGCTTCCTCTTCTTCTACCTTCGCATCTTCCCCTCCAATCGCCTGCGCTTGCTCATCAAGATCTTGTTCGCCCTGACCGTCGCGTACGGCATCATCTTCCTCTTCGTCGTGGTCTTCCAGTGTTGGCCAGTCAGTTCCGGCTGGCTGAACTGGGATCTAGAGGGTCATGGCAAATGCATGCAATCGAACACGATGATGATCTCAGCGAGCGCGATCAACATCGCTTTGGATTTATTGATCATCGCCCTGCCGATTCCCAAAGTCGCTAGTCTGCAGGCGACGACTAGCACCAAGGTGCAGGTTATCGCTATGTTTTCGATGGGATTCGTGTGAGCCACCCTCGCTCTGCTTTTTCACCAAGGCCAATGAACTAAGTTTGGCCATTAGAATCACCGGAGTCAGCATCTACCGCATGGTAAGGCTCAAACTCTTCGCACTCAGTATCAACCCAACCTGTATGTCTCCCTCTCGTGCCCCCCTCTCTTACTATACGGACAATGTATTCATACTACCACGCAGGGGACAACGCCGCCAGCTGCTACTGGTCCGTCGTAGAAGTCGACGTAGGCGTCTTGTGCCTATGCATGCCCGCCACGCGATCCTTGCTCGGCCGCATGTTCCCCAACGTCTTCGGCTCAACCAGCGACCCCGAAACCACCGGGCAGTCCGTCAGCAGGAGAAGTCGACCAGTGGTGGTAACACCGGGTAATACCAGTTTCACCCAGCTGATCGAGATGGATCATGTACCTGGTAGTGTGAAAAGTCATGATGATTATTGACCTTACTCTTCCTTTGTAGCCTATTAGACCGGTAGTGAGCAGATTGACTCAATAGGGTATTTGTAGTAGATACCTGGGATCTTCATTTGAGCTCTAGCTTATTGGTAACTCGATCTTAGATGAAGAATTATAGAGGGTTAGTTGATCTATACCAGAGAAATATACTGCCCAAGATAAACCGATAAAACTAGCGATACGCACGGACCACGTGAGACCGAAACTTTTTTTTCCCGATTTCCGCAACAAGAATCAGACTTCACTTACTCCCCTCCATCAACCAGTGTTCAACGTGGTCTATTTCGCCAGTGGCTTGTTGATGCTGCTGCTATTGATCCTCAATTATTGACCTTTCTATTAAGTGGTTTTTAAATCCCCACAATGCCTGACAAGAAGAAATCCAAGAAGACCGGCGGGTCCAAAGACCCTGCCGGCGCGGTCATCAGTATGCCCTCTCCCGTCTTCTCAAGATACGCTTGCTTGATACCTAGCCCATGCAATTACTATAACACAGCACAGTCACTAACATGCATTTCAGCCGATCCCAGATTCGCCAACATCCAATCCGACCCCCGCTACCGCCTCCCCAGCAAACGCCACACCCATGTCAAACTCGACAAGCGGTTCGCTCACATGCTCAGCGACCAGGACTTCTCCCGGAACGCCGCCGTTGATCGCTACGGTCGCAAGCTGGCCCGCGACGACACCAAGAAGCAGCTCGAGCGGTTTTATCGGTTAGAGGAAGATAATCAAGACGACGAAGATGAAGACGAAGACGAAGACAAAGACACGAAGGCCGGCGCCGCCATCGTCGCCGACGATGACGAGGTCCTCCGCGAGCTGAGAAAGGCGGATGCGCAGTCTTCGTATGATCCTGCGCGCGATGGTGGGTTCGAGTCCTCTTCGTCGGAGGAGAGCGATAGCGAGGATGAAGAAGACGAGGACGAGAATGAGGAGAGGGTCGCTGGTGGGGAGGAGCTCGATTTCCCGGATAAGCAGCGCGAGGGGGTCCCGACGGGGGATGTCACGAACCGGGTGGCGGTTGTGAATCTCGACTGGGATAATATTCGCGCGGAGGATCTGATGGCTGTTTTTTCGAGTTTCTCCCCGACTGGGGGCCGCGTGTTGCGCGTTTCGGTCTATCCTAGTGAGTTTGGAAAGGAGCGCATGGAGCGTGAGGAGACGGAGGGGCCGCCGAAGGAGATCTTCGCGTCTAAGGATGAGGAGGAGGAGGAGGATGACGAGGAAGAAGATTCGGACGAGGAGGAAGAGAAGATTCGGCAGTCCATGTTGAAGGAGGATCAGGGCGAGGATTTCAACTCGACCCAGCTGCGCAAGTACCAGCTGGAGCGGCTACGCTACTACTACGCGATTCTGACGTTCTCGTCCAAGGACGTGGCGAAGCACGTCTACGACCTGGTGGACGGCGCCGAGTACCTGTCCAGTGCGAACTTCTTCGACCTGCGATTCGTGCCGGACGAGACCGACTTCGACGATGATAAGCCGCGCGACGAATGCGAGCGCATCCCCGACGGCTACCAGCCCAATGACTTTGTGACGGACGCCCTGCAGCACAGCAAGGTCAAGCTGACGTGGGACATGGAGGACAAGTCCCGCAAGGAGGCCCAGGCGCGGGCCTTTCGCGGAAGCCGGAAGGATATCGACGAGAACGACCTGAAGGCGTACCTGGCCAGCGACAGCTCCGACGACGAGGACGAGGACGAGGACGAGGATGGCGGGGTGGAAGTGGTGGATGCCGCGGGCGAGGGCGACCCGACGCGGACGAAGCGCTCGAAGAAGGAGGAGGAGCGGCAGCGCATGCGCGCCCTGCTCGGTCTGGGAGAGGCGCCCAAGCGGACCAAGTCGACCAAGTCAGACGGACCGGTCGGCGAGATGGAAGTGACCTTCACGTCTGGACTGGCGGGCGAACCCACCCGGGAGAGCGTGTTCGAGAACGAGCCCGAGAAGGACGAGACGACGATCGAAAAGTACCTGCGCAAGGAACGTGAGAGGAAGAAGCGCCGCAAGGAGAAGGTCAAGGGCCCCAAGGAGGGAGATGACGATGCGGACGAGACGGAGGCGGACGATGCGGCGGCAAATGAGGCCCCGGCGGCGGAGGAGGCAGAGGATCTCGGCTTCAACGACCCGTTCTTCGACAACCCCTCTGGCAAAGAGACCGCGCACCAGCGCAAGGAGGAGAAGCGCAAGAAGCGCGAGGAGCGGGCGGCCGCCGAGGCCGCCGAGGCGGCCAAACGCGCGGAGCTGGAGCTGCTGATGATGGACGACGACAGCAAGGCGGGGATCAAGCACTTCAACATGACGGAGATCGAGAAGGCGGAGAAGCAAGCGCGCAAGAAGGGCAAGGCCAAGAAGAAACAGAAGAAGGCGGCTGCCGAAGCGAGCACCTCTGCCCAACAAGATGACTTCCAGGTGGATGTGCAGGACCCTCGGTTCTCGCGTCTGTTCGAGAGCCACGAGTTCGCCATCGACCCGACCAACCCGCGCTTCAAGGCGACCTCGGGCATGCAGGCCCTGCTGGAGGAGGGACGCAAGCGACGACGGAACAGGACCGACGAGGAGGACACACGACCGGAGCCTTCCACCCGGACGAAGAAGCAGAAGAAGAGCTCGTCGGCTGGTGGCGGATCGGAGGATCTGCAGAAGCTGGTGAGTCGGGTGAAGCAGCGGACGCAGCGGTGAGAGGGGGTGTATTATAGACGTGGATTGATACCAAAATATATTTCTTTTCTACTATTGTATCTCTTTATCTCTCTATATCTCATATCTAAGCGTACAGATGGAAAGTAGATTAGTCAGGGATCTCCATGCGGCTCCAGCTCACCGCCTGTTCCGGCGAGAGTCTTGGCATCTCTTGGCATCTCCAGCTCGTCCTCATCTCTCTCTCCATCGCAACCTCACTTCGGCTTCATCTTCGTCCTCTCTCCTTCTCATCTCTCCCCTCTCATCACGTCTTCTCTCCCGCCCTTTTGGCTGGGTCTTGACTCCCCGGGTTGTCTCGCCTCTGCCCTTGATTCGGATTGATTTGATCTTCCCCCTCCTCCACGCTGACCCTGGCTCGATCATGCTGCTCCCTGGCTACCATTGAACCATGGGGAAGCTCAGTGTATTCTAATTGTTGCAGTCTCGTCGGTGGCTCGGTTCTTTGATCCTCTCAGTTCGGTTTTCTTGGTTTTTCTTCTTTCGTTTCTGAAGCAAAAACAACCAACAAATCAAACGACTCCACGGCCGTTGTCCTGCATCATCGTTGGACCAATCTCCACTTCGCTGCCTCCACGCGCCCCTCCCCCACTCTCCCCTCCCCTCCGTGGGCTTCTCTCTCGACAATCTCTCCCTCTAGGGCTACTTCCTGCTCCGTGCTTCCTGCTCCTCCATCTCCTTCATCCCCCCAATCGATCCTGACGCCATGCTGGGTCGGTTGTTGAATACGGCAGCGTCGACCTTAAACCCGGCCAGTTATTCGGCCAAACCGGGCCACCACCTCGAGTCCGTCACCGAAGAAGAACATACTTCCGGCCTGCTATTCCCCGATGCTAGCCTCCTCCGCCGTTCCAATACCCATGCCTATCCGCTGCACTCTACCTTCAACTCCCCGAATGCCTCCACCGCCGGAGCTTACGATGACCGGGGTGGCGTCGATCTGGACTACATGCGGGATTTCCGCGTCATCATCGCCCAGAATGCCCTGGGTGATCGAGACGCCTGCGTGCTCCTCGACACTCAGGCCCCCCATGCGTCCGAGGTCGCCCCCCAAGGGTTGGGCCTGGAGCCGCAGCTCTTCGAGGGCGCCGGTCCCCGCCATGCCCGCACCGTCTCGACCCTGTCGGCCCGTGCACCCCGCCGCGGTCTGTTGTCCCAGTCGACTACCGCCGACCCCAGCCCCCTGTCGGTCGCTGCAGAGACCCGCCGGTCCCCACCGATCATGTCTGGCGCCTTCATGAGGGCCCGGCGGCGGAGTTCGACCCTCGCCGCCGCGGGCGGCCACCACGATACGGGGCATCCGCGCCTTGCCGCTGATTCCACCGACTCCGGCTTGCTCAACTGCATATTCGGCAGCAGCGCCTTCAGTTATCGGGGCTCCTCCACCAAGATGCACATCATCTCCGCCGATGGGGAACCCACGCGGGCGCCCGGCAGCCCCGCCGCGTGGACGGCGCCCGGCGGAGAAGGGCCCAAACCGCCCGCCAAGGTCACCGTGCTGCTGACCCGCATGTTCAGCGTGAATCTGCCCGAGGCCCGGGACCCGACCGCCTCCCCCGACCGTCACCCGCACGACGGAGGGGCCCACTCCTTCTACCCTGACTCCCTGCCCGAGGCCGGCTTCCCCTTCCCCGACGTGGCCAAGCGGAAGAAGATCAAGGAGAAGAAGACCCCGATGTACGCCGTGGCCATCACCGTCCAGATCCCTCTCCTGTCGGTGCGTGGCGGCGGCGCTCGCCCCACCTCGCGGGTGAGTGGCCTGGGGCCCGACGCCTCCCCCCGACCGGGCGGGGCCGGCTCCCTCGACTCGGAGGACCGCGGCCGCGGCGGCTTCCTCCTCGACGACAGCCTGTCGGGGGCCACCCCACCCGCCAGCCTAGACGAGCGCATCGATCTGCTAGTGGACCACTGGGACGTCATCAACCGTACCCTCTCCCACCTCGAGCGGCTTGCCCGCGCCGAGATTCGCGTCGTGCTGCAGCAGGCCGACGCCGCCGCCACCCTGCATCCCAAGCCCGCCAAGGCCCCCAACATGCAGCGCACCAACCAGACCGTCGTCCACCTGCCCGTCAACAGTCTCGCCGTCAACGCCCGCCTGCGAGACGAGGCCGTCCGGAGCATGCGCCGCATCGCCTCGTCCCTGCAGACGCCGCCGGTCGTCACGGGCCAGAGCCGCTGGGGCGTCTGGCGCGAGGAGGGCCGCTCCATCGCCCGGACCCTGGGCGACAAGGAGCACAGCTTCTTCTTCATGGTGCTCGTCACCGCCTTCCTCGGCAACCACACCGAGTGGCTGAACTCCCTGGGCCCCGAGTGGTACCGCCGGCGGCACTACCTGCAGCAGCGCGCTCAGCCGCCCGAGGCCGACCCGCCCCTGGCCCACCGGACCGTCATCGTCTCGGGCGACAAGATGACCGCCCGCCGTCTGATCTTCCTGCTTGCCGCCTTCCTCCCCCAGAAGCAGCGCTTCGAGTCCTTCCTCCCGTCCCCGCTGCGGCCCGGCACCGCCGCCTCGGCGCGGGCCCCCTCGCAGAGCCCGCCCCACGTGCCTCTCCTGCGCCAGGAGTCGCTCCGCCGCGCCATCGAACGGCGATCGCGGGCCCAGCGCCTGACCCAGGAGCCGCCCCGTCGGCGATCCGCCAGCGCCTCATCCGGCGAGACCGACGCGGCGCCCGCGGAATTGGACGACCGACCCCGACGCGCCTCCGACGCCCGGTCCATGCGGACCCGCGGTGTCGCCGTGCCCGCCCGCGACGGGCGGCGGACGAACGCTGGCCCCGCCACGACCTCCACGGCCACCCCGGCCAGCACGGTCCCCGTGCCGCACTTCGCCTCGCAGGGCCGCGGGGAGCGCGGTGGGACGGACCCGGCGGTGATGGCGGAAGAGGAGGAAGACGCGGCGGCAGGTCACGACAGCCTGGCCTCGGAGAACCTGCTCAAGACCCTCCAGCGGAGCGATAGTTCAGTCCTCGGCACCAACAGCAGCGTCCCGTCGGCCGCGGGGCGCTGGGGCACGCTGTTTGCGGGCCTGTGGGGGCCGCGCCCGGCGTCGTCGACGGACCGGCGGGACGAAGATCCCGCCGCCATCCCACCGCGCCGGCGGGCGGTCTCGGTGCAGGTCGGCAGCGCGGGGCCGAAGCGCGGACCGCCCCCCACGCTCCGTCAGATGGTGCGCGAGACCCAAGTGGCGGGCCCCCCGGCTCCAGGTCCGGCTCCGGCCTTGGCCCCGGCCCCCAGCGGGCACATCTCCATCCCGCACGCCCACGCGCCGCACCCTCGCGCCGACGATGGGGAGCTGCCGCCCGAGTTGCTGTCGACCACGGAGCCCAAGGCTTCGTCGTTGAAGATGTCCGTCCACGGGAGCGACGGGGTTGTCGACGTGGACCTGCCGCTGCCGGGATTCGTTTCGCTGTCGTCGTCGGGCGAGTCGACCACGGCGTCCCCGCAGAAGCCGCGGACATCGGTCACCAGCGTGGACGCCGGGGCATCAACCCACAGCAGCGTCTCCGGGTTTCAGTGTCCGGGCCGGGAGCCCGACGGCCTGAACATCAACGTTGCCGGGTGGCTCCGCCGGTTCCATGAAGACTTTTTGCTCCAGGCTGTGCGGCCCTACCCGGGGCTGGACGCGGACATCCGGCGGGCGATGCAGGCCGAGCCCACGCCCAACCCGGTGCCGGCGGACGCGGAGGGGCCGGACCGGTGGGTTGATGTGGCAACCACGCTGGTGGCCGACGTGCGCCAGTCGACCGTGAAGCGGTTGCGCCTGCGGCGGCGCGGGCCGGGGATCTCAGGCGCCTCCGCGCCGGGCACGCCGCGCCACGTGGGCAGCGGGTCGGGGTTGGCGACGCCTTTTGCGAGCCTCTTTGGGGCGCCCACCACGACGACGACAACCACCACTACCACCACCATCACCCCGGCCCCGGGGCCGATCCTCGCCGATCCGGGCGCGATAGAGGAGCAATTCGTGGAGGAGCCGGTCATGGATCTGGACGGGACGCTCGTGGACGCCTTGGAAAGGGTGCTGGCGCAGAGCGTGCCTCCGTCGATGGCACCCACGCGGGCACCGTCACCGTCGCGAGCACGCCGGGGCGGCGCCGACGACAAGCCCGAAATGCTCGGCCGCGATGAGCTGCCGTCCCTGGAAGTTCCGCGAACCGAGTGCCGCCGGCTCGTACTAGGCGCGCTAGAAGAGGTGGTGCGCAGCGTGACGGCGGAGCACTGTCGAGAGGACGTGGAGGGCGAGCTGGGGGTAGGGGACCGCGAGCGCAGGCGATCGATGGCGGGGGTAGATAATACGTTACGAGAGGGGATACGACGATGGCTTCTGGATGTTGAGGAGGCGTGGTGAGATTGATTTTTTTATTTGCTGTGATTTGATTGCATTTGCATTTGCATTTGTATTGCATTAGCAGTTAGACATGATACCCTTTTCTTTTTTCTTTCTTGAGTCTATACTGCTTATTTCTCATTTTCTGCCTGTTTGCATGTCTGCTTGCCTTGCTTTTGCTTTCCAACTCCTGCTTTTCTTTTCTTAGTTTTGCTTTTCTTTTCTTAGTCTTGCTTTATTTCATTCTTCTTGCTCAATATTCTATTCACAGTATACGACGTGGGTGAATCTAATAGTATATCAGAATGACCATATTTGAAGTAATAAGGAGAGTTACTGCAGTAAACAATCGAATAGAAGAAGTACCCAATACCTATCTATACCAGCATATCTACGAAATATATCATAAAGATCAAACAAAACTAGTAGAAACAACCACCCCCCCATCATCAACAACAACCTTATCCCCCTCCACCTCCCTAACCGTCAAAGTCTTCAACAACCGATGCGTACACTGCGGATCCACCACCTCAACATTCACCTCCTCGCCCTCCTTCAACGGCCCGTTAACAACAACCTCCAGCCCATCCAGCGCGTCTCCGTCAGGCCTCTCCAGCCGCCGATTGACAGGCGTCACCGTTCCAGGCCGGACGAGCAGTGGCAGAGTGTCGAAGTCGTGCGTCTCAGTATACCATTTGCCGCCTTCGTAGGTCTTGCTGCTGTCGAAGAAAGAGACCCACTTCGCCTTCTTTCTCTTTCCCTCTCCTTCTTCCTTGCCAGAGTGGCTGGGCTGACCAGCCTCCTCATCAGGGACATAAAAGCTTACAACCCCCTCATCACAAAACACAGGCGCAACCAACAGATTCGGCCCCAACATAAACTGCGTATCAACAGCATAAGTGTTCAAATCGTCCGGGAACTCCACAAACAGCGGCGCCATCAGCCTCCGACTTCCATCCTTCGCAGCCCAGTACGCAGCACTCAACAAATAAGGCGTCAGCATGATCTTCCGCTTCGTGCATTCTCTCAACACAGCAGAGCAATCCTCGCCATACAGCCACGGCACGCGGAACGAGCCGGACCCATGAAGCCGGGAGTGGCTGGATAGCAGCCCGAACTGGACCCACCGCTTGTACAGCGCGGGGGACGGCGTGCCTTCGAAGCCGCCGATGTCAGACGCCCAGAAGACGTAGCCGGAGAGCAGCAGGCTGAGACCCCCGCGGAGGGACTCCGCCATCGCAACGTAGGTGCTCTCGCAGTCGCCGCCCCAGTGGACCGGGTAGCGCTGCCCGCCGGGCGCCGTGCTGCGCGCGAAGAGGATCGAGTTGGAGGTGCCCAGGCGGGAGGTGAGGACGTCGTATACGACTTCGTTGTACAGCAGGGCGTAGTAGTTGTGCATGCGGGCGGGGTCGGAGTTGTCGTGGTAGACGACGTTTTTGACCGGGATGCGCTCTGCGAAGTCCGTTTTGAAGCTGTCGACGCCTGTGTCGATTAGCCGGTGCAGGTGGGTGCTGTACCAGCTGCGGGCGCGCGGGTTCGTGAAGTCGATGACGGCCATGCCGGCTTGCCAGTAGTCCCATTGCCAGATGGAGGAGTCGGTGCGCTGATTATTGCTCTTCAGTTATTCTTTCCCTCTCTTGGAGTAGATAGAGAAAAGGGGAGATAAATACCTTGATAAAGTAGCCCTCGCGTTTCCCTTCCTCGAACAAAGGCGACGCTTGCCCAACATAAGGATTCAGCCATACGCTGATCTTCAAACCCCTCTCCCTCAGTCGGCGCAGGTAAGCCCCCGCGTCAGGGAACATTTCCGCATCGAACTGGAAGTCACACCACTGGTAGGACTTCATCCAGAAGCAGTCGAAGTGGAAGACGCCGAGTGGGATGTCGCGGTCTCGGAAGCCGTCTAGGAAGGAGGTGACGGTTTGTTCGTCGTAGTTTGTTGTGAAGCCTTACTATTATTAGTATCCTTTCGTAACTTCTTAAGTCAAGCCTATAGTAGGAATAGGAGGCCATACTAGTCGTCAACCAAAGATTATAACTCCAAGCCGGCACAAGCGCAGGCTCCCCCGTCAAAGCGGCATATCTACGCAGAATCTCCTTCGGCGAAGGCCCATACACAACGAAATACTGCAGCTCTTCACCCTCGATAGAGATATTCACGCGCGAGGACCGCTCAGTTTGCATCTCGAGACTGACCTTGCCCGGATGATTCACAAAGACACCATACCCACACGAACTGATATAGAACGGGATATTTTTATAAGCAAGGTCAGACGAGGTCCCGCCATCTTCATTCCAGATATCGACCGTCTGGCCGTTCTTGAGAAACGGGCCGAACCGCTCGCCTAGTCCGTACAGCTTCTCGCTGATGTTGAGGTCTAGACCTAGCAGCATGTGGCCCTGGCGCTCGAGGAAGATCCCGTCGCGGTAGTCGGTCTTGGGGGTCGTTTGGTCCCCGACGTAGCCGATGGAGCGGAACGAGTGGCCTGTCAGTGTCTTTGTTGGGGATGAGAAGGTGAGGCCGAGCTCGTTGGGCTCTGTGTTCATTGTGAGGGAGAGATCCCCGCTTGTGTATGAGAAGCGGTTGTCGGCGTGGGTGATGCGCGTGTGGCCGTTGGAGCTGGCGATGCTGTAGTGCGGTCCGCGGTCGACTTGGCCGGCCCTGTAGACAGCTTAGCAGATATGTCACTGGGAGGAAGAAAGGATCATACCAATGCACGAAATTAACCCCGATGATACCCTCCTGGGGAGACGTCACTCGCGCAGTGATCGTTGCTAGTCATATCAGTCAACCGCTCGTATCGACCGGGCCAAGAAACATACCCGAGTTCAAAGTATCTCCACGATGCCGCTGGAACTTGTTCATCAAGATATCCACAGCCTCCTTGTCCTGGTCGATGTGCAGTCGCTCGACATTGCTCATCCAGTCGATGCGGACGCCTTCCTGTATGGTTGATTCAAATTAGCTTCTAGTAAACGGTCTTCATAGAGGATATTCTCACCCGCAATCTCCACATTCCTTCCGTGAACTTCATCTTGCTGGTTTATCTAAATGTACACTATCGTTCTTGTTTCAATTGATTCAAGTGTGTATAGAGAGTGTGTGTATGAAAGAAAACCAACCTCACTCGAACCCCTCCAAATAACCCTCCTCGGAACACTATCCTTTCCAGATTAGGCTGTACATACTTACACCAGACAACAAGCACTATAGCGGTAGGATTCAAGTGGTCGCGCATTGACGGATATTCACACTCTATCAACCCACCAATCGCATGGCCAATCCTCCTGCCAAGATGCAGGGTTGCGAATTCAGCCTGAATAGCCGCGTTTGGGCTAAGTGGGTTGACAGGGGGTACGGCCAATCCATTGCGAGGATGGTATCGTCTTTGTGTGAGGTTTGAGGGGAACTGAGGGGAAGTACTCCGTGGAATTGCTGGAGGGGAGATATGAAGATATGGGTGGCTAAGAAAGTGGAGGTTCTTTCGAATTCGTGGATACAGAGACCAAGGTTGATCTGAATGAGGATTTTGATTATATAAATATAGGTCTAGTGAAATATGGTATAGAGGAAATATCGTAGAGGAACCTCCACTAGCCCAACCGCAACGGCCGCAGTCCCCCGCTCCGCGGGCTCGCCGGTAAAGTTAGCGGGCTAGCCTGCGGGCGGATTCGCGGACTCCCGGGCCCAATGCTTTCAGCTCGGCCGCGCACCCGAGCATCCAGTGACGACAGCGCAGGAGAGGAACTGTGCTGTCCTCGCGAAGCAAGAGCAGACGGGGGGGAGATCTGATGGCTGACCACGCTGGCGGGGAGTTCCAGGGACGGGATGGAGGCGTCCATGACGGATCCCAGCGTCGGCTCGACCTTCGTCGATGTGGGCCGTACGTGGGACTCCCGGTAGAACTGCTCAAGTCGAGTGGCGTCGTTACAGAATTCGACGAGGGCTGTTAGGACCTGCTCGGGGGCCCGGTAGACGTTGGAGGAATCGGCGTGGTGGATGTGCTCCGAAGGGCTGAGGGGGCTGTGGATCTCGTGGATGGGTCGGACGACGGGGGAGAGTCGGGGGGAGACGCGTTCGATGGGGTCGTAGGTGCTTGCGCGCGCTCGGTATGGCTCCGGGCGGTGGTCCATCCGCTCGTGGCGCGCCATGTCCCGGCTGGCGGCGCTGCGCGTGCTCACTAGTCGGTTGGCTAGCACGAGGAAGTCTCCGTCTTCGTTGATCTGGATTAGTAGGCTCCCTGACCGGTGGATGTACTGCGAGTATCGATAGTCCGGGATCCCCCACGAGTACGACACCTCGACGTCGGGAGGAAAGGCCGATCGCGCCTCGAAGTCAAGGACAAAGTCGAACTTCCGCAGGATGGCCTTTTGGAAGTAGTGCTGGTCTGACGCGCCCTGCTGCTGCGAGAACGCCGTTGGGTTGAAGCAGGTTGGCGGCGCTGGTCCCGCGGGCGGTTTCAGCTTGAGAGGCACCCGGTATGGCTTGCGGAAGGGCTGCGTCTGGTCAATTGAGCTCCCCTCAGCGACGGGCACCTGCACCAGCTTGAGCCCGAACCGCTCGGCCGTGGACGCCCACCCCAGAACCGCGTCCTCGATCAGCTTCGGCGTGGTGTTCATCCAGCTTAGCTCGATGTGAAAACAGTTGTCCGGGTTGTGCAGCCGGTCGTAGTGAAGGTCGATGACCTCCGGCCGGTTGGACCGTTTACGCGGATCCACGTCGTACTTCATCGTCTTAGACAGCAGGATTGTCGCCTTGTTCTTGGTCCGCGAGGGCGTGGCCGGCGTCTGGGAGCCGTGGTCCACGCTGTCCGCCCGGGGGTGAGTCGCCGGGGACTCCTTCGCGCCGTCGCTGGCCGGTGTGCTCGGGGCTGGTTTGTCGGGCCGGATGTGGGGGAACCAGCCACCCCGGGACTCAGGCCGCGCGATCCGATACTCGCTAGAGATCTGGTAGAAGTAGTTACCATCTCGGAAGTTGTGTCGCTTCTCCACGTGTTGGAAGAGGCCGTGCTTCATCAGCTCGTTGCCGAACTCGACCGCGTCCTCCCGCGTGTCAATGTCACGGAAGTTCTGCTGCAGCCACGTCGTGAGTTCGAACCCAATGAAGCAGTTGTAGTGCAGCCGCCAGTGCCACCGTCGATCCATCATCCGCACCCCTTTGTCGCCTTGGATGATCTGCGCCAACGACGACACGGTGACGCTGGGTCGCTCCAACAGCTCGGATTCGGGCAGCAGCTGGGCTGGCGAGTTGTCCAGCCCCGGGTCCGTCAGTATGATCCGGTCGAGCTCCGCTGCCACCACATCGGACGGGTTGCGCGTCTGATACATGATGTTTAGGGGGTTCTGCTCCCGCTTCTTGAGGCCGGTTTCAAACCGCTTCTCCTCCGGGCCTACATACTTGTGACGTTGCCAAATCTGCGTCAGCTGGCTGATCCCCAGGAGATGGATCTCCTCCTCGGTATCCTCGTTGAACGACTGCAGCTGGCGTCGCGAGTGAGCGGGTAACTGGACGGGGATCAGTACGTAGCGCATCCGCCAGAAGTGCAGCTGTTGGGCGGGGTGGAAAAGGTAGTCCCGGTGGCCCGCAACGTAGTTGTCCGCGTAATTCCAGTTATACTCCTCAAAGCACAGATCCATCCGGATGTTCCTTAGTTTGTATTCCGGGCTTAGAATCGTCCGCATGGCCGCCGTGTACGTCGTGTAGCCACTCGCCTTCTCCCGTGCGGTCACGGCCGACGTCTGATGTGTAAACCGCGTGACTTCTATCTCCGTGCTGCTGATGCAGACTAGGCGATGGATTGATTTCCCTTTGGATAGATACACCGTGGCGTCGTCCTTCTCCAAGCTGCGGGGATCGAACACATTCGACGACGCAAGCGACGGCTGCCCGGCGACCTCCGCCACCGTCTTCCCAACTACGATCTGGAACCCGTGGGCCAGGCGGAGGGATATCAGTTCTCGGAGGAGGATCCCTCGGGATCGAGGCGCCTCGATGCCTTCGGCGTCATCATTCGGGAAGACACGGTAAGGGGTCTGCAGGTATTCCGAGGCCAGCTCGCTCGCCGTGGGGAACTCCTCCGTGGTGAGCGGTAGGATCGCAGGTGACTTGAGACTCTTCCACTTGACCACGGCGACGTGGGGCGGCCTGGGGTAGGCATGCTGCCAACGTCCAAACCAACTCGTGTCGCGCAGCAGCTCTCGCGGGGTGTTGCACGGGTTAATGGGACGCACCCACGGAGCGAGAGCTTTACTCTGGGGGCTTCTGGGCTGCCCATCCCGTGAGCCGGCATTCGCCGTGATTTCGACTCTGGGGGCCCTCCTCGTTTTGCCACCATGGGGCGCGTCCTCGCCGACAGGGACGTCGGTGTTGGTGGTGGAGTATGATTCCGCGATGGCCGGACGGCCCGCCTGCTCCGCGTCGTCGGCGGGCTGCTTAGATGGCAATTTGATCGAGATCGGCCGCGACGGTGTAATTGCCGAGTTCTCTCGAGACCGCTGGGGCGGGACCGGCGTGGTGGACCAGTCGATGACAGTGGACGCCGACGCCGAGTCTGAGAAGCTTTGGGAGTCCGCGCTGGCCGCGTCCGTCGTTGAGACGCCGGAGGAGTTCTTGTTGGATGATGGAAGACCGCGAACATGCTCTACATTGACCTCGGTGCTGGCCTGCGCTCGGGGTGGAGTCGCACTCAGCCCGCGCAGAGCAAAACTGAGGGTCCGCGATATCCGCGGGGGCCTCTTGGCCGCCGGGGCCTTTAACGCTGGCTTTTTGGGGGCGGTACCCTGCGACGGAGCAGTACCCTTGGGGCCCGGCAAGCCGGGCTCGATATTCCGAGGGGCTGGGTCCCCGGTGGAACGGTTGCGCTCGTTCGACAGGGTCTCTTGCTCCCGGAGGCGGAGGACGGACCTCGCCGACAGTCGCTCATGCGCACCCGATCCATGCACTTCCGGTTCGCTGGGCCGCTTCTGTTTTACGGGCTGGCGGCGTTGCCGGCGCTTGGGGAAGGGGGAGAACACCGCCTCATCATAGCTGTCCATCCACGACAGAACCGAGCTCGGCTTCTTTGACCGAGCGGACATGGCGTCCTTAGGGTTGGACATATTCTGGAGGAACGGCTCGGGCCGGAGACTGTCGCTCAATGGGTGCCGAAAAGGCGAACTGCGGCGAAAGGAAGCCCGGGGCGGGGCGAGACTGGACGAGCCCAGGCCGAATCGTGACGCTGCCCCCCGCGAGACACTCGGGCCTTCGTAAAGATATGGGATGGAGATATTCGACTGTTCGCTCTCCATGACCCCCATCATCTGGATCTCGTACATGCGCACCCGCGGCACGAAGACCTTGGACTGTTTGGTGACGGTGTATGGAATGGGAGCATTCGGGTCCTTCTTGAGGATGCGCCGCGATTCCCGATACGTCTCAGGGTTCCAATACGAGATATCCAGCCAGTGAGGAATCCCGTAATGCCACTCCTGAGACCGCGAGGCCCACTGCTCCCGGGGCGACGTGCCCGAGAAAGACGAACCATGGAAGGTCGACCGGGGCGACAAGTGGGGGGTGCGATTGGCCAGCCCCGCAAACGAGTAGCGCGTCTCTTCGGGGGAATTGCCGCCAACCCGGAGATCGCCGGCCGATGAGGTGGAGGGTCTCCGGACCGGTTCATGGTACTTAAACAAGGGCACCGAGTGAAGCGGCATGGGGCTAAGACAGACGAGGTCGATGGCGATGCCGCGGTTCATGAGGGCTTCGGTCGTGGCCGCCAGGGACTCATACGAGGCCTCAAAGACCCCGCTCCCGGGGGTGATCACAATGATCGAGGTCCCCGTGTGGATCATATCCCGATCGATGTGGTCGTACGCCAAGTGAGCCGACGCTAGGTGGATGGCCTCGAGGATGTTGCCACGAATGGCGGTGCTCGGCCGCCCAGCAATTGTCGCCTTGGGTTCCCAACCCCCATTCTTCCCATCAGCCGTGGGCGTATCGACCTCACTCGTCTTGAGGATGCTGACGTCCCGGAGAAAGGTCCGGAAGTCCTTCTTCAGCTCGTCCAGGATGGTCGTCCAATGCCCGCTGGCCATGTCATTGACCACCACGCGGTAGAAGTCCCGCGTCGGGACATGATTCGGCGTCAGCATGCTCTCCAGATTCTCGGCGCTGAGCGTCGCCGAGCCCAGGGCCGACACGTCATACTCGACCCGCGTGAACAGCACGATGGTGACCAAGTGCCTCGCGTCCGCGTTCGCCCACCGCTTGAACAGCTCCGGTAGAAACCCGTTGATCACCCGACTGAATAGAATATCCCCCGTGCCCTCCGAATCAAAGTCCCACATTTCCCGCGACATCTGGATAAACAGCACGTATTTGGCAGATTCGCTGCGGAAGACGGGGATCGTCTCCGGGGCGAAGAAGCCCGAGAGGACCTTCTTGCCGCGGACAAAGATGTTCTTGACTGTCGCCTTGATGGTACCCATGAAGACGATCTTCTGTCCCTTGTAAATGATCTTGTCGGCCAGCTCCGACATGACGAGCCGCCACATATCCGAGCGCACCATGTACTGGTCGCGGAAGGCGATATCCACATGCGACGCGGCGCACTGCGCACGATCGACGATCGAGATGTTCACGGTGTCGCGGTTCTTGAACCCAAAGGTGTTGGCAATGCTCGTCGTGACGGACAACTCGAGTCGTGGGTTCCGGGACTTGATGTCCTGGGGGAGGGGCTTGACGACAAAAAGGCACCGGCTCTGCAGCGGGGTCTTGAACTTGGAGATCGCGTCCGCGTGGAGCGTCGAGCTGGAGTCGAAGTGGCTCTCCCGCAGCGACCGGGACCCCAGGTCTGCTTTCCCAGCGTGGTGCGCCGTGTCCCCGGCGGGCCGTGCGGGGAGGATCTCGATCACATCGCCGACCTGGACGCCCGTGTCGCTGAACGCGGTCTGGTTGAAGAGGATCTCCTCGCGCGAGAAAGTCTCATCGTGAACCCAGAGAGCACATTGGCGGCGGTTCAGGCCGGTCGAAGACAGACGGGGGTTCTTCTCGTCGGGGGTGAGTGGGCAGTCGCTGCCGGCGTCGTGGGGAGGAAGAGTATCGGCGGAGCGGGAGGTGGAGAGCGTGTCAAGGCTGGCGGCACTGACCTGCCTGAGGTGCGAGCGCTTAATCGGGCCACGCACAGACATTCTCTATCGGTGAGGGTGCATCTTGGGGGGGGGGGGATCGATTTGCCAAGTCGCAATGAGGAGTGGAAAGGACCTGATGATGAAGTCATTTGGAGATGTTCCTGTCCGTCGACGGACGGGATGGGGTGTCTCCCAATGGAGCAGGCGGTGAGGGTTTGAATTGCGGAGGTGGGTCTAGTGCCTAAGGCATCTACTGGCATTCACAGTCAGTGAGAATTTTGCGATTGATCTTGGTAGGCTACGAACGATAATAGCTATTCTTCTCAGGAAGCATGCTCTAGCTGAACTTTGATCTGATTCAAGTCCGTCCCAGAGATCTTGCCCGGGTGCAGACATCAAGATTAGTGCTTGATATAAGATTTGTCATGGCGCTGGTGGCTTTGAAATGATTGGGTCACCACAATGACTACTGAACATTCCAGGCGACAGGACAATCGGGTTGATTGAGGTTGAAGACTCAAAGACCCACAACTGCCTAACCGGTACCGAAATCTCAGCAGTCGTTCATCTACAATAAACCCCGAGATGGAGCCGATTGCACCCACAAGTCCCCAGGCAATTGCATCCTTGGATGAATGACAGCCACGTGGAACAGGAGACCAGAGGGGCCGGTCATGCACGACAGGGATTTGGTCCGGAGTGTCTGGGAAATCACTATCAAGCTTAGACCGTCGAGTCATGGTGGATGGGGACCGCATGATTCGTGGACCAGTTGGCTGGCAGGCGCATAAGCGAGGCCGTCACAGGTCTCTTCGGAGCAGCAATCACCGGTCAACTAGACAGTTTAGTGTCTGATGGGACTGGAATCTGTGACCCTCCTTCCCTACCGAGTAGAGATAAAACTCCGTCCGCAAGAGTTCGGCACTGTTCTCTTAATTAGGAAAGACCTCAACCCACCATCGGATCCTCTGGCTAGCCGTGGAAAGTTTTGCTGGCGGTCGGTCTCTTGCTTCTTTTTCTCTCTGACTTGTTTTCAGATTTACCGCTTTGTAGGTTTTATTGGTTTCGCTTCTTCTTTCCCTTTCGGCATTTGAAGACTGGGAGGGGGGAATTCCGGGCCCTCAATGTCAAGGTGGGTGGGTATGGTGTGGAGTGGTTAATCAAATTGTGCACCCAGCCAGATACTAGTAATCTACGCGTTGCATGCAGAATTCGCATCAATTCTTTTGATTTATTTTTTTTTTTTTTCTCATTTCTTTTTTTTCCTTTTCCCCCTTTTTTCTCTTCTTATTGATTTATTACCCCTTCGTTTTTATGGTTTCTATCCCGGTCGTTCGTTGTTTGTTTCAACCCACTTCACATCCTCAACAATCAATGGCGAAGTTCAATCTATATCACTCAAGACCAACCTACCGTGTACCAGAGTTCCTGAGGGGCATCCAAAGATCAGATCGCATTCCAGACCATGCTCCTGTAAGATCCACGTAGATGGCAGGGAAGGGAATAGGGGAACGCTGCCGTATGACCCAAGCAAAGGCACAGCAGTGGAGCCAAGTGTTGCCAAGTGTTCCTCACTCGAGGGCAAAAGCAAAACAATCAGCTAGCGGGGAGAAACCCTGAATAATAGTGGAATAGAACAATAAGGTGTCGAGCTAGAACGGGCTTTCCACTGCCACGGAACTGCTTACCAGCGAATAAGGGACCACAGCACGAGAAAAAGGGACCCACCGCGCAAATGTTGGGAATCGGATGCGTCCATAGTGTGTGGCCCGTGATGTCATAATGGACAGCGGTCATGTCCGTCGATAGCCTGCCTCCGTCTGCCCGAGCAAGGGCAGCATCATCCCTCGCAGGCTGAAATCGGTGGCACTATATCGTGCATACTGCGGATCACTGTAGAGGACATCCACGACGCCGCTCCCTGCCTGGTCAGTATAAGTGTGACTCATTTCAAGGGAAATGGAGTATGTCCGTCGTCATCGATCGCCCCGAACCGACACTAGGCTAATCTCTAGTAGAATCTCTAGCCCGGTATCAGACACAGGTCATCCATGCATGGGTAGGCGAGCGGTCCGGTGGAGAAAGGGACCGCAAAAGCAAACGAAGAAGGAAGAACAAAAAACAATAAGAGAAGAATGGGAAGACATAAAGAATAAAAGAATGATAAGGTAAAAAAAAAAAAAAAAAAGCTAGGAAATGGAAATGTGATTGAAAATCAGATCAAAGGGGAAAAAGGTCGAGTGCAGATCCGACAGCAGACCCCCCCACATCGGCACATGCAAGGGTATGTGAATCGAAGCATCCCTGCATTCCACTATCATTCGACGCACAGGGCTAACCTGCCTCATCGAGGTGGCTGGACGGACTATCATCTGGTTGGCTTATCCGTCGAAGTTTGTTGAAGGATTTTAGTCGGTCTGACAAATGAACCTCGAGTTTCGTCATCCACATATACTTGGATAGAAAGATGCACTGATTACCGAGGTGGGGATCATATCAAGGTCAAAATGAGAAAAGGAAGAGGCAAGGAATGAAGAGAAAGATCCGAATCAAACAAAGATAACGACCACGTAGATGAAAGCCAGGTCAGCAGCCGTGAGCATCCGAGACATTAAGCAGGTGGATAAATAAGGGGGGGAAGGAAATTTATAGAAGATAAACAGTCCGCATAATCTAAGGTCGTATACCAATACCCGATCTAAAAAGTATCTGCCGAACAACAGGTCGATGATAGAGAGTGGGAAATATAGATAGACGGAGGAGAAAAGGGTAAAAGGGGAATGGAAAGGGAAAGAAAGACAAGTAGGAAAAAGAGAAGGTCTGTACGGTCCCAAAAGCGAATGTCCTGCATTCCAGAAACTTTTCCAATAGACAAACCAGACGGATTGTCAGCCTGCCCTGCCTTGTCGGGAAGTTGTTCGACCGGAACAAGGACAGAAAGGAACAGGGAGGAATCCGACTGTTTGGGGGGGGGGGGGGGGAGGACTGAGTGATCTCGTGATCATGTAAGATCACAATTGGAGCCAGGCACAAAGGACCCAGCCAGGCGACAGCAAGCCTTGCCGAGATGGTTTGCAATCTCTGCAATAATTCAATTTCGCTCCTTATCCACGAAGGATCTGGTGTCCAGGTCCCCTGCGTGCTGGGTGTAGAGACCCTTACACACGAGCCACGCTCGCTGGTAGTATGAATCCTTCGTCGACAGCTGAGACAGCCACCGGGTGACCTTGCAGACCTGCTTAAGCACGGCCCGGTGTTGGACTGTCCCGGCCTTGGACCGGAGCAGCAGTTCAATCAGGAGCACCGTCAGCGGTTGGATGAGGAAGTGAAGGATACACCACCAAGGCGAGACATGGTACACCCACGTGGGATCTGGCAACTCTGGGAAGAGCTCGATCATCTGGGTGGCAGCATTGACACAAACGTCGGCCATGGTGTCGCAGAAGCTTCCCGACGTCTCCGCGCCTGGGCCGTGTCGCGTCAGGCGGCTCAGACAGGGTTGTGAGATGAGGATTTTGGTGCTGTAGAAGTGGAATGCCAAGCTGGTCCGTTGCTGCTCCAGGCCAGGCGTCCCTTGCGAGAAGTGATACGCGGGGGAAAGTCGAGAGTGCCAAGCATCCACCTTGCCGTTCAGCACGGCGATCGCCGTCTCGATTTCACGCCATGATTTTCGGGCAGCCCCTGGAGCGTAGATCGTGTCAACAGACTCACGCACGGTCAGCGTCAGATCGACGAGGTACAAAAAATAGTGCGAATTCGGTGTGAGGGGCTCCATGGCAGTAAACACAAGTTGCTCACATTGTCTCCCTATGTGTGTCAGTGGGTGTCCCATTGTCTCCAGTGTTGTGGCACCTTCCGTCGTCGACTTCCCCGGCCCCCTGCCGAGAAGGGTCTCCATGAACAGAATCCGTGCATCATGGTCGTCAATGAGCAGGGCCACTCTCTCCTCCAGGAAGTCTTCTTCCCGAAACGGCAGTGGAAGTGGCGTGGTGCGATAATCATCGCTGCTGCTGGGGGGCCGACCGGTCATCACACAGAGGAGGGAGTCGAGCATGTACAGGGACCACCACACCCGATACCGCGTCTCTTTGGATACTGGGGCAATACTACTGCTCTCACTGCGCAAATTCAACCCCATTGTGACTGCCGACCGCATAGAGAGGCCGCATAATCTCCATGATCTAGTGACGGGAGTTAGTAGTTAGGGGGGGGGGGGGGGGGGGGGGGGGGGGGGGGGGGGGGGGGGGGGGGGGGGGGGGGGGATGTCGAGAAGATCCAATCACACGCACCGGTTGACTTGTCCCGTCAGCAGTAGATAGAAAGAAGTCAGACCTTCCACCTGGACTTGTTGAAGATTGGGATGATCCAACAGGGATATCCCGTTATTGCTCAGCTTCCACGCACGAGAAAAGTAAGAGAGGCTGTCATCGGGGGTGTCCACCGTTTCGTCTTGTAGATAATGAGAATATTTGGCAGCGATGGCGAATATCAAGTGAAGGATTGCCAGCCACCTTCTTCCGGGCCGCAGGGAAGGAGTCGTATAAAATGAGTTGAGTTGTTTCAGGAAAGTCACTTTGCCGATGATCGGAAAAGAGGAGTGCACAACTTCAAAGTAGATGTCCGCCAGGTAATCGGCCAGGGCCTGTTGGGGTCGATCCGTAATGTCCACATCGTCTAACACGGGCACGCCGGTCTCATCAACAAAGTAATTCACCGATGCAAGCGACTGGCGATCCAAACTCTCTGGCGACACCGGGATCGTCCGCTCCAGCATCTGCTTCAACCGGTACATCCACGCAACCTCCGAGTGTTCCCCGACAAACCCCATCGCCTGCACCTTCTCGTCACGGTTGAAATCTTCGTTCGTATAATCCAGCGTTCCGGAGGCAGGGCCCGGGCTCGAAGCCCGAGCCACATTGGCTGAACTAGCAGCGGTCGGAAGGTTGGAGTCCTTACTCCCAGAGAAGACTTGATCGCGATCGACCAGGTGTTTCTCGGTCTCGGCGTCATCAGAGAAAGTGAGGAAATGATTGTAGGAGGGCCTTACTTCGTTGATCATATGCTCCACGTGCTGCGCCGTCTGGGAATCTAACTTGGGGACGATTTCTCGGAGAAGCGCCTCATAAGTTTGGATCTGGCGTGTACATGTCTGCACCTGGTGCGTCAAGTCGCTCAGTTGCCTATCGCCTGTCTGTCAGAATATTTCGTCTCGTTTATGATAAAGATTTTTTTTTCTTCGCTTGGCCACGCCATAATTTACATGGAAGATGTCACACAACGCACTTGGCCGTCTTCTCTCGCTTGCGATCCCCATAGAAACAACGGATTCCTGCTTCCTGGCATCGTTGGCACGTTGGGCGATGTCCGCTACACTTTGCTTTTTGCTCTCGACAATTCTCGCAGGCCCGGCTGACCCGGCCACTGCTGGTCCAATTGCTCGCATGTGTCGACCTTGGGATGGCGACTTTTGTGTTCAACGAGCGGTCGCCTGGGATGTTGTGCGAGGCTGCCGCAGAGGATTCTGTGAGAAAGTCGGGGATCCCCTCATAGTTGGGCCCGAAGGGGAGGTTGGAAGGGGACCATTCATTGAAGCCGGCTTCATGCTCAGAGAAATCGGGGACCGATGCTGCATTGTAGGGGGGATTATAAGGGAAATGGGGAGGACGGCTGGGATCACTCATGATTCCTTGGAGGGTGGGATGTCGTTGGTGCCCTTTGTCCCGACGGATAGTCCAGGTCCTTGTCTCGGTAGTACGAGGCGCCTAGGATTAGTGGTCATCCGTTGCAAAGACATCCACTGATAGACAGTAGACATTAAAAGGGAAAAAAAAAAAAAATTGGGGTGGGGGGAGTGAAGTTTGTAGGGGCCCCAGAGCCAGACAGGAACAAGGGAAAAAATCAAAATAGAAAAAAATACTCAAGAAAAAAATAATAATAAACATCAAAAACAATCGTTAATTTAAGAGACAAACGAACCTAATAATAACCACAATGACGACAAAACAATTACAAGAATAAAAACAATAACAGTAATCACAATGAGAACAGCAACGGCATCGACAGTTAATAAAAATAGAGGATCATGATAAAAGACGGTAGCAGCTGTCGTTGGTCGATAGCGATCGCTGACCCTTTTCTCCTCGTTTTTCTATTTTTTTTATTACCATTTTCGTCTCGGGGTCAGGTCCAATGGGGCTCGGACGGTAGAATAGACGGGTAGACAATGGCAGATGCTTCTTCAATGGGGTTAGAATGAGAGCCGAGACGGTGGAAATGGCGGACGGTGGTAGGCTGGAGGTGACTGCCGCGGCAGCCTAAGGGTCGGATCCCCTTCCGACTTCCAAGTTGTATGCGTATGTGGTCGGTATGCTTGCTGTGGCTGCCAAGTATTTATGGGTAAGTCCAAGTCAAAGTCACGTCACGACCCAAATGCCCCGGTTTCAATGAGGGACTCTAGAACAACAAACAGTCTGCACAAGAGAAACAGTAGGGAATGAAAAATAGGGATAGGAAAATCAAAATAAGGAGCTTGATCATAGACCGTAGGGGTACCTTGGAAGTACTACTTGGCTCGTAAGCCATGTTTTCCGCACGCCTTCCCCTACCCCGTTTACCATCTAGGTTTCATGTGTTGCTGTGTGTTTTTTCGGCGACCTTGGTCCCCACACCATTGTTGGTGGCACCAATAGTTTGACCAGACTCCAGAAGGGTACCCCCAGAGGGCTCAGAGGGCTAGGCGGGCTTTGTTTCCCTCGAGAGCGGGATTTGGATCTATCCTGCCAGAGGGTTTCCCCAAAGAATCACACCATCTTTCTGATCTCGATCAGCGTTTCTCTCTCAGATGAGACTCACAGTCGACCTGCATGACACCTAGCAGTGAGACGGTGACTTAGGTAAGGCCGCCGCCACTTATCCCCGGGGATCATGGACATTTCCGATTTCGGTGGGCGGGAACAGTCTCTCGCAGCAGTGCAAAACACCTCCTCATGTATCAATGAATCCAATTGTTTTTCCCGTGGCGTTGAGGACCAGGATCGCCTTGCATTTACAGGTTAGGTTAGTCAATGAAATGGCGTGTGTGTGTCCGTTGATGTGACGGTGGAGGCTGCCACGTTTCCTTGGTAACGCGGAGACAATTGATACCCCTGTCTGTTTCGCGCGCTGGCTGCCATCCACCGACTGCTTGAGACACCAACGCCGGGTGCATGAGAGAAGCCAGTAGCCAGGACTTGGGCAAGGACTTGGGCATCAATCTCAGGTCGACCGATCGACAGGACTTGATGACAATTCGAGTGGTCTTAAATGTAAGCTTCAATCGGAGGATTGACTTGGGTCTGTGGTCCCGTTTTCAACCTGTGAGTCTTGGTCGCTGCAAGTCCCCTCTCTTATCACATCCATAGGGTCAATCCCGTTGATCAAGTTCGGAGAAACAACGCAAAGATACAGCAAATTCCTCTTCGCGTCAGACAAGACTAGGGTGCCAATTAAGGCTATCTCACGCATAGGACTTCTTGCACGCATAGGTTTCCTTGATGAAACATCCATTGGAGGTTGTTCTGCCGTACAGGGTGCCTAAGCATGCCCTCCACTGCGTCGACCGTCACCGACAGTTGTGAGTTATAGATGCACGCAGATGATGGTCAACATCACCACTCATTCTCAGGATATTCGAAGGATCTAAGCGATAGTCCGCTGCCTTGATGCAAATCCAGACCAGCGCATCAACTTAGCAATTCCTTGGAAAGGAAAGAAGGAGCCGCCTGGGGTGCGTCCCGCCGACCCACGGTTTCTTGTACCACGACGGTCCATACCGGCGGACAGCGCTGTATCAAAGACACCAGGAGTCGAGTACCGTCAATGGTTCCATCCGTTTCATCCCTCGAATGCGTGGGGACAGGTTGGGTTCGTCTCTAGCTAGACTCAGAGGCATCAATGGCCCAAGCGCCCCAAGGCCATGCGCCAGTTAGGGCTCATCAGGGACGACTTCATGATGGAAAATCCGACCGACATATCTCAATAATGTGCCAATTCGACAGTGGAGAAAGCAAAGTGGTATGAGGAACGAATCCAGCCAAGATGACCGGCCCAAAAGAGGGAAGAAACTGGACGAAAGGTGGGAAAGTAAAGGAGAAGAAGAAGTGAAAGCGAGAGGAAAGAAAAAGAAACAAAAGGGAGCAAGGGCTGTTTTGTTCTGTTCCTGTCCCATGGTTGGGGGTCGGGACCTGGGGATACTGTAATTGGTAAGGAAATTGATTCCGTGGCTCAAACTTCCTTCCGGGGGGAGATTTCCTCCTTTTCTTTCCCTCTTCCCGCCAGTCAATCTCCACTTCTGCCCTGCGGACCAACTATTTTTCCCTCGGCCTGTTATCGCGATCGTTTGTCTGCTGTGAAAGTCCACAGAGACCGTGATTTCCTATTCCTGATCAGGTTGGATGGGCCTGCGTCGGTCTATCTTCCTGTTGGGCGGAAGTGGGTGGGTTCGATCAGATCGAATACACGATGGCCTTCCACCCGGTGGCAATTACCTGGTTCAACAAACAAATGGAATGGCTTGGGTGAATGTAGTTGAGGCTGCAGGGTGATCTTCAATTCTTTAGGCTATTGGGGCCTCCTCGTTCGGATCCGAGTGGCCAAACTAGTGGAAATTTCTCGGCCGGTGCCGGTGCGCCGTTTCCATTTCCCCCGTCGAGCGCAGATCGTGCGGTTTGAGGACGGACGTCTTGGTCTCATCATCTGCTGGACCGCTGTGGGGGTCAAGGTTTCGTTTGAAAACCCCCCTAAGTGGTTCTCTGCATGTCACAGGGATCAGCAGTGTGGTCTTCTCACCGATTTTGACCTGCATAGTTGTGACTAATGATTTACAGGAAGGTTGGGTCAACAGGCACCAAACATGGCAGATGAAGGAAAAGGAGAGAAACAGCAACGACAAAGTTGAAAAAAAAAGGGAGACAAAACAGGGGAAGAGAAGTGATAGGGAGATAACAACACTGACTCGACATCCCACCCTTTGACCCTCACTGAACATGTTTCCCGGGAAGTGAGCTGGTACCAGGATGGTGGGAAACGGGACTAGTGACCGAAGGCAAATGTTGCAGTCCTTCGCTGATCATTCAGCATGGGAGGTGGACTTGGCGTCGGCATGCGCCTTGGCTGTGGATTAGAGGGACTTCCATGCCATTATTTGGCTCGAATTTGCGTTCTCGTCCCAGTACGTTAAAGGCGGAGGAACCATCTAATATAGACAGTGAATACGGTGGAAGCATGGGTGGGTCCACATTAGCATATGTCGGTTGCATTTCTCCGCGGATCTGATGTGTGGCTGGTCTAGTCGCAGTCGCCAGTTCGGATTGGTAGCATTACCCTCGAGGCGAACGAAGTAGCCCAGCTCAGTCCAAACCAGCATGGCGGGATTTAAGATCATCCATCGATGGTGGTGTGGTGTACCGGGCCACGGGCCGCGAGGATCTTCGGAGTATATCTCCGAGCTGGTCAACCCTGCACATTTGCCAAGTCAGGTAAGTGGTATATCAGTGCCTATGTAAATTCTTATGACTAGTTTATATACTATACTGGCTTAATGAGTAGTCTTTATTAGTAGCTCCCTACGTATAACTTCGACTAAGGCACCCTAGGTCACATGATCAACCAAATCATAGACTACATATATACGAGTCAGTAATGTGCTACTATTCTAACATGAACGTATATAAAACAGTATAGACTCATAACCCCTGAGAATTAGGAATAGGAACAGGAACGGAGATCCCAGAGCCTTCCAGTTCCCTCAGCCGGTGGCTATCACTCATCTCCACCACAGTCTGCTGACCCAGCTCTCCAGGCGGGTGATATTCCCTTCCCCCAGCCTCAACAGCATTATGCTCCTTCACGGCCCCAAATACCCCCTCCAAATTTTCTCTTCCTAGCGCCCTCTCGCCATTGAACCCCGGGGCCGCCGTCGGAGCCCCGGGGGGGTCAGAAGCCGCAGAAGGCGAAGGGGAAGACCTGACCGCAAACCGCCTCCCCAAGAAGAAGCCCCCAACGCCCAAGAATGCTATCCCCGAAACCACTCCCACCGCAATCCCCGCAATCGCGCCCCCCGACAGCCTCTGTCCGTCGGGGGCCCTTGGACCCCCAGTCGAGGCAGCTCCAGAGCCAGCCGGCCGCGACGCAGACGGGGTGTCACTGCCAGATATATCTCCCCGGTAGCTAGCCGGGAGAATCATGTAAGACCTCATTTCCGTGCGCGCGGTATTTTTCCACGGAAATGGTGCATTACTACTTCCGACCCCCTCACCGGAACAGTCGGTGTTCCCCCATAACCGGAGGACCATGGCATCGCCGTTGGGGTAGTACTCGAACGGCTGGCCCTTGGTCTGATAGATGCGCGTACATGGGATGGTTCCATTGCCGGCTTGGGTTGTCACGGTGGCTCCGTCGTGCCAGGTGAAGTTCCAGGCATTTGCATTGAGGATCAGGCACATGAGGGGATATAGAAGCAGGAGGCGCATCGTGACCGAGGCGGAGATGGGTATGTCCCGTCGCGAAGGTAAGCGAATGAGTGACCGAGCGACAGAAGTTAGCAATACTAACTAGAATGTGTAGGTTGTTGATGTCGTTTGACTCGGGGAACGCGATGAGGGGCCTTTCCGCGCTGCTTTGGCCCGAAGATCAAATTCTTAATTTAGCTCAGCCTTGGACCATTTGGTTAATGCTGGTCGGCGACCATCTCGTGTCTTGCTACATGGAGTAGGATCGGCGTGGGCTGCTTCAAGCCTGGACTTGCCATGTCAGATATACCGGGCGAAAGTCGATAGCAGATTCGATAATGATCCTTGGAGTCGCAGTCATCAAATAGACAATCCTTCCGATCGCTTGCGAATACCAGACACACACACACATATATATATATGTATATGTGTGGTGCTTTGATGAGGTAATCGTCGATTACCGGTTGCAGCTCTATACCTGGAGTCCACGGTGATCAACATCGAACACGAGGTCAGCTCTTGGCTACGGAGAGACCACCCGTGTCCCTTCTCGTCTCACTGAGTCTCAAACCTGGCTATGGATTGGGACTCCTTCGAAGTATTCTCGACAGATAGTGTCCTTCTCGCCATGTCGGCATCATCTATGATCAAATGTGACATGAGAAGTGATCCATTGCTTGGTCGTAGGCCAATCATTCTCCGTACTCCTGGCATGCAATATAAATAAATCCACCTGCACACAACAACGAATTTGTGTTTTGTTTCAAACACACAATGTTAGCACATCTTGAGAAGATTGGTCTACCTATCTCGACACCTTCGATGATGGTATTAGGCGTCCCATCTCTAGCCTGCGACCTGGGTGGGGGCGCCATCAGCAACCTCGGCTATGGATGCTTCAACACGCAGCGACGTCCAAGCAATGCCAGGAACAGATCACCGTTGGAAACTGAACCCATTGTACATAATCAATCGAATATTGATCAATATCGTGCAATAACTTTCTCAACATGGACAATCTCGATCGGATCCTCAACGATTTCACCCACCCCACAACGGGGTCCTTGCACGCAGCAGCGTTCATTGCTGTGGACCAGTCTGGTATATTAATACCCCTCAATTTGATATTGATCGTGGCTCACCACGCAAGGAAACACTATCTACAGCAAGACCGCTGGCCGGGCACATCAGGACGATAAAGATGAACTGCCATTATACTCTCTCTATTGGATTGCGTCCATGACGAAGCTGGTCACGGCTGTCGCTGTGGTGCAACTGGTCGAGCAAGGCATCCTGTCGCTAGATGACGACGTGCGTGAGAAAATGCCGGAGCTCAAAGACATCCAGATCCTCCAAGGGATGGAACACGGTAGCTCCCATCTGGAATAATCGAGCAAATATACCCCTCTAACTGGCCAATATAGACGCATCTCGAGGACCAGCACGGCCAAAGCTGGATCCCGTTCAGGGGAAGCTGACATTGCGGTAACTGCACCAGCCCACTCGCTTGTATACGATTGACTTTGTCGGGAATTTACTACTACTCAATCAGCGAGACTGACATCAAACCACCTAGTCAGCTGCTATGCCACACCTCCGGGTTCATCTACGACTCGACGTCGAAGCTCCTCCAAGAGTGGTCCCTGTCCCAAGGTCGGACCGCGTACACCTTCAGCGGCAGCATGGTGAGCTACCAGCCACCCCACTCGCAACGCCCAGAGCATCATAATAACAACAGCCTCCAATCCAGGCCGGCTACCACCACCCGCTCCTTTTCGAACCAGGCACCTCCTGGGGCTACGGCGGCGGCCTCGACTGGGCAGGCCAACTCGTGCGTCCTTCCCTTCCACCCAGCACCAAAAGCCCCCTAACAAGAAAAAACACAGATCGAGCGAGTCACCAACTCCACCCTTGAAGACTACATGCGAGCCCACATCTGGAGCAAACTAGGCGCCCAATCCACAACCTTCCACCCAGAGCGGAAGACACATCTCCCCCCACTCGTCCCAATGATGTACCGCAACGGCATCACCTCAGCACCCACCGAAAAGAGACCACTCACCCTCGTCCAACCAGCCCAGCACGCCCTCGGCGGCGTCGGCCTATTCAGCACTCCAACCGACTTCTCCAAGCTCCTCGTCTCCATCCTCCAATCCAGCACCACCACCACCAACTCCACAGCCAACCAACAGGACCCCATGACAACCCCCCAACTCCTCACCAAACCCAGCATCGACCTCCTCTTCCGCCCCCAACTAGACCCCCAATGCCGCGCATCAATGCCCCGACCACTCGGCGCGCAAATGCGCCGCGTCCTAAACATCAACGACATCAATGACGCCGCACAAGCGGACCATGCCCTAGGAGGAACCATCACGCTGAGGGATATCCCCGGTCGACGACGAGCGGGAAGTATGAACTGGAGTGGATTGCCGAATTTGCACTGGGTTTGTTTTCCCCCTTCCTTCCTTCCCATATATGTAACAACCCTAATACTCCCGTAACCCCTTAATCCCGCACAACCCTTACCCTAAGGCATTACCACACATACTTATTAACAAATACTCAAACTCAACAGTGGATCGACCCCAAATCAGGCATCGCCGCAGCGCTCTTCACCCAACTCATGCCGCCGACAGACGCGAGCGTTACGGATTTGCTGATTGAGTTGGAGCGAGCTCTTTACAGCGCTGTTGCTATTGCTCGGGGGGCGGAGGGGGATGGGAAGCCTTCTGTTTCGGGAGTGGGTGATGTGGGTAATATGGCGAAGCTATAGGTTAGATCTTACTCTTTATTGTCTCCCCCGCCTTTTTTGTGTTTGTTTGTTTGTTTGTTTGTTTCCCGTATATACTAGGTTCGATGTTGTGGAGTGGAAAGTGCAATACAAAGTGAGAAAACACTACAATACGAACAAGAGAAGGGTAGAAAGATAGAAAATCAAACATACGTCACATTCAAACTAAACTACTCCTGTACAAATATGTACTCCTCAACATTGAGTAACGTCCCCATTCGAAAACGAAGAAAATACAAGACAATGTCCAAATCAACCTCACAACGGACCGATAGTGGGAGAGCCACTACAGCAAGATCATGCCGAGACCGGCCACCAGAGCCGTCGCGGCGTAGGCACCCAGCTGCCAGCTACCAACGCGAACTGCGATGGGGCTGGCGGCGATGCCGGCGGCACCCTCGGAGCCGCTGGCGGTGGCGCCGCTGCCGTTGCCGCCGTCGGTGGGCGAGGACTTGACGGTGCCGGTGCCCTTGGGGCCGGCCTCCTTGAGCAGGCTGTTGCAGGAGCCGCCTTCCTTCTTGTCCTTAGTCTCGCCCTTGCCCTTGAAGCCGCAGGCCTCGTCGCTCTTGCCCTGGGCCTTGTAGTACTGGTCCATGACGAAGGAGAGCTGCTGGCGCGGGTTGCAGACGCTGTAGGCGCCGTACTTGCCCTTGCTGGGGTTGGAGTTGATGCCGGCGCAGATGTCGCCGTCGCTGCAGATGTAGCCGAAGACGCTGCCGAACTCCTTCTCCTTGACCGAGTCCTTGATCTGGCAGGAGAGCGACTCGACCATGCACTTGCACAGGTCCGGGTTGGGCGGCGGGGGCAGCTTCTCGGCGGCCTCCCAGTTCTTGTTGACGGCCGGGCACTTGGCAGTGGCGGCGGCCTTAAGGGTGTAGTCTTCGCTCTTGACGCCCGAGGGGGTGGCCTTGGCCATCTGCTCGGAGAGGTAGGAGAAGTCGGCCTGGGTCTTGACCTTGTCGCCATCGACGGAGACGAGGCCGTAGTCGTTGGCTTCCTGGAAGTACATGTAGACGATGCCGCCGCTCCAGACGTCATTCATCTTGGGGCCGAAGAGGACGGGAACGTCGGTGAACTTGCGGGGACGGGGGTTGATGCAACCGTACTCGGAGAAGAAGGCGGGGACCGGGAAGTCCTTGAACTCCTTGGTGCGCTCCTTGTAGCCCGACTTATCGAAGGAGGAGTCGCCGCACCACTCGTAGATGTTGTAGCCGAACATGTCGATGTGGCCTTCCTCGTCACCGCAGACGAGGTAGTCGCGCAGGTCCTCGCGGATGCTGGCGTCGTCGTCGGTGGCATAGCCGATGGCGAGCGACTCGCGGTAGCCCTTGGCCTTGACGTAGGCCTTCATGTCGCGCACGGCGGCCTTGACGAAGGCAATGGAGCCGGTGTTGTTCTTGTCGTTGGCGACCTCGTTACCGGCGAAGAAGCCGATGACATTGTCGTACTCGGCGAAGGCGTCGATGACGTCGGTGTAGCGCTTGTAGAGATCGACGTCCCACCGGGGGTCGCTGCGGATGATGGACTCGGAGGGGGAGGACAGATCGGTGATGAGGTAGATGCCGGCATCGGCCAGGGCCTTCATACACTTGTCATGGTTGGCCTTGGGGTTCACGGCGTAGGTGCGAATGACGTTGGTGTTCAGCTTTTGCAGATAGGGGATGTCGCGTTCGCAGTCGGAATTATCCGAGAGAGGATCGACATAATCGTCGTTGGAGGAGGCGGATCCATTGGCCGAGTACTCCTCTAAACCCCATCACGTCAATTGCGGTCCTATGTGGCGCTCGGGACACGGGAGAAAAGGGATGGGTCACATACGCTGATAGGCAACACCACGAATAAAGCTGCACGATCGCTGTCAGCGGGACGATCGGAGGGACGATTTGTGGGGGTGATTGTCCGACTTACAATTCGGTGCCATTATTGGAGTAGAAAAATTTGTTTCCCTGCGCGAGTCAGCATGTTCTTGCGGACTTGCGACCGTGTTATATAGGGGGAAGCCGCGCGTACCTTGGTGACGATGTGAGGCACGTCGGCCGCCAGGGCGCGAGCCACCAGCAACGAGGCGCCAGACAAGGCGAGAGAGAGTTTCATTGTGAGAAATCCGGCAAGGAAATGATTGTTGGTGATCTACAACCACGGGTGGTTGATCAACTTTTGAGGATCTGCGGACCCAGTTTATCTCGAGACGGCAGAGATGACGAAAAGAGTAATGAGATGATGAGGAAGTGACAGGAGAAGGGAAGAACGAATGACAATATCTTGGAAAAGGCAAAAAAAAGAGCCGAAAAAACGAGGGAAAGAAAGGATGAAGAAGGATGAAGAAGGAAGAGAGAGAGAGAGAGAGAGAGAGAAGAAGAAGAAGAAGAAAAGAGAGGGGGATGGATGGGGAGCCTGAGGAAGGGGGCTGCCATCCCTCTTTTGGGTAAGGCGCTGCATAATTCGTACGCAGGATACGCCGGTTAGTTTAGGCTGACTCTTTTCTATATTTATCTTATTTTGTTTGACTATTCTAACCTGGTTCTGGATTTGATCTCTGGAATCCCAAGACTCGTCATCGGTCGGACAGTGACCGCGTTGTGTTCCCTCGTCCATCACACACAGTCCAAATGGTCAAATAAATTCCCGATTCTACCAACTCATGAATACAGTTGTTGATTTTCTCGCAGAGAGACCACGGCTCCTCTTACAATGGGAGTAAGCAGACCATCGTCCAGAGTAGTGGACCCACCGGGCGAAATCCAGGAACCAATCGATACCAGGTGTTCCAGATTGACATCCACCGTTTGATCTAATCTTAGTTAATATGAATCAGAAATCTCTGGGTCCAGCTCCTGAGGGACGAGAATCACAATTGGTTGGCCAATAGATGATGGGCTAGTACCGCGGCAGGAGATAGAGTGGCACTGGGTTGAATATAGATCGAACCGCTGGTCCAGAAGATGGATCACCAATGAAAATGAGGATGCATCAAGGCACATTCCTACCTAGATCCATGGCCGTCTATCTCATACACCAATCGGGGTCCCGGGCGGCAACTGGTGCCGGTTCGGCCATGATACCGTTGCCTTTGCTTTCTCGAGGCATCTGGGAATCAAATATGGGTAGGCTCTCACAATCGGTTAGTATGGTCTTCTCATAGACAATGGCATCATGCATCCCAAGGTGGAGACTGGATATGCTCCAGCCACCGCCCCATCGTTCATATCAGCCGGATAAATCCACTCAGCAGCCACCAACGCGATCAAACCACTGCGTATGCCTCCGCACTGATAACTCGTGGTGGGATATTCGGATATCGAATGACGCCGTGCTCAGCCACGTGCAGGACCATCGTTCCCATCATCCGCCAGTTGGCACAAATAGTGCCGACCTGCAGCCCTCGAATTGCACGTTTATTCCTTTCGTCCATACTCGTGTAGTCGACACAGGCCAGATGTATCTATTTTCACCACAACCCTCGTTCCTCAATAGTTAGTAAAAATCTTACAGTCGGGGTTCTAAAAGAAACGGATATTCATGAAAATCATACTAAACAAACAATGATCGCCAGAGGGGGTTGAATCAACCTACCCCTACTATCCATGAACGGACGATGGTCCAACGATCAAACTTGACCAGTGCAGATCAAGAGGTAAGGAGTTGTCATGGGGGAAGATTATCCCTTCATTCTCTCTACCACGACTATCTCCACCGACTGGGTTGGTGCATGCAAGGTGATGGGTGATTGAACCTTGAATCCCTACCCCGTTAGGTGCTTCTCCAGTGAGTGAGATTGTAGACCAACCATTTCCACCGCCACAGATGATGACTGCGGAGGAATTTCCAGGAGTAAAAATAGAACTTTGCACTTCACTGTCCTCACGGTCTCTCTATATAGATGCATGTGGCGCAGTCTGAATCTCACCGCCACATCAGCACTAGCCACTTTATTCCCAATTAGGATTAGTTCGTCTCCTCCATCTTAACCAACAACAACAACAACAACACGACTACTACTATTGCTACTCCGTACGAAGTACTACAACGTACAACACTTGACACTCTAGGCTTCTCCTCCGTGTTGGGCAGCCTCCACGTTTCACCATCGGAGCCAGAGTGGGTCTGGCGTCGGATGATACCGTACTCATCGGCAGGGTCCGTTCAGTCCGTCACTTCCTTCCGGACAAGGAAAAGGTTTCCTGATGGCTTCATGATCATCCGACAGGGAGGTGACAGATTCTCATCAACATCCATTACCTCTCAACTTTCTCTGGGTCGTACAGCCCAATCTGCTGGTGTCTCTGGCACTACGAATCATTCGAGGAGTGGAATTGGCCAATCCACTTCATCAGGACTAGTGAGATCCGGTCTCTTGGCGCTAAACACAACTTGTCTCCTTAATATCATCATCGGTCAATCAGATCCGTCCGCCAGCGCCGCACCACTGCAATGGAAAGAACAATTTGAATGTCCTCCGGTCAAGGGTCATGGCCAACGTCCTTTTGACTGGTTGGGTAGAATCTGGGTCGCATCGCTGGCCCCTGGAGCGGCGTTGGGGAGAATGCATGTCAAGTCTCCCCCCGAGGTAATTAGTGGACACCCACTGATCTACACCTCTTGTGGCTGAGTTGGGTGAAGGAGGATCTCCCTTTTTTCCCCTGCAATATGCCTTTTTTCTCTCCTTGCAAGACCGAACCTCACTCTTGTTTGTGTCTGTATGATCTTAATTTGGTTTTAATTTTTTTTTCTTATTGTTTAATGTGATCTTGTTATTATCCTTCTTTCCCCTCTCTATTTCCCAGGCCAATCTGATAGATATCCTCGGGACTTCTTCCTTTTGTTATTCAGTCACTCCTTTTTTTGTTGATTTTTAATCCCTCCTTTTCACTCCCACTCCGTGTGTAGACATTCTTTTGACCGTGGATTGGACACTGGAATTCGTTTTCTCTCGTCGCGATCTTTCAAATCCGGTCGTTTTCTGTCCTTTGTGTAACGAGCCAGTGGGTTTGATGGTTTGTTTCTCCAAAGCTTGTCGTGATCAAGATTCTTGGTATTTCTTGGACCGCATCTGAGGCTTAGCACTCAGACCCATCACTTCAGCCACACCATCTCTCGTCCTAGATTTTGAGGCTGGCCATAGCCACCACGTCACCGTAAGTCTTTGCTGTTGCTTTTACGAACCGACGTGTCGGTGAAGCCCGTGTGCCTGTCTTGGGCGGGGAGAAAGAAAACTCTATATCTTCCAATCTTTTTTGTTGGGCGCCTAGCGCACCGCCGTCAGTCGGCTGGTGGGGGGCCTGCCAACGTGGCCATGGCCCTTTCATACATAAACCATGCCCCTGCCAGTTGTGATTCTAACGTGACAATAGTTTGACGCGCATTGATTGATAATCGGTTTGAATATGCGTATGCTTCTCAGCCTCTGGCTTATGGACGTGCCAAGTCGCTAATCGGGTGACGCGCAGATATCTACCGACGCCACGCCAGGAACCTGGCCTGGTATGACCAGGAAGGGGAGCCTGCCTCCCATAATCCGTTCAAGAAATTCCGTGCCCGTCCGCGACGGGGCAGCTCCATCCACCTTGAGAATCGACTGGCGCCCGTTCCCAGCGCGTCGCGCGAATTGCGCCTGTCCGAGGATGAGGAGGCAGCGCCTCGCGGCATTTCCGATGGTCTGCCGATTGCCGAGAATTCCAGCGGATTCCCGCCCCAGTCGTCCGGGACGGATCAGGTCCAGCGCGTGCGAAGCTTCGAGAAGACGGGCGACGATCCGTCGATGCACAGCGCCGCTCCCATCAATGTGACCGACCGCGACTCCGGGAGCCACACCAAGGCCCGCAAGCGAACGCTTTTTGGCCGATCCAGTCCGGCCGAGGATGACGGGGTCAGTCAGAGGGACCAGCTGGAGGATTCTCCGGACAAGCAAAAGTTCACCGCGGTGGGACAATTCAAGGCCACCGTGCTGAATTCCTGGATCAATGTCTTGATTCTCGCCGCGCCGGCCGGAAGTAAGATATCTTTTAGGATCTGTGGAGCGGACGGGTGTTGATGACTTTCTAGTTGCCCTGAACTATGTGCATGCCAATCCGGTGGCCATCTTCGTGGTCAATTTCATCGCTATTGTGTATGTTCTTTTCCGTACCACTTTCCCGGAGGGGGGAGAGAAGCTGACAAGTTAGTCCCCTCGCGGCCATGCTGGGTTTTGCGACGGAAGAGATTGCGCTGCGGTGAGTCCATTCCTTGGAGGGCTTGGGCCCGGGCTGATGTTTGTAGAACCGGTGAAACCATCGGAGGTCTGCTGAATGCCTCTTTCGGGTAAGTTACTGTGCCCCGATTCATCAAGTCAGTTGGTCTGATTTGAATAGAAACGCGGTGGAGTTGATCGTGGCGATCATCGCGTTGGTGGATGACGAGATTCTGATCGTGCAGACGTCGCTGATCGGGAGTATGCTCTCCAACCTACTACTAGTGATGGGCATGTGCTTCTTCTTCGGAGGCCTCAACCGGCTGGAACAGCATTTCAACCCGATCGTGGCGCAGACGGCAGCCAGTCTGCTGTCGTTGGCGGTGGGCAGCTTGATCATCCCGACCGCGTTTCACTCGTGGGCAGGCAACCGGATGGATGGCGACAGCACCAACGACAAGCCAGATCACGGCATTACGCCGTTGTCTCGAGGTGCGATCCCCCTTTCCCACTGGCCTCTTGCGGCACTCCTGCTGACGGAATCCAGGGACGAGCGTAATTCTGCTGGTGGTGTACGGATGTTATCTGTTATTCCAGCTCAAGTCGCACACGGAGATCTACAACGCGCCGAGCCCCAAGGTGGAGAAGCGCCGCCGACGGGTGGAAGGGGGCGACGCGAGCCGGGGGATTGCGACGATCGGCAAGATGACGGCGACGATGGGGGGACAGAACGCGCAGGACATGGCGCTGAAGGACCCGGGAGATGAGCCGGAGGAGCCGCAGCTGCATATTTGGGTGGCGGTGTTGACGCTGGCAATTTCGACGGCGCTGATCGCGCTGTGTGCGGAATACATGGTATTTTCCTTCTTTTCCACCTTATGTCTACGATACTGACCGATCAGGTGGATTCCATCGACGCCATCACGGAAGAAGGTAACGGGATCTCGAAGACGTTTGTGGGACTGATCCTGCTGCCGATCGTGGGCAATGCGGCCGAGCACGCGACGGCGGTGACGGTAGCCTGCAAGGACAAGATGGATTTGGCGATCGGTGTGGCGGTGGGATCGAGCATGCAGATTGCGATGCTGGTACTGCCGTTGATTGTGGTGATTGGATGGATCATGGGTAATCCCCCTTCTCCATTGGGGTAGGATTGCATGATGCTAACAAGGGGTCTAGGCAAAGAAGACATGAACCTGTATTTCGACGGGTTCCAGATCATCCTACTGTTTGTGTCTGTATTACTGGTGAGTTACATATTAAGATTGTGGTATATGGTGTATGCTGATAAAATAGGTCAACTATCTCATCGGAGACGGCAAGTCACATTGGCTGGAGGGAGTGCTGCTGATCATGATGTATGTGATCATCGCACTGGCAGCGTGGTATGTTCTTCCCCCGTAAATCCCGAGAGGCAGAGAGAAGGAAGCACTAACCGAACAGGTTCTACCCCAACAAGACGGAAGCGATGCAGGGGGTGACTGGTTGATAATATATATATATATATATATATATTTATATATGTGTGTGTATGTATATTAAATTGTCATTATACTAGATACTCCTGTCCCTATAATTATATCAATGTCCTAATAGATATTCCACCTCCTCTCTTAATATGTGACCAGCAAATAACCGAGAAAAGTCCCACGGCCGACTCCCCGTGACAAGTCGGGACCGACCGTAGCCGAATCAATCCGCCAATTTAATCTGGGCCGACCGATTCACGTGTTCATCTCACCCAGTATCTACTAACCTACTATGTACTAGACACCAGGTCAGTCCGGAGTAAAATGGATGGAGAGATCGGCCCAACGGAGAAACAGGCCAATGACGGGGGATGAAAAGGTCAGACCATCGGCGGGTAATAGTACCTTGGACCGTCCCTGGTAGGGTTGTAGAGCGGGTAAGTACTAAGTCATAGGTAGTGTCAGCGCGGACCACCCCGACGGCCGAGAATATGCGTCCCTAGCAGTTCGCTAGTATTATTTTCCTAGTAGGAGGTCGGTAGGTAGGTAGGAAGAGAGAAAGAAGAGAGAAGAGAGAAAAGCAGAGGAACCGACGGAATCCGACCGATTCGGGGAGTGAAATTTGGGAGTGTTATGGAGTGGGTAGCCGAGTACCGAGGCTACCTAGTACTTGGGTATGATTTATTTCTGTAGTTAGTTAGTGAATTTATCTTACTCAGATGAGGGTGGGTGGAGAGTGTCTATTCGTTTAATTTAGTAGGATAGAGTTAGTTAGTTGGTTAGTCCGTCGTTGGCTCAGAAGGATAAGTAAGACAAGGATGGTGGAGAGCGTTAACCCCGGATTACCCCAGTTTTTTGATCATGTCTCTAGTTTTCCCTGGTATATCTGTCTTCTCTTCTCTCAGCTCTCTCTGAGTCATGGCGAACACGAGACTTATATAATCAATATCTGATGTATCTGTCTGTACGTATTATAATTATTCTGGAAGTGGTGGAGGACGGGATTGACGGGATTCTACGGTATGATCCAGAGATGGTCATGTGTCTACCCTTTATTATTAAATATATATATATATCTCTCTCTATTGATGTATTCAGATTCATTGATATAGATGGAGAGATGTGAATAATACACATGTCACGATCGAACCGATATCCAGTCATGCTGTTATACACCTCTTGATCCGACTCTAGAAGACTTCTTTCCTGTATCTCTACTTGATCTCTATTCTCTCTATTCTCTCTATTCTCTCTATTCTCTCTACTCCATCTCTACTCCATCTCTATCCTATCTTTCTTCCCTATACTCAAGATCAAAGTCGGATCACATTCTCGGCACTCGGACTCAGGCACCCCCGCTAAACCCGGACCGGACTAACTCTGGTCGAGCCTCCGTAACTTCTTCCGATTTTCCCATCTTATCCTGTCCCTGTTCTCTCTCTATACGGTGGATGGTTGATTCGATTCTTCATTGATTCTCCATTGGATCTGTCCATCGATGATTACATCCTCGAAATTCCATCCTATTCTCTCTCCCTGTCAGTAGCCCGAACAGTCCGGTCGGCCTCTTCCCCCCGGACCGGTGCCCCGATCCTCCACTAAATTCCCCCACAACTCCGCTTCTTCCCGCATTGATCTTCTTTCTCTTTTCTCTTCACTTTCTTCCTTTCTCACTTCCCTTCTCTTTCCTCTCTCTCTCTTCTTTCTTCCTTTCTTCACCTTCTCTTCTCTCCCTCCCCTCTTCTCTCTCCCTCTCTCTCTCTCTCTCTCCTCCTCTTGACTTCTTTTGACCTCTCCACCTCCTCCTGTCCACTCCCTCGGTCTTCCACCGACCCGACCGACCCACTCCCACTTCCACTCACACTCCCGACTCCGATTTGACCCTTCCCCAGTCTCCACCGACTATCATCGCTTTTTCTCTTCTTTTCGTCTTCTCTCTACTTTTCTTCTTCCCATTTTCTCTTCTTGATTTTTGGATTTGGATTATTTATTTATTTATTTTTTTTTTACAAAAAATAAACAATCAATCCACAGAAGACAGGTCATACGACTCCCGGCCACTTTCCCCCTTTTCCTGTAGGACGGACCTGTGTGTGTCCCGACGCTGCGTTGTCCGGATTCCCGGCGCAATTGGTCGGACAAATATTGCAACCCAAAATCATTTCACGGGAAAAGAAGAGAAACGTTGAGAACAGACAAGAAAACAAAAGGATAAACTGACCACTTCCCCCACCCATCGCAAGCCCCTGGGGCTGCTGCGTCACGCGCTACCAATATCACCATGCGCTCCAGCATCGCCTGCGCCCGCTGCCGTCGCAGCAAAATCAAATGCGTCAATGCCGGCATCGACACCACCTGTCGCGCCTGTGAGTCCTCTGGTCGCGAGTGTGCTTACCCTACCCCCGCCATCGGAGGCGGTGCCGCGGCCGCCAAACGGGATCTCGCGGCCCTCGCCGATGGGGACGAGCGCAATGGCCACCCGGACTGGGAGAGCCCCAAGCGCCAGCGCTCGCGCAAGTCCGTCGGCCTCGCGGCCGCGGCTGCCAAGGAGGCCGCCGCCAAGGCTTCCCTCGACGCCCTCGACGCGCCTGTCCTAACCGTCAAGGTCTGGGAGGCCGTCTTCGACCTCTTCCAATCCCACGCCGCGACCCTCCTGCCCTTCCTGCACCCCGCCTCCTTCCTGGCCCAGATCCGGCCCCTCGCCCACGGCGCTGGCCCCGCCCCCGCGAGCCCCCCTGGCGCCCACGCCCCCGCGCCGCCCCCTAACCCGCTCATCCCCCTCGGCGTCCTCGCTCTGACAGCCCGTTTTCACCCGACCCTTGTCGCCTATCATGCTCCCGCCGGTGCTGGCGCCGGTACCCCGGACCCCCTCGTCGCCTCCGAGGTTTACGCGACCGCCCTGCGCGCCCGTCTGGCGGGTGTCGACGGCTCCAGTCTCGCCATCCCCGACCTCACCCGCGTCCAGGCCCTGCTCATGCTCGCCCTGCACGAGTGGGGCATGTGTCGCGGCAAGAGCGCCTGGCTCTATGTCGGCATGGCCATCCGCCTGGCCCAGGCCATGGGCCTCCCCTGGGAGCTCGAGCAGGACGGCGTCGCCCCCGCCGCTCCCGCCCCGCTCCAGGTGGAGGCGGAGCTGTTCGGCCTGCCCCGTCGGGCGGCCCCCGCGCGCGAGCCCACCGCCGACGACATCATCGCGCAGGAGACCAAGCGTCGCACCTTCTGGGCCTGCTTCCTCCTCGACCGCTGCCTCAGCTCCGGCCGGTATCGCCCCCGCATGATCCGCGTCCGCGAGCTGGGCATCCAGCTGCCCAGCGACAATGCCTTTGCCTTCGGTGAGCGCGTCCGCACCGCCCGCCTGGGGGAGCCCCCCGCCCGTCGGCCCCCCAGCTTCGGCGCCCCCGGCGCCCCCGTCATCCCCAGCCTCCGTCAGAGCCTCGGCGGCTTCGCGGACGACCCGCGGCCCGGCCCCCCCGCGTCGGATGCGCACCATCCCCCGTCCGCCTGGTCGCCCGTCGCCCGCCGCGCCGACGCCGCCGCCGCCGCCACGGCCGCCACCGACGACGAGGGCATCGACCGCTGGGAGGTCGGTGCCGAGGAGTCCGTGCTCGGCCGCGTCATCCGCATCGTCCGTCTCTGGGGCAGCATCGCCCAGTGGTCGTGCGCCGGCGGCCGTCGCACCGAGCCGGTCGCCCCCTGGCATCCGGAGTCGCGCTTCGCCCACCTGCGCACCCGCCTCGCCGAGTTCCAGGACGGCCTGGCTCGGAACCTGCAGTACTCGTCCCGCAACACCGAGACCCACATCATGTACCGCCACAGCCTGGCGCCCTACACCGTCATGCACGTCGTCTACTTCCTGTCCGTCATCGTTCTGCACCGCGCCTACATCCCCTTCTTGCCCGTCCACTGCCCGGGTCCCGTCGGACCCCTCGACGAGCCGGGCGCCGTCGCGACCGACCCGACCACCGCCGGCGGCCCCGACGGGTTCTGGCGCGACAGTGCCCGTGAGCTCTTCGGCGCCGCCCGTCGCATGATGGACCTGGTCCTCACCTGCCAGGAGCGCGGCGTGCTGGTGGAGAACCCGCTCGTCGGCTTCGCCGTCTACCATGCCGCCTTCGTCAGTGTCTACGCGGCGCACTTCCCGCACATGGACCCCGACGGGGCCCTGCGGCCTCCGCCCCGCTCCCCGACGCCCCCGGACGCCCCCCGCGCCGCGCTCGCCCCCTCCCCGGCCCGCCAGATGCTCGACCTGCTGCGCCGGATGCGGCCCCGCCTTCGCATGGCTCGCGGCTGGTTCCGCACCGTGAATCGTCTCCACAGCTACTTCGCCAAGGTCCGTCGCGACGTCCGCCGCCACATCCGCCGCCCGGATGGGGGCCTTGCCGACGACGCCGGTCCCGACGGCCGGCCCGTGCGTGAGGGCGGTGCCGGTGGAGGCCTCGACGAGTTCCGCCTGATCGAGAAGCTGTTCCTCGACTTTGGTACCATCGAGGATCAACTGCCTGAAACCGGGTCGGACGCCAGTGGAGACGGGGGTCCCGTCGTTGCCGCCAACACTGCCCTGTCCGCTGCCCCTCCTGCCCCCGGAGGAAGCGACCGCGCGACCAACCCCAGCGATGCCGGCAGCTCCGTCGCCCGCAGCGAAACCGGAGACGCCGGCGAAGAGCCATCCGCGGACGGTGTCATCCCCCCCAGCGGGCGACGGGAGTCGTGGGTGCCCGTCAACAGCCCCGGCCTACCGCCACGAGGCCCCGACGGGGACCGACGACCCAGCCTGCCGCTGCCCACCACCACCAGCCGGTCTCTGCAATCCCAGTCCCCCTTCTCTCTTCCCGCCCTGCCACCACCCCCTCCCCCGCCAGCCCCCACGGACACGCCGCTCTACGGTCATCCGTCGCCCACGCTGCCGTCCATCGGGACCGCCAGCTCTCAAGCGCCCCGTCTGCAACCGCTCAACTCATGGTTGCCCCCGCGGGGACCGCCGCCCCCATACGCCCAGTCGCTGCCTCCGATCAGCGCCACCACGGCCCACGGGCTCCCGCTGCTGCCGCCGCCCGGTGCCGTGGGAGGGCCTGGTGGATCCTCACCGGGAACCGCGGACGGGTGGGACAGTCTCGCGCCGCCGCCGCCGGGACTGTGGTCGACCAGTCTCGGGGGGGAAGATGTGTTGGCGTTCCTCGAGGGGTGCGATTATGACCAGTTGCCCAGTCCGATGGCGTCGGAACTGGGGCTGCCGACGGGGTGGTTGAGTACCGTGTGGACTGAGTTTGCGCGGTAGTTTTTTTTCCTTTTTTTTCTTCTTCTTCTTTCGTTGGTGCTCTTTCGCCCGCGTTGGTCTTTGTTGGGAGGCCTACGGCGTCTGTACGAGTATCGGCTGTCAGTCAGCCTATCAGCATTACGATCTGATATGGGTATGGATCTGGGTATGGGTATGGATATGGGTATGGATCTTGGATCTTGTCCGGGTGGACACTGTCTCCCACGGACAATCAAAATCAAAGTCAAAAAAGAAAAACGACAATAAAAAAGACAAAAACGCCACGGAGGATCTATCTGTTCGGGTTCTTTGTTCTGGGTTGCGTGTTTGCTTGCGGCACGTTCTGGGCGCATGCTGTGTGGAGGGATTCCCAGGGCTTGTTTTGCGATTCTGAGCGGGCGTTTATATTTTTTTCTTAGTCCTTTGTGTCTTTCTAGCTACCATGAGTGGTTGATCAATGAGATTATGAGCTAGCTTACTCTCCTTCTATTGTACTCTGGTATCTAGATACGCTATGTATGTTATGCAGCATTATACCGCTGATATAATACCTTTTCGATAACAGTCACGTGTCATCCCACCAATCACAACGCATCGCATTCGGACTCACCTCGGCATCCATCGTCATCTATCTGATCCCACATCCCACCATCTACCAACTTCTCTCGCTTCCCAACCATTACGCCTCTCCTAAACACCCAATCCAACTCAGCACACCTCAACAATGAAACCACAATGAAATAAGTCTACAAACAACAATGTCCGAAACCACCTACCCCTACGACACGGGCCTCGTGCGCGAACTGCTCAAGCACAAGCGCAAAGCCCGGGGTATCCGGTCTTGCTTCCCGTGTCGCCATCGCAAGGTGCGCTGTGATGGGCAGGTGCCGTGTGGGAGTTGTGTGAGGCGGAGTCACCCGGAGCTGTGTCAGGTTCCGACGGGGTTGGGTTCGGGGGGTATGACTGGGAGTAGGAGTGGGGGTCCAGAGCAGGTTTCGCCGGGGAGTACTGGGACTGCTGCCGGTGGGGGGTCGGTTCGGGGGGAGTCGAGTCTTGAGGTTTTGTATGTCAATACCCCTACATATGATAGATCTATATAGATATGAGTGTGTGGGCTAACGAATGAACAGAAACGACCAACCACCACCAACACAACCAGACCCCCACACCAGCACGCTCATATCCCACCTCGAGAGAATCGAAGACCAAATCTCCTCCCTCAAAGCCGACCTCCGCTCCGCTCCCCCACCCCCCTCAACAGCCAGCACCACAAACACCAGCCCCCAATCCCTCCCGGACCCCCCAAGCCAAGGTCACTCCCGACCCACCCGCCCCACAAACAGATCCCCCGGCCGCTACTTCGTCGAAGACGCCACAGGCGCCACCATCTTCCTAGGAAGCCACTCCGACACGCCTCTCACGCTCGGATGTCGACGGGCGAGTGCGACGGGGGATGCCATGATCCACGACGCCATGATGGATCAGTTTGTGCCGCGCGCTTACCCGTTTACGAATCTTTGGGGGCCGGATGCGAGTGCCAGGGAGGTTTGTGAGACGTTGCCGGAGGATGGGGATGTTATTCGGTATGTCTTTCTTTCCAGTCCATGATGGATGGATACAGTGGTTGAAGTCGCAGGGATCAACTTATGTATACGACCAGCAAGCTGACGACAGAGTAGATACTGGCAAGCCTACCAAACAACCTCCTACCCATTCTACCCCGCCCTCGTCACAATCGACCAATTCGGCCCGGCCCTCTTCTCATTCCTCGACCGGCGCGCAGCGCCGCAAAGCGGCCTGTGGCAGACGGAGGAGCCGCACCCGTCGTGGCTGGCGCTGTTGTTCGCTGTGTTGGCGTGCGGGGTGCAGTTCTCGGATGATCCGATCAAGGAGAGGGATTTGCGGTCGAAGGTGTTGAGTATGTCTCTTTGGCTCTCTTTATTTTCCTGCCATTAACCAAGACAGTCTGCTCCGCCTTTCAGTGTCTGCGCATGTCGAATTTCTTCAACCAGACGGATATTGATCAGATTCAGGCGATGGCGCTGATTGGGCATTGTCAGCGGAATAATCTTGATACTAATAGTGCTTGGATTCTGATGGGTGTGTTTCTTCCCTAGGATGGATGGACGATGATGGATGGAGCTGACTGAGTAGGGGCTACGATGCGACTGGCGCAGAGTATTGGGCTGCATGAGCCGTCTCTATCTTTACCACCTGCTGAGCAGTATCAGCGGAATCGACTATGGTATCCCTCCTCTCCCTCTATCTCCCCCTGCTCCCCCTTTCAATCAAGTACTGAATAATCCAGGTGGACCCTCATCTGGCAAGACACCTTCCTCTCATTCACCTACGACCGCCCCTCCAGCTCCATAACCATGAACTGCCCCATACCCTACGCCCCCCACACAAACGGGCTCACCTTCTCCGAATCCGTCTTCACAATCTGCTCCATCCTCCGCGACCGCACCCGCCAAGACCTCTCCTCCACCACCACCACAACAGACCCCACGCAAAGCGCCCTCGACGCCAAACGCCAACTCGAATCCCTCCGCGACTCCGCCGCCCCCTCCCTCCGCTCCAAAGCCCACTGCAAATCCCTCCAAGACCACCTCGAGCGCCTCGCCCTCAACATCCACCTCGGCTACGCCATCTCCCGCCTCACCCGCGTCTACATGGGCTCCTCACTGTCCCACGACCCGGAGTCAGACGACTCAGAGACCATCCCCCCCGCCGTCGCAGCAGACGCCATCCACCAAGCAATGCAAGTCATCGAGAACTTCCTCGACCTGCACCGCTTCTCAGCGAGCGTGTGCCGGTCGTGGGCGTTCGTGCATAACGCCGTTAGCTGCGCGATTTCCCTGCGGGGGTTGACTGCGCGGGTGCATGTGCCTGTGGCCGGGCTGCAGGGGCAAGACCCTGACATGCTTGTTAGGCGGCTCGTGACTGTGCTGGAGAAGGAGGAGAAGGAGTCTGAGTGGTGTGATGCTGATACGAATGTTAGGTATTTCGGGCCTTATTCGAGGGCGTTGAAGGCGCTGCGGGAGGTTTATCGGTGATTTTTACTTGAACCGGTGGATGTGTGATTATACTAACTGTGATGGATGCTCTGAGGTCATTTGGGTCTAAAGCAAAGAAGAAAGAAGAAACAAAGAAAGAAAGAAAAATATATACAGATTATCTGTCTAACGAGTATCTCATCTATCAAGGATCTATCACTAATCTATCAGGGATCTCAAACTATCAAACAACCCAAGCATCCACAAAAGCTCCATCAACCAAGTTAGAAAGATCAAACCCGTCTCTTAGCCCGAACATAAAAGTTCAACGGCCTGATAAGCTGAAACTCCGGATCATAATCGATAGCCTCCAGCCCCTCCCTCACAAACTCATACCGACTCACCAACTCGCTCAGCAGGATCTTCACCTCCAGCAGCGCAAAGTTAAACCCAATACACCCGCGCGGGCCCGTCGCAAACGGGATGTAAGCGCACCGATGCCGACTCTTCACCTCCTCGGAGTCCCACCGGTCGGGGTCGAAGCGGAACGGATCGCGCCAGACGGTCGGGTTCGTGTGGATGGCGTACAGCGCGGGGATGATCACGCTGTCTGGCGGCAGACGGTATCCGCCGGGGAGGACGACGTCCGTCTTGGTGGTGCGGCCGGGCTGGAAGGACGCGTTGTGCAGGCGCTGGGTCTCCTTGACGAATTTGTCGAGGTAGGGCATGCTGTGGGCTAGGTCGGGGTCCCACGTCGTCTCGTTGCGCTTGTTGCTGGTGGGGTCCACGATGCCGAACTCCTGCAGCTCCTGGTACAGTCTGTCTTGGGTGCCCTCGTAGGTGACCAGGCAGTAGATCAGCCAGGAGAGCAGCGCCGAGGTGGTGGTGAAGCCCGCGCCGTTGACGATCAGCATGTTGGCCAGGATGAGGCCCCGCGGGAAATGCTCGCCCTTGTCGTCGACCGCGCGGAGCAGGTAGTCCACGACGCAGGACGCCTCGAGGGCGGCTTCGGCCATGGGCAGGTCGCCGGTTGTGCCGGCGGCCTCGCGGGACGCCTCCACGTCGTCGATGGCCTCCTGCAGCTGGGAGTAGATGGTGTGCTGGACCTGGCGCAGCTTGGCGGGGTCGCCCCAGGGGAGGTGGCGGTACCACTCGCCGCGGGCGGTGATCTTCTTGTTGAGCGAGAGGAGGGTAGCGGTGTTGGTGACGAGCGGGTGCAGCGGGGCGTCGACGGCGTCGAAGTGGCCGAAGTCCTTGCCGAACGAGAAGTGGCCGATGGTCTGGGAGGCGAGCTTCACCATGAACTGGTAGACGTTGAACGACTCGTCTCTGGCGTCGAGCTCGTCGAAGACGGGGAGGGCCTTGCGCGCGCAGGCCTGCATGACGGAGGTGTAGTGGCGGACTGCGCGGGGGCCCATGGCGGGGGGCAGGTACTTGTGGGCGAGACGCCAGTTTTCCGTCTCGGTGTCGCCGATGAAGATGGCGGTGTTGTCTTTGACGCCGAAGAGAGGGTGGCTGGGGTTGATGTTCTTGGTCATGTAGGCGGATTCGGCGAGGGCGATGGCCGCCACTTGCGGGCTGTCGGTGAGGTAGGTTGTTTTGCCCATGTTGGTCGTTTTGATGACGGGGCCGTATTTCCGGAAGAGCCGGTAGTGGTTGCCCAGGTGGTCGGGGAAGATCTCGTAGTAGCTGCCTACGAGGGGGAGGCCGGGGGGCCCTTGGGGGGATTGCACGGCGTTGCCATCGATGCGGAGGCCGATGGGGGTGGTGGTGGATGCGGTGATGATGTCGGAGGGGGCAGTGAGGGTGTCGGTTTCGGTGTGGAAGGAGATGCCTGGATCGTGAGCAGAGGGTTCAGACCGAGGAAGGATGTTGATATATCGTACCAGTTGGCTGCGCGACGTGGAACACGATGCCCACCGCGCGCTGCAGATCCTCCAACTTCCAGCGCGCATCGACGTCCACAGATTGCGCCGTGGCGATATCGTCGCCGACGAGGTAGAACTGACACGACATGATGAGTTCTGTGATGATGATCTGACAGTGTCTAGGATGTGACCAACGACGTACCGACCGTTTTATATGACATCTCGGATGTCCATCCGCCCATTGATCATCCCGAATCTGATTCGTTTTCGGCCTCCGAAGCTCGGGCGAAGTTCGTCCGAGTCGGCATCCCGGATCGACGGTGGATCGGGATGCGGGTCGGGATGGGTCTGGATAAATCGACAGGGAACGTCCAGATTATAAATAATACGCCGTCCGGTCGTTGGAGGGTATTCGTAAGGGTTTGGAAATTCAGCAACACACACCGCCGGGATGTCGTCGTTTACTTTGGAACAGGTCCAGCAGCACTGCAAGCCGGACGATGTCTGGATTGTGCTTCACAATAAGGGTTGGTTTCCTTTCACAAATATATGGCTGATAGCTAACCCTGCCAGTCTACGATGTGACCAAGTACCTGGAGGATCATCCTGGTGGAAGCGCCGTGCTCATCGAGGTGGCCGGCACGGATGCCACCGAGGCCTTTGAGGAGATCGGCCACTCGGATGAAGCGCGCGAGCAGCTCGAGCCGTTCTACGTGGGCGACTTGCCGGCGGAGGTACATCACCATAGTCTATACAACACCACTCCCATATAGCAGTAACTCACTGGTTATAGGAACACGCCGAGTCCATCGAGGTCTACCGTCCCAATTACGAACAAGTCTCGCAGACAGCCGTCATCAATGTCAAGCCCGCCTCCTCGAACTCCCTCCTCCCCACCCTGCTCAAACTCGGCCTCGCCGGCGCAGCCAGCACCGCCGCCTTCGCCGCCTACCAACAAGGCTACACATTCTCTCGTCTCGCGCAAGCCCTCCCCTCCCTCGCGGGGTCCCTCAGCGCGCCCTCCGACCGGTCCACCTCGCGCCAGTTCTGGGCCGGCGCAGGCATCGCCAGCACGCTGCAATTCAGCCTCACCGTCGCCCTCGGCATGTGGGCCTCCTCCAAGCTCGACGTGCAAGAAGAGTTCACGCACTACGCACCCCGGCGCCGCACCCAAATTGCACGCCTCCACCGCCTCCCCCGCTCATCGGTGCCCCTCCAGCGCGCGAAAGTCCTCGACGCCCGCCAATGGCGCTCGTTCCCGCTCGCGCAAAAGACAGAAGTCGCTCCCAACGTGTACCTCCTCGTCTTCTCCCTCCCGCAGTCAGACGACATCCTCGGCCTACCCACCGGCCAGCACGTCGCTCTGCGCGCCACCACCGCCTCCGGCCAGACCGTCACGAGATCCTACACCCCCGTCTCCAACAACCGCGACGCAGGACGCATTGAGCTCCTCATCAAGACCTACCCCAACGGCGCCATGACGCAACACCTCGCCCAGATGCAAGTCGGCCAAACGATCGACATGCGCGGGCCCAAGGGCGCCATGCAGTACTCCAGCCAGTACGCGCCTCACATCGGGATGATCGCCGGCGGAACGGGCATCACACCCATGTACCAGCTCATCCGCGCGATCTGCGAAGATCCATCCGACACGACGCAGGTGTCGCTGCTGTACGCGAATAACACGGAAGCGGACATCCTGCTGCGGAAGGAGCTGGATGCGTTTGCGGCGGAGAATCCGGGCAAGTTCCGGGTGAGGTATGTGCTCTCGCGCGCCGACGAGAGCTGGACTGGTGAGAGGGGTTTCGTGTCTGCCGAGATGATTGAGAGGTTTTTGGCGCCTGTGGCTGCTGAGAATAAGGTGTTGCTTTGTGGGCCGCCGCCTATGGTGGGGGCTTTGAAGAAAGCATTGGGGGGGTTGGGGTGGACTATGCCGGGGGCTGTTGCGAAAGCCGGAGATCAGGTTTTCCTCTTCTAGATTACTTTCTTTTTTCGGGTTTATAGAGTGAGCGATGGAATATTACATTATTATAGTATATTACTATATCTTGATTAGACGGTAGACGGGATTGTTGTTCAGGAGTATTGGTCTGGTGTAGATAGCTACTGCAACACAAGCAAAGCCTCTCTCGGCAGCCATCAAACCAAATACCATATCCACAATATACCAGCTTGCCGCTATGCAAGCTGAATCAGAACAGCTTCTGCCTGACGCAACGACACATCCACAATCCCTCCATGTCGAACAACCCCTTTCTCCGCGTGTAGCTCGCCCACCGGCTCCCCAGATTCCGGATCCAGACTCACCCCCGACACATCGACCTCGCTCTTTGCATTCGTCCCCGGGCCTTGGAGTCTGATAAAACGCAACTCGGCTCCTGGTGGCCACGACGTTTGAACGCGGACGTCTCTGCTCGGACGCTGTCCTGGAGACACAGACGTGCTGTCGGTGGCGGACAAGGTGGACGGATTAGAGAGACCGACGCTCGCATTCCACACGCCCATGTCTACGAATACCAGCTTCTCGAGCTTGGGGTTCTTGTGCTTGTGCTTGCCTTCTTCAAAAATAGCGTATCCGCTGAAGTTGGAGGAGTTGGCCGAGGGCAGCGCGCTGATCTGTTGGGGTTTGTTGTCTTTGGTGGCCAGGACGTGCGCCAGGAAAAGATGCGAGTAAACGTTTGCCCGAACACCGGCCGTCAAGCTCTCACCCTCATACCCATACGCCAGCGGAGTAAACGCCGAGTATTCGCTCTGGTGGCCCAGGTGGAAATACACCTGCTCGATACCGATGCTCGCCGCAGTCAAGACATAATCCGTCGTCCAGAGCGCCGCGCCAAAGGTGTCGCTGATGCCGCTTTGTCCGCTGCACGAGGCGGAATTTGTCTCCCCCAGGATGAGCGGAGCATGGGCCTTTTCAGCCGCCTCCTGCTGGGGAATGAATTGCGACACGTTCGTCCAGACTACCTGGTGGTTCGACAGGAGGTCCAGTGACAGTCTTGCCCGACGGACTTCGTCGCAGGTAGACTGGGGATACAGATGCACGGCATACCCGCTGATGATCTCAGGATCGACGAGGCCCGCCTTCGTGGCGTTTATAATGTCAAAGTCGTCGATCTCGTCGTGTTGGTCCGGCACCCACGGGGGGTCCGCAAACACCGCGGCCTGGAACAGCGGCTGATGACTCGCTTGCTTGTAGAAATCCGACGCGAGGATCTGCCCCGTCAGACGCTTCCACTGGCGCGTATACTCGCTCGTTCCCCAACTATCATCCCTCCACCCTTTACTAATATAATGGTCGATCTCATTCCCCAACTCAAACAACGCAAGCGACTCGCCCAGCGCCTCCATCGCGGCAGAAGCCTCCTGCATTGCGTTCACCCACGCATGGGACGTATTGCGCAGGTTGAGGGTATAGATGAAATCCGTCCCAGGCGGGAAATACTCCGTCCAGCCGCGGAACCAGTCGTCGCGGATCTTCAGCACCTCGACGGTGGTGTCGTTCGGTTCGGCGACCGAGGGCGCGTCCAGCTCCGGGACGAACAGCGTCTGGTCGGCGACGTTGCCGCCGACGCGGATGGGCGGCGCGACGCCGATGATGTCTGCGATCGTCTTGAGGACTGTGCTTGCGATAGTGCTTTGCAGGTAGGGGCTCAGCGAGGATGGTTCGATCGAGTATCCGTATGCGTCTGGTCGGAGCACGGCGCGGGAGCTATTGAGGGGGATGTGCACCGTCGAGAAGGCCACTGTCTGTCCCGCGGTGAGGAGTGAGGCGATGGTCGTAAGTCGAGGCATTGTGTAGTATGCCTCGTTGTGGTGCCGTTTGGCGATATGCGATCCGTATTGAGAGTCATCACGCGTGCTTAAATAGTTATGGGTGAGACGGTCTCCCCCGCGTGGGGTGAGGGTTCGTTATATCCAGGCCAAGTTGGTATAGCCCAATTAACAGCTCGACGACCATTCGGTCACGGAATGATCTCCAGTGGAGTCGATCCGGACTCTGCTCCGATGCGGGGTTTTGTGTCTGGGGCTGGGTGATATCACTGATATGGCCCGTCCGGAACATTTCACGGAGGAATTCTGACCGCGAGAGGGGACGATGTGGCCATGATCGGCAGGCTTATTCCTGACATTCTCGGTGTGTTCACTCCCTTATCCTCGGGGAGGAAGACGGGGTCTGGATCGTTGAAGGGTTAATTGATATTGTTGATCAATTGATGCACAAGCTGTCAAATATGGTGATTAGAAGTGCTGTAATCCGAGGCCCAACGAAGTACCCAGTACTGATTTTATACCGGATCACACTTTGTACACGAGGCTCCTATGCACCGTCGAATTACTACTGAATAAAACTGTGCTGGTTCTCTAATCAGGCTGAGCTCCGCCACAATATCTGAAGTAAGCTGGCAAACCAGGTGAGATGATTTGGCAGATCATGATTAGGCGCTAATGCTTCCTGGTTCACGCGAAACCCCGCCCGAGGGCAGCCAACGCGTCTCAACAATCCTTTCCTGATTTCCTGCGACTCTTGAAGCGCTTGTCAGGAGGGATAGAAGCTCAATTACCTCTTTGCTCGTTATCAAGCAATGGACTTCTTGCGGAAAGCTCTCAAAATCGGTGGGCACCAACAAAAGAATCAGATCCCACCCAGCCCGGAAGATAATCAAGCAGAATCATCTCGGTCTTCTGCTCAAGTCTCTCCCTCCCTCAGTTTCCCTGCCGGCGTAGAAGTCTGGTATGATTGTTGTCAACCTACGGTTGACATCTGTTTTGTTCACGGCCTGAACGGTCATCGGTCCAACACTTGGACTGCCGAGGGACAGTCCACCCCCTGGCCCAAGAAACTTCTTCCAGATTATGTTTCTGGGGCTCGCATACTTACGTATGGCTATGATGCCCACGTAGTGCGCCGTTCGGTTGCCAGTCAGAGTGACTTGCGCGATCATGCCTTAAACCTTTTGAACGATTTGACATCAGATCGAAACTATCATAATGCTTCGTCTCGCCCGATCATCTTTGTCGCTCATAGTCTAGGGGGCCTGCTTTGCAAACTTGCCATCCTACAGTCACGAAACGACCCTGACTATCTAACGGGCATATTTGATTGTACTAAAGGCGTTATTTTCATGGGCACGCCCCACAAGGGGTCGTGGATGGCGACCTTGAGCCTACCTGCGGCTATTTTTCTTGGCCTGGTCAAGTCTACCACCCATAGATTGCTTGAGCTCTTGAAGAAGAACAATCAGTATCTCACAGCCATCCAATCTGACTTCTGGTCCATGATGCGAAAAGAGCGAGAGCGCGGTAGACGCCTAGAAGCTACATGCTTTTATGAAGAGCTCCCTCTGCCTGGATTGGGGGTTGTTGTCTTAAAAGAGTCAGCCACGGCTGATGGCTACAATCAGATGGGCATCCACGCTAATCATAACGACATGGTTAGGTTCAACTCAGCGGATGATAATGGATTTAAGAGACTTTGCGGGGTGTTATCGAAGTGGAAGAATGATATTTGTTCGTCGCAAGAACGGCAAAATAAACGTCATTACAGTGGCGCAGATGAGAGGCCTCTGAAAAAACGCCGCACACGCTACATTGCTCATCATGAGGAAAGTGATGACTCGGACGAAAGCAAATATGAGGGAAGCAACGTCTTCGATGAGACCGATTGTAGCGAAGACGATTCTACGGAGCAACCCACTCAAAATTCTCTGGAGATGATTAGCTCCGAGCATGACGGTGGCGACGAAAGCGACACCAGTGATGAGAATCATGGAGTTTCTCAAGATACAGGTGCAGATGATGAAGAGGATATC